AATCTCTGTAATAAGTTTGCCTTTTTATTACTATAAATCAGAAAATACTTGAAGACACACAACAGCAAACCAATAATCTTAATATTCACATTGAGGTTGCTACATTTTTTTTTCGCTAGGTGAGATTATTTCTTTAATCTTCCATGTGGGTTAATGATTTCTACTCCACAAGTCACTGGTTATATGAGTGCTAGTAATGACATTTTGTAGGAAGACCATGTCCAGTCTCTACAAAAAATTCTGCCCCAATTCTACATGCAGAGGTTATAATACTTTTTGTGGTTCATAGAGCTGAATGGTTGGCTAGACTGCAGTTGGCTATCATTTTTTCCCTTTTTCTTTTTCTTATCAATTAAATCACCTCAAATGGAACAGAAATCTCTCTTTGTTTTCCCAGTCTTTAACACTGAATGACTTGAAGCTTCATGCGTCTGTGAGTGATGTGTTCTTCTGGAGCGTCAATCTCACAGTTGGCACCATTATACCTTCCCAAGCAGGATTTAACCTTTCCATCACAGATTCTGGGAATAACACACAGTACCCCGTAAGTATCTATAGATGATTGGACAAACACGCTATTACATTTTTTCCAGGAAGACCTTAGCAGTGTCTAATTGGGCACCACGTCTTTCGGCTATAAATTTGCTTCATAGTTTAACTCTTTGAGGCTGTGCTTCATTTTTGTTAATTCTGAATGCTGTTACTGTTGTTTCCATGGTTGCTACTCAGGATTCGAAGATGATAAACAATACAGTGATCGTTAAATGGGATATTATGGCCTCCAATGGGATTATTCACGCTATCCAGACACCTTTGATGGTACCTCTTCAACGTCGGCTGCCCACGCAGGTTCGTCACCCAGCTTGAAATGAATCTACTTTGTATTCCTTTCCTCTTTGACTTATGATATATAGTTTCCAATGATTGCTCTGTGGGAAGGATGGTGCTTTGCAAAGAAACAATTAAGATGTTCAATGTATTGTCAAAGGTTTTTATGGCCGGAATCACTGGGTCATTGTGAGCTTTCAGGGCGATATGGCCATGTTCCAGAAGCATTCTCTCATGACATTTCACCTGCATCTATGGCAGGCATCCTCAGAGGTTGTGGGGTCTGTTGAAAACTAGGAAAATGGGATTTATATATCTGTGGAAAATCCAGGTAGAAGAACTCTTGTCTGTTTGAGGTTGGTGTGAATGTTGCAGTTGGCCACCTTGATTAGCATTTAATGGCCTAGCAGTTTCAAGGTCTCAAATTAAGATGTTATTATTTTGAAATAATTGGTATCCATCCCATCTATGAAACACACTGGGCAAAATACAGAAAAGTGAGAGGAACTTCCTTGGGCAATAAATTTGCACAACCACTCCTAAGAGTTAAGGGGCCCCCTCAAGGGGCATGGAAGGCCGAAGTAGGCCAGAGGAATTAAGAGTTTGGGGTAGGTCACTTTGCATGAATAAAAGCAACGTTTGATTAGCACGAAGACCACTGGATCCAACCTTGTGTGGGAAAACACAGAATGATAATAGAGTCACAACCTAGTTGAAATTCTGCCCATTGAGTTGCTTTCATCTCCCAAGCAAATGCAGTGGGTAAGAGTTAAATTCTGAGCTTCCACAGCCTGAGTGGAGCCAGCTAATCATGGCTTGTCAAATGCTATGCAGGAAGAGGTCCGAGGGGGAAGAATATAAAGAGAGACTTGTCTCAACTGTTTGACAGGACAAGAAACCAAAAGGAATGTGTATTAATACGGGACTAAGATGGGAAACTCTAGAATAGAGACAGGGATAGAGATAGCAATGAGTAAGATAAACATAGTCATATGGAATAGACATTTAGTTTGAAACAGTGATTCTAGCAGAAGAACTCAGGAGAAAAGTTCTGCTTTGATTCTAAATTAGTTGTTACATTGCAATATTTATGAGGCAAATGCTGTTGCCATGTCAAAACAAGAATGCTGCTTTTTGCAGGTTACGAATCTTGTAAAATCATCTGCTGCCATGACAATCGGTGTGAGCATTGTTGTTGTAATACTGCTATGTGTGGCTATTGCTGGAGTGACCTACTACTGCCTCAAAAGAATGAACCAAAGATTCCAGTTTCGCTATTTTAAGGTATTTTCACTGTGCATTTACAGGGGAAAGCAAAGGGTTTTGTTTGTATTTCTATTTAGTATCAACTCATTTAATATTTTGTTTCATGGCTCATAGATGCAAACATTTCGGCAAGCTTGTTGCATATATAGTATTGTCACTTGCGGACATAGAAACTGGCAACATTGCACCCCCAGCAATTATAGGTAATCATACTGTTCTGGGGCAGGGATGGAGAGAGACAAAAGGTGGGATCCTGTTGATAAGTCCTAACTGTAGTTTACTCATTGACTCAATTGTTGAATGTTGTATCAAGAAATTGATAATTTATATTGATTAAATTGATCAATAGTCAGGATTAGCAATAGGATTTGAGACAAACTATAGTAATGCTTTTATTAGGACGAGTCAAACTGTTAGAGACATGGGGGGATGGAGAAAGAGGGAGAGAAAAGGCTAAGCTCAGGAAAGGAAAGTCCATGAAAAACACAGAACTGACACATGGAAGGTTAACATCTGTCATAAAACAAAGAAGTCAAGACAAATGGTAGCCAAGGTTAGAATGAGAGTGAAATTCATGACAAAAATTACACTATGTAACAAGATTTGAAAAATACTCTTGGTTTGAAAGTGTTATTTCCTGTTTATTTGTGCAGTATTTACTTTGAAAGTAGTTGTTATACTCCAGAAAATTGCACAGGAAGCCAAACCTTCCCAGGCCTTTACTACAGCCCCAACTTAAGATAATTTCACATTACTCCTGGATCTGATTTAAATTATTTTCCTCCTAAAACAAAAAGCAGATCATCAGAGCATGCAAAAGGAGAGCAGCAAACACACTTATTCCCTCCCTGTACTGAGTGAAATCTAGCAAAGCATTTAGTATGTCTTCTGACCTTGTCAGGGATGATGGAAGTTATAGTTCAACAACACAGCTGCAATCTTTCCCCCACCTACAAAAGTTACACAATTCATTCTTACTGAATCCCATTTTAGCTTTACTCTTGCATTAGTCAATGATATGAATTGAAAGTCTCAAGATGAAAGTCTCAAGGTGGAAGTATAAGCTGTAGAGTTAAATTCTCCCTTTAAGCTTAAACATGTGCTTTCCTCTGTTTGCTTTCAGGCTGAGTTGGAGGATGAAGAGCCTTCTTGGGAGGAAAGGAGCCCACACTTGGTTTCCATTCCAAATCCCATTTATGGGGCAGACAGCTCCATCTATGAGCCATTTGAGGTAACACACCTAAATGTCAAATTTTGCTGAAACAAGTGTAGCTGAATTCTATTACAATTTATGAAAGCAGGTTTTCCCCTCAAATTTAATTCACTTGTACATGTGATGTTTAAGTTGGTTGGTGTGTATGAGCTTAGGCATTGCAAGTTCTGTGTAGCATCTCTGTTAGTATGTAAACTCTGGTTTCCCCTATTACAATACTACAGGGACTCCATTGTGTTATTTTGGGCCTTGTGGATTAATTGGTCTAATATGGATTTTGGCTTTGGTTTCAGGATTCTCTTCAAGGAGAAGACCTTTCGGATGCTCACAGAATTCTTGGCCACTACTAAGGGGTTCAGAGCAGCACTGTAAGCAGGAAACACTGTTCCAGAAGCTTGGCTGTGCAGAAGGAACCGATTGTAATCTTGGTTCTTACAGACTGCTAAAATGTCTTTTTTTTCCCCATGCCATTGAGATAAATTGACAAGTGGTTCTTGGATTAATTGAAAAAAGAAGTTGGCAGGGGGTTGGACTGGATGGCCCATGAGGTGTCTTCCAACTCTATGACTCTATACCTCAGTTCCATTTCTCTTTTTAATGTCATGGATGGGGGCTCAGGATCCAAAGAGCCTTTTGCACTTGCATACCCATAGGGTCTTTTGTATTTCTCTATTCTGAATGCAGGCCGCTCTTGTGTGTTTTGGAGGCCAGACCTTCAGAAATGGCTTTTTGGGTAAAGCTGCAATAGGAGGGAAGGGCCTGAAAAGTCACGTTTTATGCACAGGATACTTGGGGCGTATCCTGACTCAGGAATGTATTTGGTCAGTGGGGAATAGTCAGTGGGCCAATACAACCTTAAATTCAGGGGTGAAAAGTTCTGTAACTTTACTCTGAAACTGCACTACTGAGCCTTCTGTTTATATTTTTAGTATGTTACTTTAAATAAATGAAATAATTAGGCTTCCTGAAATCATAGTGGATCCTGGTTTGTAATCTTACTGAATTATATGTATTATTTTGAGAACTTCAAATGTTTGCAAATCAATAAAGGGCAAGCAAGTCTTGCCAACCTGAATGAAAATTCTGATTAGTCTTAATCAGTAAATGAATGTGTTTGATTCAACTGGACATTTAGAGTAAAGAATATGAGCCATATCTTACAATTAAACATTGACCGTGTGAGTTGTGCTCCACTTTTCATACAAAGCAGAGCCCCTGGTGGCGCAGTGGGTTAAAGCACTGAGTTGCTGAACTTGCTGAGCAAAAGGTTGCAGGTTCTAATCTGGGGAGTGGCGTGAGCTCCTGATGTTAGCCCAGCTTCTGCCAACCTAGCAGTTCAAAAACATGCAAATGTGAGTAGATCAATAGGACTGCTCCAACCAGAAGGGAATGACATGGCATGCAGTCATGTCAGCCACATGACCTTGGAGGTATCTATGGACAATGCTGGCTCTTTGACTTAGAAACGGAGATGAGAACCAACCCCCAGAATTGGACACGACTGGACTTAATGTCAGGGGAAAACCTTTACCTTTATCCCTTTCATACAAAGAAACATTGCATGATATACACGTAAATAAGTGGCACTTTCCCACAGTGAAACATTTTATTTTTGTAAAAATAGTAAATGTTACTCTACATTGTAATGAACAGAAATGTTTGAAATTTTCAATGACACATAGTAAACCACAAATCTTACAGAATATGTTTATTTAATACTCTATTGAATTCACACAAAAGAAACAAGAATGAATGGCTACACATGCTGTTGTAGGTACAAAATACTTTAGCTGATTTTTCTAGCCAGTTCCAAAAATCTGAAATGCTGCTTTATTTTGAAGTTCAAAGATGGCGCAAAGAGCCTTAAGTTGAAGTTCAAAGATGGTAGTACAGCTGGTCCTCAGTATTTGTGGGTATAATACCTGCAGATTTGCTTTTTCGCAATTTAATATGTTTTCTCTAGGTCCTCCAGGGCAACTTGGTGATCAACCTGGATATCTAGAGATTCCTAGAGAGGTGTTTTCTCAGGTATATACAACAAGTGTTTTTCCCCACTTTCATGGGGTCCTGCTGTCCTGGAACTTTCCTGCTAGTAGTGTGTTGTCCTTGCAGCTCAGCCATTTTAACTCAAAAACATAACCAACATTTTCAGCCATCTATTCAAGTGTTAGTTTCTTCCTCCATAGGAATGCCAAGCCAAAATACATAATCAAAAGTGGCTGTTTGATCTCAGATTGTTTTTTTTTTAAAGTATGACGTAACAGATGTTGAATGCTATGCCAACAATAGTTTTGAGAAACAAGATTAGGATATCCTGCCATCGTATTTGATCATTTCTGCACAGCAAAAACTTGGCACATTTTAAATAGGTAGATAAATTAAATGAGATCAAGTTTATTCCTGCTTTGTGCACTTAAGGCTTTCCTTTTAATAAATAAAAAAACGTATTTAATGTAAACAGTGAGCCATCTACTGTTGCTCAAAGCAGAGATTATGCAAAAGCACAGACTTCCTAATGACATGATTCAGATGAATGGACAGAACTCCGAAGTCTCTTAAACAAATATAATAAAATGTGCAGTACAAAAAGGTTGCTACTCCACTCTTAGCATCACCATGTAACACACTATACAGAAAAAGCAATAAATATGACCCTGTCACAAATAATGACCACACAATCTGGCAGTAAGGCTTCTTTGGTATCATATTGGGATATTCAAGCTTTTGTCAATATTTTTTGATTCCTGACCAAAAAACAACAACACCTTACTCGACTTCCTTATGGTTCTGGAATCAATTTGAGCAGTTTTATTTAGTCATGATTTAGTTTCAAACAATACCTGTGGATATAACTGGCTAAAGCAGTATTTGTCAGCTCAATCAGACATCAAGACCTTTCCCATCTGAAGCTCAAGTCAGCCCCGATGATGTATGACAAGACTCCAGTGGAAACAGGTTCCATAATTAGTGTATGGAGGAACAAAGTTAAAACATTCAAGTTAAGTCTCATGCTAGTCTCATTGTGTAGAGTAGAGGGGACTTTTTTGTGTCAGGAATGACTTGAGAAATTGCAAGTTGCTTCTGGTGTGAGAGAATTGGCTGTCTGTAAGGACATTGCTTAGGAAACGCCTGGATGTTTCGATGTTTTACCATCCTTGTGGGAGGCTTCTCTGATGTCCCCGCATGGGGAGCTGGAAGTGACAGAGGGAGCTCATCTGCACTCTTCCCAGATCCAAATCTTTAATTGGATGCCTTTGGCTCATGATTGGGGTACAGTGACAGAAGGAGGACAATAACAAAATTGGGCTTGGCCTAAAAAGTAAAACTTAAATTTTTTTAAAAAGTAACCTTTTTGAATGAGATAAATGAATAAGTCAACTTAAGTCAACCAGAACACCACATAATGTGGCCTTAATAGTGAATTGTATCAAGTTAAAAAGTATCCTGGCTACAGATGTAAATACAGGAAGGATGAAAGACTGAACATTATAATAATTTCTTTACATACACATCTAGGTAGGGATGAAAGACGTATTGTGTCTTTCATTATTATGTCAAGTGAAGTATTAACTTGTATCTGTTTGTTCTTGGCTGCTTGAAATATTAAAATATAAATATAGAACTGAACAGTTTAAATGGATGTTTTTCAGTTGAAGTCACATTTATACCACCCCATGTTTAAAACATGTTCTTTTCACCATAGCATATAGTGGTAATATACACATTTGTTGCAAACTGCAAAATTAAGTGATGCCATTACAATGCTTACACCACATTAGCTGACGTTGTCATAAACAGTGTTTTCCACTGGTTAGTTCACACAGTTTGTTGAAATAAAGTGTAATCCAATGGCATACAGTCTACAATGTTGTGGAAAGACATGCTTCTTAATGATAAACAATATTTAATTTTGAGTAGCATGACATACAAAAGCTAGGTAAGTTAATAATAAAATCATTTTACTGCCTTGATCCTATGCTTATTCATTTTACTATGATCCAATTCTTCAAAAACAAGTCGCCTTCAAATGTATCTAAATGTGTTTCAAGTGCATTGTGAGTTGACTAAACTTGAATGTCTGCAATGACTTTTGCAGCAACTCTAGTATATTGTGTAGTTTGTATAGTGAAATTGATCTGGATGTTACACAAGATGACTAAGGCCTTACTTTGTAGTTATTCCTATGAAAGTGTGAATAATTTATATTCTATGTACTAATAATACAACATGGCTCAACAGGCTTGCATATCATAAGCAATTTTTTTAAAAATACCAGTTGTTACAGCTGAGGATTTCTATCTGAAATGCTCCAAAATCCAAAACATTTTGCCACCAGTTCTGTCTTCCAAGAGGCAGTAATAGCGCTCTTGGTTACCATTTGCAAGGTGGAAGCAGGTAACTGCTGGATCCCCTGAGAGAAGAGGAAGGCTGGAGAGAGGCACAAATATCTGTGAAATACAGGTGGTGTGAATGCATGCTAAGCTCCACACTTGGACTTCCTCCATTTTGTGCATCCTCAGTCTCTTTCCAACCTTCTTTCTCAAACAGAGCAAATAAGACATGAGGCAGGAGAGAGGCACAAGGGTCTGTGAAATGGTGGTGGTGGGGGGGGGGGCAAAGATATTCAAGATATCTTATTAGGTAGATGCATACATCCCAACACACTTCTGGTTCTAGGCTTTCAAATAAGGGAAACACAGTGTTTAACCCTGTCCTGAGTCATTAGGAGAAGCAGGCAACACATGAAATTATTATTTGATACACAACAGGATTAGTACACAGCAAACAAGATTACTATGCTAGTTGTTGCATTGGATCACACATTGGACACTTCCCAAGTGTCTAGATCTATGTGATGTATCGACGAATAATGCATGCAGATCCAAGTAGGGTGGCCTTTTGAAGCTGACAGATGGTGATTTTGTCAGCGCTGATTATTTTTAAGTGAAAGCTAAGGTCTTTAGTATTATTATTATTATTATTAGTTTTTGAAGTGCCTGGAATCTATTTTGGGGGGAAGAATTTTGGGTGTTACACAACACTCCCTTTTAAAAAATCCTAACCCATCCTTGATTATTTCTTGTCAATAAAGCATCTCAAAGATATAATTTATATAACCTTTGCATTCAATCATCTCAGTTATATTCTCCAGGAACTGATGGTGGGACAAGTATAGTGATGGTCACATAGTAACCAAGTTGCAGCCCATGAGTGAGCAGCTGAGCCTTTCACATACAACAGCGATTACTACAGCAATGTTTTTAACATACATACATATTTGGATGCCTTTTACCGGATGTGCACCATTTCCTCTAAGAATGGTGTCTTCATGCAACCAGTACAGAGCTGATCCATCCAGAGGGGAGCTTCATGTTGCAGAGGGGTTCGCCGAGGGTAAAAGGTGAAGTTCACATCGTAATTCAGCAAGCAACTGATGGATGCCATGTAGATGTCAGAGAAGCGAATCAGTCTTCGAGAAAAGTAGGTTGGATTGTGAAAAGTACGAAAGATGCTCCCAAACTGGGGGTTAAACAGGTTCTTTGAAAGTGACCTAAAGGAAAGAATTTGGTGTCATGCAGTAAATCTCATGTTTGGACCAGTAAGACATTTGCCAATTTTAAAAAATCACTTGGCATCTTCTTTTAAAACAAGTTGTTCTATACTCTTTGAATTTTGTTTTGAAAGGGGAGCCTGACTGGTGGAGGAGGAAATGAAAAATTCCTGGTGTTGTGTTCAAACAAACTTATTTTAGCAATGAAGTTCAAAACATGAATTCAATTCTACTGAAAAATAAAGTGCAGTGGGTTTACAAAAACTGTAATATTGGAGACACAGTTATTTCCTCATCAGAAGTGTTGCAAGTCACAACTAATTCCAAATTAAATATTGCAATAGGCTAAACATGCTGAAGGCTCCAAATCCCATGTGATCTTGGACATTTATCAGGGTCAGGCCTTGGATGGGAGAGTGCCAAGGAAGGCCAGGTTAGGAAGGCTACTTTTCAGAGGAAGACAACAGCAAAGCACCTGAGTGCTCTTTGCCCAAGAAACCATATTTTAAGGCCAGTTGGATAGAACTATTTTCTATTCAACCAAGACACAAATTTATTTTTGCAATTTGTGGGGTTTTTTTTTTCAGAAAGCTCACCTAATTTCCTGTCGCTCTTTCATCCATTCTAGAAGCACCTGCTTAGATTCTGCATCTTGATACATCTAAAAGAAATGGAAAAGGTATCATAATTTATAATCTTCTGGGGAGACCCTGCTCTCGATCCCGCCTGCTTCTCAAGCTCGGCTGGCGGGGACGAGAGATAGGGCCTTCTCGGTGGTGGCTCCTCGGCTGTGGAACGCCCTTCCTACGGACATTAGACTAGCACCATCTCTAATGGTATTCCGCAAAAAGGTGAAGACCTGGATGTTTGTGCAGGCGTTTGAGTAATTTAGTGCAATCTGGTAATGGAACATAGGAATGGAACAATGGACGACGAACCTGGACTACGCTTGGATGATGAGAAGATTGGGTACGGTTGTTTTTTGTAATAATTCTGCATTGTAATTGCTTATTGGTAATTTATGGATAATGTGTTAAGTCAATTGTTATATGTTGTATGGAACCACTGCTGTTTCTACTGTTTTTACTGTTTGTGAACCGCTGTGAGTCGCCTTCGGGCTTGAGATACAGCGGTATATAAGCAAAGTAAATAAATAAATAAATAAATAAATAAATAAATTTAATTTTTAACACAACTGGTTTATTTTAAACTTAACTGTTCACTATAATCATATGTTTAAATAAACATAATGACAGTTGCTGTTTTACATCACTTTCTAGCTATAGAGAAAAATATGCACACAATAAAATTTCCTTAGTTTAAAGTCATGGGAAATGTAATCACAACAGCACCAAGTCAGACATAGTCTATTAATAAATCTAGCCAACGAACAGTTTATTTCATCACCTGCATTCTCTCCAAAAGTCCTGTAAGAGCTTGCTGCCAAGTCAAAGAGTGCATGTACTGCTCTGTGTTAATGATCCGTATTTCTGTTTCTAACTCTGGAACAATGGCTCCTGTCCTCCAACCATGACGGAGCATGAGATCCTAAAAAAACAAGGTGGGAAAGGCAGCAGATTAGTCAATAGCACTAAACAATGCAGCAGAGCCTAAGAAGCCTACAGTTATGGCTGGCATTCTGTTGATTAACTACAATAACATACATCTCACAGCATCACCATTCACATTTTTGTTCATGGCACAGGTTGGAAGACTTCACACAACAACCAAAAGCTTTCCCAAACCTACCTTGTGATCAATGCACCCCATTCCTAACATGATCACTTCTGCCTTGCTGGAGAACAGGGACTTGTTCAGCTCCTTACCTGTAGCTGGACGCATTTCAATAGGTATCTGCAGAAGTATTTATGTCTCCATTGATATGTGTCCTAAGGCAGGATACCAGTCTCTAACCCATACTGAAACAATTCAATCAGCAAAACAAAAGGGGCAAATGTACATGCATATGTCAATCCAGTCTACAAAATTACAGATCTGTTCACACTAGACAGACAAAAAATGACTTTATAAGCTTGCTGCAATGTGAATTAAATTGTGAAGAATAGCAGCAATGGCAATTACTTTCTTAAATTGCCAGTTTCAAATAAAACACCAATCCTATAGGATAATTTGGCTCTAAATCAGGTATTACTTACTTACACAAAACGGCACCAGTTTGCAATCAGCAAATTATAGCTCTTCAGTGTTACAAGAACCAAGGAAGATCTTTCATAGAGTTACTATAAGATTCAGGCCCCATAGAGAAGGAAGCCTTTTTTGAACACAAGGGATCTATTTCTGACTAAACACGCAGAGATGTGGATTGAACACCACAAGCGATCAGTACAATTAGGCATACAAAAACATAGGCAAGATTCTGAACACTATAGGAAACGTTCTACTTGTCTAAATTTGCTTTTCATCTGCAGTATTTTATAGCCTCCCCTCAAGTCAAGTTGGTCTCTGGAATGAAGTTCAATTAAGAAATACTGCCCACCCCCCACTTCTGTGAAATTTCTCCTCACAAAGAAGAGGAGGATGGGTCCTAGCTATGGGGTGGTGGTAGGATCTTAATGTTTTGCAAGTCTTCTTATGAAGAAGGAAAGGTTCTAAATAAATACTCAATTAAGAGAAAATACTAACTTTAATTTGAAATTGTTATATTTTTCATCTGAGCTCTAATTTGGGAAGGGGCCAAAAGCAGCAGACTGCAGGAACCTTCCAACATTTTGACATAAACTAGAGACGTGTCTGAGTTTGAATCAAGACTAGTAATAGGAAAGTTGGTAGTAAAACATTCCTAATTTTAGTTAATTATTAATATGCCAAAAATCAAACTCAATTATGTGAGAAGGATGAGGTAAATAATCGTTACATTTATGTTAAATTGCCAAGTTTAAGTCCAAACCTGGCCCTAACAGTCTTATCAGAAGGAAAGTGGAAAATACCATCTGTGTTTTCGAAATTTCCATCTCTCATCCACCATACCCCAAATCCTTCTTTTGCTTCCCTTTCTCCTCTGTTATATTCTCTTCTTAATCTTCCCCTTTCTTTGGTTTACTGATTCCCATATTAACCCCAGAAAAAGCCCCATGATTAAGAACCTCTGTTTTCAAAAGAACTAATGAGGAATCTCTGGTGTACAACACAGAAGGACCGCCTGCATGCGAGGAAGACCCTCTGGTCCAGCCTTCCATAGCAATATTTGGCTTCTTTTAATCTTTTGACCTAAGAATTAGCTAAACTACCAAGCTGCAATCATGCTTTTTTTAAAAAAAACAACAACAGCAAACAAACCTAAGATTCCCAAAGCTATTTACATTTATTAAAGCTGAGAAAACTAGAATTTGTTGACTTAAGTTACTTGGTTGCATATTCTAGAATTCATTAATTAATTCTACAATTAATTTGCTTTCAAGTAACTTAGGTCAATCAATCAAGTTTAAAAGGCAATTAAGTTGCCCTCTTTCACTAGAAAAAATTAAATTTAGCTGAGAACGCTTTTGCTATTGATTAATTAGTCCTGTCATTGGTCAGGAATGGGTGGATGGAAAAAAGCAGCTTTTTAAACAGTTATTACAACACAGAAGAGGAAGAAACAAAACCATAAAGTTTAGAGTGTTCCCTACAAATATATGCTGCTGATCAATACAATGGAAGGGGGAAAAGGAAACTCTCCTTAGATGCTGATAGGAGGCAGAGAACACAAAAAGCACAGACATAAACAACAGCAGAAAATCCCATGCAGTACTTACTGCAAGGTCACTGTACAAATGGTCACCAAAATAAAGGACCTTGGATCCACGCCAACCTGTTAGCCTCAGAAAGTCAAACAGATTGCCCTGAAATGTAGTAAAAACAAAAGGACGTGAGAATAAACTTAATGCTCAAATCTTTTTGAAAGAAAAAACACCACACGCCTTACTTGAAAAGGTCAAAAAAATAAGCCTCCTAGTACTTTGATTTTCCTGGTGAGCCAAAGAAACAAAGGAAAAACATTTCTTCATACTAAGCTGCTTATTCAATACATTTCCATGGCTAAAGGCTTAAGGAGTTCTCACGGGAACTTTTGTCAAATTAGGAAAAAAAATGAACCTTTCAAAGTCAAATTTGTAATCCCATTAGCTGTACAATTTAATATCTTGCCTGTTTCCTGGGTCAAAAATAGGTAGATTAATAGTAGAATGGTATCTCAGGCTCCTGTTTATTTTATCCTCACAATAACTTTGTAAGGATCACTGAAGTTGCCTACTCCTGATAGAAGATTGCTACTTTTTCCTGTTTAAACGGCAATTCAAACTTTAGGAAACTCACCACTGTGACATAAGAACTGGCAAGTTCAGTGGAAATTTGAAATCAGCCCATGCTAGGCAATTATTTAGTGCTCACACTGAAACTGGGAAAAGTTTAACTTGCTGATTTCTACGTCAAAGTCTTGCTATAAAGACTGTTGGAAGCGATACAAACAGACCAATGTAATTCCCAATTGGATCTTTTGCATATGTAGGACATGTATTAGATTAGTTACAAATCTGTAAACCCTTTCCTCTTTTCCCAGACTCATTCCCACAACATTCAATTAAGAAACCCTGGAGACATTTATTCATATTTTGGCTGCGTAATACACTTGGATGACACTATACCCAGGTTTAGTCATACAGTAGATCCAAAGAAAACCATCTGATTCAAGTAAGAAATGGTTAACTTATCTTATTGATTTTAATTAACAGAATAAAGCCTGGATCCTACATAACTTGCATTACACTGCTATGCCCCAAATCATGTCAACGCAGCAGTTAAGGCACTTACATACTTTGACCTTAACAAAATTCAGAGCTTGGTTTGAATCATTGCTCTCCCTTAGAAAAGAAACCCAGAGCATTCATAATCAGGATAGATACTTACATCTCTCATCAGAGATTACTCAGCATTAGCTTTTATTTTAGAGAATATTTGCATACTAGTTCTGTAAAATAAGTGTTTTCAACAACTGTGAAAAAGAAGATATTAGAAGCAGGCAAGATTATTTTTTCATGCTTCACAGCGCATCCAGAAAATTCAGCTATCAACTACAATGAAATAATAAAGTAGATATGGTTTAAATTATTTTACCTGTTTGTAGATTTTTCCTTTTTCCAGTTTGCTTATTTTGTCCCAATGAAGTGACCCTTCCTCGTCCATTTTTCTGAAAGGTCTAAAACAAGTCAAATAACTCCTATGACATACCTGCAAGTTTTTAGTGATTCTTGGCAGAAAAAACTATAACCATGTTTCAGGTGAATGTCTTTAATGATGGTTTCACTACAGAACATTTTTTAACCATACATTTTCTTCATTTTGTTTTGTTGCCCCCCTGTTTACCATGGTATCTGAAGAATGGAAAGGGACCACACAGGCCACTAAGCCCAACTCCCAGTCATACACATTAAATGTAAAAGTGCAACAATCCTTCAGTGGCTAATGTTATACAGATTATTGTGGATCTGAAATGTATACTAGGTCTGAAATATGCATGAAAAAACAAAGAATTTTAGCAAAAACAGCTTTAACTGAGTAAGCAGATTTTGATTATGTAAAAAGCCACTCATCATCTTAAAAGATAAGGCCACTGATCTTAAAGAAATATACTGTCAAATGCTTAGCAGAAGGCCGAGGTGATCAGAAGTATTTTTATATTTACTTTGCAGAAAGACTACAATTAAAAGCTGCATTAAAGAGTCCAGCATTTAATTGATCCCTCTTTCCTTCTGTCACAATGCTTACCCACACCTGCTGCATTTCTAACCTTGCCCCACTAATGACATGGGACACAGGCATGCAGAATATGCACTGGCCATTCAGTAAACTACTGCCTCTTTAAATGTTCTTTCTAGGTTTGATCTAAGTGATCAAAATTGGGACTGAACCCAATTGTCTGTTGTGGAATCTTTGAAATTTTCTCTCCTTCAATCCCAATAATTTAACCTGTTCTTTTCCTAGAATCAATGTAGGAAGGAGGGCTTCAGTGGAGAACTGCCTTCCCTTCTGGTTCTCCTGGATTCTGCCATTCCACTAACACAGTGGTTCCCAAACTTATTTGGCCGACCCCCTGGAAATCAATTTTTCTAAATCTTCTCTTCTTTCTTTTATGCTTTCACCGCCCCCTTACAGTTATTCAAAGCCCCCAAATGCACTTGTGGCCATTATTGTGTCCCCCCCCCCCTCCCCGATCGCTGCAGCACCCACCAGGGGGTGGTAACGCCTACTTTGGGAATCACTGCATTAACAGAAGCCCACCACTGAACCCTTACTGTAATATAATCCTGAAACATACTTGCGCCTGTCAGTGAAGAAGTTGGGCTTATCTGCTTGCACAATGACCATGTCAAAAAGGTCCCGCCAGCTCTTGCCAACCATATACTTCATTCCTTTATCACTGCAGGCAAAACAGGAAAAAAAAGTCACACATTTACATGAACTATAAATTCTTTTTCTTGGGGAGAGTGAAGGGACGGCCCCTTTCCCTTCAGTTACCCTTCCTATCAAGCTCAAAAAGCAGAGCTAGATTCTGAAAATGCTGGTGCTCAGGAAGATTAGCCACTCTCACAAGCCTGACAGGAAATGCTCATAGAACATGAATTCAGGAACATAGTAAAAACTATAAATCCCTACTACTTACAACAGGTGTTTTAACGTCCAGGGCTATAGTACTCTTGTTTAGGGAACTATGATTGTGGATAGCATGGTTTCTTTAGTCATTGTATGTTTTTTCAAAATGTTTTCATGTTTTTTTTATTTTGGTCTTAATTTAATTTAAATGTTTATTTTAATTGTACATTGTTGCTAAGGCACTGAATTGTTGCCTATCTGTAAGCCACCCTGAGTCCCCCTCAGGGTTGAGAAAGGTGGGATATAAATATAGTAAATAATAATAATAATAATAATAATAATAATAATAATAATTATTATTATTATTATTATTATTATAATAAACCAAATATGTTGTTTATATCCAAGCCTACTTCATTTTTGTCTCTTAAGTGCATGATATAAAACAAGTTGTTTTATGGGAGGGTGTATATATTTTAGGCACTGAAAAACACTTCTGAAGCACTTTTGCGTTTTTTTTTACGCACTGGCAAAACCTGTTTTCCTAACAGATCAGAGATAACAGATTATTCAGTCTAACAACTGAAACCACTGCCTAGCATAATTACAACTGGTTGCATACCACAAGAGAAGAGTCTACTCTAAAGTATTTTGGCTCTTCTCTGAAAAGGCATGCTTTTCTAAAAAGTTAAGATCTCCAAAAGGTGTTTTCCAAAGATTATGAATGCCATTTTCCAAAAACATAACATTCGCATTTGTTCCAAGCAATGCAGGAGGACTGTTCTCAAATCTTCAAGAAATTTGAAGGATAATTCCTTTTAGTTCTCATGAAAGGTAGGGATTTTATGTAGATATTAGAATAGCTACACCACACAGCTTCCAATGTTTCCATCATATAAAAAGTTGCTGATAGTCCACACCAATTTGAATAGCAGAGCAAACAATGCTTTAATTTCCAGCAGTCAAGTCATGCTACTATAAGCTTGGTAGCACAAGTTTGTTACACAACAATTACTTTCTCAAACATAACAACCTTGTGGCAACAACTAACAATATTTATAAGGCTTCCTCAGACTACAGTCTGCTTTATTAGAGGCATGAGAAAGTCACCTTTGTATTTAATGAAATGGGCTGGAGTCCATGAAATCGTGGGTCAAATTAAAATTTGCCATGGGACTCTTCCTTACAACAGACTAATTTGGCTATTCCCCTGATAACATTAACATATATATTTTAAAAGCCAAGCCACTTATTTTCAGGGCTGGACTCTAGAAGAACTCAGAAAACAGAAGATCATTCCATGGATTCTGAGCATATCAGAAACTGTGTGATACTGAGTACATGAACCTGGCTGTTTTTCCAACCTAAAACATAATCTCATAATCACTATTACCAACCAGGGAGCCATTGTGCTTGAGACAGAGATGTCCAATTTCCCCATTCAGTCCTGGCACATTTCTTCAATGCACACCAAGACTGAACAGAAAAAGACACACAGATGTGTTGTGGGAAGGATTGTGCGTGTCTGTAAGATTGCTGCCAGTTTTTAAACACATTTTGTATTGCTTGATCTGCTAGAAATATCTAGTTCTGATAGCTGCAGCCTTCGCAGTTTCATAGCATTATACAATTCTTCACCAAAGCCCATTCTTTCCACATTAAAAAAAAATCTACACAGAGAATGTACTATATACTATCATTAGACATTTACTATCAGCACATTTATCACCACTGTACATGAAAAATTGCTATAAGAGTATGCTCACACGAAAGTAAAGGGACTATTTGTGATCAGAAAGAGTTTTTTGTTGTGATTAACCAGGCGATTTAGGACAGCATAGGTTTCATCTCCATGAAGAATATATTTTTCTGAAACAGACAAATAAACCTAAATGTAAGATGGAAACGTGGAAAATGGAAAAATACAACAGAAAAATTGAAATTTCTTATGAAACATTATCCTGGTGATACAAAACTTTTAATCCAAAGCTTAGGTGAGCCCATAGCTTTCCTTGCTTTCCCCACTCCCTATACAAATGTGGTTTGGGAAGTATATCATCATGGAATCAATGAGAGATGACATTTCATGCATTGTAGATGGTAGATTCCTTTGGAGAGGGGCAGGTGAGTGTTCATGGCTAGGAAAGGACAAGACTAATCACTCTTCTCCGTATATGACTACTTCCCCCTTCTAATTAGGTTTTAAGGAGAACATCCTGCTCTAGACAACCAGTAGCTTTTTTCATCTAAATGTGAATGCTGCACAGGAAAGATGATCTGAGTGTGCAAAGTGTGTTTATGTGGCAACTCAGTACTGTTGTGACTTCACCGACTGATGTCACCTGACCCTCAAAAAGAGAAGCATTCTTTATTCCTCATCTAGAGCTGCAATGTCAGACACTGTGTATTACTATGCAAAATTCTGAACTGAACTTTAGGGCTTAACTGACCCATGTCCTTTTCAATCCATTTGTACATCATTCCTTTCACATGGACATCTTTGATGGCATCCTAAAATAGGAAAGAATAGTTATGTATCAGTTCTTAAACCTGATATTGTGTTTTATACAGCACCATCAATAAATATGGCATTTTATTGGGAAACCATAAAAAACAGAGCTTGACACATGATATAGGGGACATATGATTAGATTTTTGACTGCTTAGTTTCTTATTAAACTCACAAACATAGGTCAATATATTTGTGGACTAAAGGTAAATCAAAGAATGAGCTCTTTTTCCATAAACCCACTGAACACAGATGTATTTACACAATTATAGGCTAAATAAAATAAAAAGGAAATTCTGTTTGTCCCATTAGGAATTTCTGCTGTCTTTTCCATGGCTCCAAAAATGTCAGTTGTGTGTGTAGTGATCTTCTAGAATTGTGTACACTAGATGCATGAAACTCTGGAACACCTCAGCAAGCGAGAGTCCAAAAGTGGCAGGCTCAAACCCAGAACCTCAACCAATGGCTGATACCAAATGAGAGACTCCCCCCTGGGTACACAGAGGACTGGGCAACTTGGAAGGCGCTGAACAGACTGCGCTCTGGCACCACGAGATGCAGAGCCAACCTTCAGAAATGGGGCTACAAAGTGGAATCTTCGACATGTGAGTGTGGAGAGGAGTGTGGAGAGAGAGCCACCTGCTGCAATGCAACCTGAGCCCTGCCACATGCACAATGGAGGACCTTCTTGCAGCAACACCAGAAGCACTCCAAGTGGCCAGATACTGGTCAAAGGACATTTAATCAACTACCAAACTCACAAATTTTGTATTTTGTCTGTTTGTTTGCTTTGTTCTGTTAGAAATGTAATATAATTGACTGGTTGCCCTGACACGACAAATAAATATGAAACTCTGGAATCTGGATAGCACTTGTATGAAGAGAAATGCTTTCTGTTTGGGCACAGGTTTATATTTTACAATGTTCTTCTAATAACAACCACCTGGCATGGATTACCCCAGGATAAACAGTAACATGTATCAAGGACAAAGAGCAAATCAGCAAGGAGTAATCTGCATGTCTGTTCACCAGGAAATATACAGGGGTATGGCAAATGTGCTAGGTAATATAAGAGAATCCCTGCTGCAACTAGCCCCAAGATCCACCAAACCCAGCTTTGTCATCTAGATCAGCCAGCTAGATGCTCATGGGAAATTCACAAAGATAAATCTTTCTCCCACGGCAATTTCCTAAATGTAAATGAAAATAACAACAACGTTTCTTAACTGCTGTCAAGTCGACCTTGACTTATGGCACCCCATGAATGAGAGACCTTCAAGCCACCCTATACTTAACAGCCTGGCATATGTCTTACAGGCTCAAAGCCATGACTACTCTGATTGTGTCTATCCGTCTGGAATGTAGTCTTCCTCTTTTCCTACTGCCTTCCATCTTACCTAGAATTGTTGTTTGTCTATTGAGTCAAAGTCTTCTCCTTGATTTAATTGTTTATTTGTCCTTTTAGCCATCCAAGAGATCCACAGAACTTGTTTTAGCACCACATTTCAAATCACCTGATTTTCTTCTTATCAGCTTTCTTTGAAGCCCAGCTTTCATAACCACACATAAAAATGGAAAATATGACGGCATGGACAATCCTAACTTTACTATTTAATAATATATATATATACACACACACACATTTCAGGATCTTTTCTAGTTTTTTCAGAGTTGTCCTTCCAAGTCCTAGTCTTTTTATTATTTTTTTAATTACCGTCTCCATTAAGATTAATGACTGAGCCAAGGTATATAATATGTTGTAACTGGTATTCAGAGGCATATTATTTATTTATTTATTTATTTATTATATTTATATACCGTCCCTCTCAGCCCGCAAGCGACTTGAGCTTTATCTTCCTATTAATCAACTTTAAAATCCAGCAAAGCTGGTTGCCATTATTCCATTCTGCAGAACCAGTTTTCATAGTTGAATTGGAGGTTTTCTTTGTCTGGAATCTCCTGCCATTCTAATTCACTGGACAGACATAGGTGCTAGTACTGTGAGAGTGGGAAGACTTCAATATCCTGTTCCTCTGTACAATAGTATTTTTACTCTTCTGTGTTTTCCCTCTCCCCATTTACTTTCTTTTTAAACCAAATAGCCCCAAATGTTGTAACTTTTCTTCATAAAGTAGTTACTCCAGTTTAATGATCCCTTGCATCTCCGCAATATCAATTCTGAAATTGCAACCAGGAATGTTATATGTTTTAATGTACTTTATTTTTATTTTTATTTTAATGTATTTTAATTATATATTGTTGTTAAGGCAATGAATTATGGCTTATCTGTAAGCTGCCTTGAGTACCCTCCAGGGTAGAGAAAGGCGAGATATAAATATAGTAAATAAATAAACACACTATATTCCAAATGCGACCACACCACCAAAGTGTATAATAAAGTTATAATATTGGCCTCAAATATTCACAATTATTGTTGACCTTTTGCTATGTACAATGTGTTCACATTTTCTCCTTTTCACGAAAAGGTCTTAAGGAGTCCAAGAAACTCTCAGAATCACTATGAACATTTTAAGTGCCAGCAGTTGCCCACTGGTAACATGGAGTGAAATACAGGCCACATATTGACTATCTGTGGCAGAGAAAATTCAGATAGTGCTTAAATAAAAGAATGAGAGAGAGAGAAATTACAGCAGCTAGTGACAAAAAAGGAATGCACACAGATTTTGCTTTACAGGGCTAGACCTCAATTTACATTGTCAAGAAAAGGTTTCCTATATGCCAACATGAAATGTATTTTGTCCCATAAGCCTGCACTGCAATCCCTGAGCAACTACTTTATTATACAAGTATCTGTCTGCTGGTATACTGACAAACACACACCCTATCCCAAAGAATGATTTCCAGATCTTAACTTCTATCAGATGCCCCTTCATCCCAAAGGTCACAACACTAAAAGATCAGATTGGTGACATGACTACAGCAATAGATTATGACAATCTACACTATTACCCAGCATCAGTTGATCATTATTTGACTTAACTTACCATATTGTATATTGGAGTACGATTTACAAAGGCTTGCCTTATGGCAAATGGAACAAAATACCATTCAAACTTTAAAGGATTACTTTTTGTTACATAAAACAAGGACACATACACATTCTCTCTCTCTCTCTCTCTCTCTCTCCCTCTCTCACACATACACATACACACACACACACACACACGTAAAACTATAATGCTAAGACAACAGGAGTAAACCTCTTTAATGATAAAATGAATGTTTAAAATAATTTCTCAAGTGAAACATGTTTCATGTGAGTACCACTGCAATGCAGGCCTTAAAAACAGATGTTAATTATAATTTGTGCCATTTTTTTTAAAAAAAGATTTCTACATTTTTCACATTAGCACCATTCTCATCTGCTTTGTCTAAGTAAAACCTGGAAAACACTGGAAGACTGCTTACAAATACGTTCTAAAACTCTTTTACTCACGCTGATATCCTTGAAAAGATGAACTTGGTCATACTCAATATTGTGAGTCATGAAATAGTCAGTCACTGATGAAAGCAGGGTCATTTCAGGAAGGGAGAAAATGTCCATAAACTGTTTAATTGACGGCCCCTGCCCAAAGGAAGAGATGTACCATTATAAAAACAAACAAATACAGGCTCAAGTGGGTGGTCAGGAAGAAACTGCTATTAAAATAAATAATTCACATATGAAACGGATATAGTTAATCTTTCCCATGTCCAAAAAAACATAGCTATACATTTTGAATCGACATCTGTAATATTCCACACCTAAATAAAATGCAAGTATCATGCTTATAAAGAACTTGGCCATATAAACGATAATGAAAACATATCAGCGTCACTACTTTTATTATGATTTGTATAAGATTAGTTAAAACTCCATTTGTTTCACCACACCTTTGGTGGACTTGATGCAAATAAATGCCTCATTTGCTACTAAGTGTATTATTATTATTATTATTATTATTATTATTATTATTATTATGCTTTTTAATATTGCCCTAAAGCACAAATCTGGAAGAAAGATGATAAACTGCTGACAAAGTATCTTCAATATGGTCAATAAAAACAGGTTTACCACATTCTAGCAAAACCTGTTAGAAAAATACACATAATGTGTGCTATGGAAAAATGGAGCTTTGCCAATTAAGAATGTCTACACCCTTTAAAAATGTTAACTTGCTTCACCAAAAAAGCCTGATGTATTTAATTTCTGTTCTAATTATATTCCAGACTGGATTTTGATTTTAGCATATCAGCTTTTCTAATGTTACATTTTCCACAAAGTTCTGCAGTTATTTACTGGTTAAACTGCATTTACTGCTTTATCATGAATAACAGAGCCACTGAACATGGGCTTGCTTGGCTTATTAACAGTTCACACATCTGTCAACATAGAAAATCTCTGTCAGCATGCAAAAAGGCATATATGACTGCATCATTTTCAGATATCAGACACTCAAGAACCTTGCTCCCTTCGCCTGGGAAATTATAGCTTGAGTGTTCAGACATTTTTATCTGTGTGGGAACTAACTAGGTCTTGCTGACGAAAGCACATATCAGGAGATGCTTTGAAATGGTCAAGAATGTATGTGCAAATTCTATAGAACAAAATCCAAACAAGGTAATTCACTCTTCAACAAATGTATTTGATTTATTTACAGTATTTCTCACCCCGAGGGGAACTCAAAGCAGTTAGAACCAAAACCTATTTGAAGCAGTATTAAAAGTTTAATGAAATGAAAATAAGCATTATCTATCCACTAATATTTCCCATACAATCCTAATCTTTTTCTTGAGAAAAGGCTGGAAAAAAATTCAATGAAATAAAACAATAAAACAAGCCTTTAGAAAACAAATTAATGTCAACCCGACTATAAATATGATAGTATCAACCAGTACGATTATCAAATAAATACCACTTCTCTAAAATTCAACTGGAAAAGATATGTTTTAAATTATACCTACATGAAAATTAGTATGCTTGTGTTACATTTTTGCAAAGAGTGAGCTCTGGAATTGCGAAGTTGCCACCAAAAGCTCTAATTTGTTATGTTAGTTTCACATGCTAAATGCTGGTTTCTCCTGGCGCCTGACCAAAAGAAGCTTCCTAGCTGATCTTAAAACCTGGTTCAGTAATACTGGGGAAAGCAATTATTCTGGGTTTTACATCCATGTCATTTTAAGACAATGTCATGGGTCTGAGCAGAAATACTCCAATTGTTAAGTAATAGTGAATCCACTGCAAAATACTGACTCTTGGCACATGGAGAAGATCTAGCAACAGATTCTAGCCAACAGCATTGACTTTGAAGAGAAATAACTGGGTAGCACTCATCCCATGTCTCTTCTCTTATAATGGCCATTACTGTGAATGTTAACTACTAAAAATATTAACTTGGCATCATACTTGTGTCTAAATAGCATTCCCAATTTACCAAGGGCAGCATATGAGGATCATAGCGGCAAGTCCAATATGCTTCCCTTTCCCAGTGAAAGCTTTATTCCAGTCTGCACTCTGTCGATTACAGTTAAGACTCCTCCGCTTCTGACCTCAATATGATCAGAGTTTTTTGTACCCACCTTCCCTTTATCCAATTTTACGTCAATTTGCTATGGGGATCTGGATTCAGTGTGTGTAAGATGGAGTAGGAGTGCCCATCATAACCAATGGCAGTGCCCCGATGGGACGTTGTGGCAGTGGGTAAATGTCCAGGTCAGGAACAGGACTCAACCCCTCTCCCAGTTGGCAAGGGAATCATGCAGTGGCTTCTGCCCAATGGATCTCCACATCTATCGTTCCAGAGAAACTCAACAGACTAGCGAAAATGGCTGGCAGGTTATTAATCAATAGGTGGCTCTGGGCCCATTCTGAGACCAAGCTTCTCTAGTTGTAGCCAAAAGGTTTAAGACCATTCCTTGCCAACATATTTATTATTATTTGCGGTATTTATATACCACTCTTCCCAACCCCAAAGGGGTTCAGGGGGGTTCACAGTGTTGGCAACATATATAGTCTCTCTGTAATGATCTCTATATTTAATGGGTCTACATAACGTGAACAAAAGAAATTAAATAGACTCATTTAATGCAATATCACTGCAGATGGTGCAACCAAATAGTCCTTGTACTCTCAAGGGAAAACAAAATCAAGGAATGGAATAATTCCAAAATGGAATTGGACTCCAGTATTTTCCAATCTTATCTAAGGAAATAAGAGGCTGTAGAATTGTTTTAGGGAAAGAAATGCAGAAGAGTAAGGATTGTATCTTTCTTAGCAGCTAAACAGTACAAACAAAGCTAATCAGAGAAGCCTGTGTTACAAATTAGTGTCAGACACAGTAGCATATAGCAGCCAAGAGCTACTGAAATATGATCTGCCCTCTCATCTGAGAAGGGAACAGTCTGTTCTAACACAAATAAGGGGGAGCAGTGTTTTATTAACAGAAGAGAGCTACAGATTGTCATGTGGCTACGGGAGGGTTTCTGTCTTTGTGGGTGGAATAAGAGAGCCAGATAAGCATAATGATCTTAAACAGTCAAGACCCCATTAAAAAGAACACACTTTCCACTTACAAATGGCATAAACAGATTATTTCTGAATTGTGAGTTGGAGAAGATTTTATTTGGGCTACCAATTATACATAATGCACAATAATATTGCTGGCTGTATCCACCAGAATTCCCCACTCCTTTTTTTTTACTCATTTCGTAAAGACCTTTCTTTTTTCTTCTTTTTACAGAGGGTAATATCTGTGACCTTCTAAAGTTCATTGTAAACTGTTGTGTAAGGTCCATGAGCTTTTAAAAGCTCACAGAAGCACCTAGGGAAATTAGGAACATTTCTTATTTTATTAAACAACAATCTGTAAGTAATTCATTAATCCGAAATTACAGATTTTAAAGGAAACTTAAGTGCAACAGGATATTTAATCTGGACATGAAAAAAACTAGTTTCTATCTGGAATGTCTTTGGATAAGGAATTCTCTCTGAAACATCCCATCTCAAAAACTGTACAAAGTACTTAAAACCTTTTCTTGATTTTTCTCTCTTTTCTCACTTTTAAAAAGATATTTCTTATTTTAAGAATATTTCATGATTAGACATTTTAAATATAACATGTTAGTAAGATTCAGAATATGACACTAGATACAAAATATTTCTTTCTTATACAACCTATACTCAAATGGTATAAAGATGGGGACAGAAACCAATACTTACAAAGCTATACAACAGTGCACATTGATAGGGCGATACAGAACATGCACAGACATCTATTTAAACTGGAAGAACCACAAAGGACAATTTCTCAAAGCAGCTGCTTTTGCCTATTCAGTACATTGTCATCATTTTGCTTCTACCCGTCATGAGGTCACAGCAGCAAAAGTGAACTGTTTAAAAGAGTGACACTTTGGTGTGGGCTTAAAGGACTGCTTGTTGTCCACTGACTTACAACATGCAACATACAAGTATTTCTTTCCATCCAGTGTATTATAAACCTCCTTATCAAATGGGATTTGAAGATGCACAAGAGAAGGCCATTTTATGTCCTGAGTGCTCTGGTTATGATCTTGCTATCACAGAGCTCAGGGAGATAATCCGAACAGTATCTGAACAGACTTCAAGAGGAACATTATTTTTGAATGTCAAATTTTAAGTGCAAAGACTTAAAAGCCAAAACAAGAAGATATTACTTTCTTCTACCCAATGACTCCGTTAAAAGGATAGTGAGGATCTGGAAAACTAGAATAAGGAAATACAGTTTACAGTTGTATCTATACCAAGACTTTTTCCACTGGAAGAACTACATTCTAAATTCCTGAGAAATATCTTTAGTGCCTCATGCTACATTCCCAACGTCTTATTTAGAATGGAAAAGAAAACATGTAGAAGTATATGCTTGGTTCCCTATTATAAGCTATTGTCTTAAACACATTTTAACCCACTTGATCTCACAATTTTTCCTCCAGTTGGGTGAGATCTGTTGAAGAGAAACAATAGCATTATAGATTTTTCCTTCAATCTTGTTATAATTAGGATTTCTAAGAGCTTAAGAGATGAACAAACAAAGGATCTGATATGGAGGTTCTCAAGAAGATAAGCAGGCTTTCTGAGTTATCTAGAAGCTGGGAATTATAACCCAAATGTTTTGTCAGCCAACTATCTTTAGTCTATTTAAATGTGGTAACATTAGCCCCCATTAGAAGGAAATACGTATATTTACGCCTAATATAGACTGTTCTTGTCAATTAGGAATGGTCAAAACATATGTTTCTGTACTGTTTATATTACAAGGACATTTTTCTTTTATATATCTTCTCAGTTTTAGCAGACTTTCTAGGTAGATACAATAACTGTAATTATCCCTCTTGATTTGAGTTATGAGATAAGAAAAAGCAAGTATTTATATATGGAAAAGAAGTCTGACAAAAATGGTTTATGGAGAGTGGAAACAGCCCACTTGCAGGCTGATGCTACCACTTTTCTTCCCTTTAGCTCTGCCATGTTGGAAAAGTATTTGGGGAGGAACCAATAACAAAAGAGTACAGAGGTCAAATGGAACAAAATGAAAATTGTTGGAAAAGATGCAAAAGAAATATTCTGTCTCTGAGCTTTTGTAGCAATGCTTCGCTAAATCAGACATTTAGTACAGCATGACTATCCAAGTGGTCGTGATGATGGTGTGCTGGACCAGGGAGAAAAAATAGATTTAGAGCTCCAGTTATGCTCCCTAGAAGAGTTATGACCTGGAGATTCATGAGATGGCATACCCTAATAAGAAGTGAATTGACATAAGTGTTATGTGACAATGTGGAGAATGCCTCTGCACTAGGTGAGGTGTTCAACTAAAGTTACTGAATAGGTCATCATCTGCATATTAATCTATTTTGTCAACAATTTTTTAAGTATTTAACACGTTTGCTTCCTTAGTAAGCATGTTGCAACTGCTGAGAAAACAGTTTATTTAAACTGACAAGTGCTGCCCCCCAAATTTGCAAGAAATCTCTAGTATTCTCAGCAATTCACATATCTTGAATTTCTTGGTTGGTAAGATAAGGTTAATTAAATAGTCAATAAGAGTGTTTACTATACCTTGCCATAAAAATCACTCATTTGATATAACGGGATATGTTGAGTTCCACCATACATCTCAATAACTTCATCATCAGGCACTGGTTTCAGTCCTCTAAAAGCAAGTTAAAAGAACTTCTAGTAAATGTCATATTCAACCAAGATGAAAGCCAATAAGGACAAAAGAGTGGCAAAACTTTATATAGTTGGGGGAAAAATCAAGAAAGATCTGCCCTTCATGTTAAACCAGTTTCTAATAAAGCATTGCCTTTCATTTGAACTCTGAGCCATTAAGACAGGGATTAAAACTTTTACTTCATTAACTGGCAGACAGCTGTCCTTACTTCAAGGAAAATAAAATCCCTGGCTTGTAATCCTTTGATTTTAAAAAATAATAACATAGTATTCATATGGCATATATGGGGAGTGAAACTGTGAATGAATAATCATTACTTGAGGTTATAAAATGGCAAGAGAATCATAGTTTAAATTTCAGATACTTTGATAACACTTCATTTAAATAGTTAGCTCATTAAATACCTAAAGAACTACAGGCAATGCCCGAGTTACAAACATCCGACTTACAAATTATTCATAGCTAAAAACGAGATGAGGCAATAGAAAATGAGAGAAATATACCTCTTAGGAGAGAAATTCACTCCTGCAAAAGTTATCATGGGGGAAAGGTGTCTTCACCTTTGCCAATCTTTATTTCTACACCAAACCATTTTTTTTTCAAAATCCAGTTATCGCAGGGAAAGAAAGTGAGGTGGAATCTACTGAACAGGGGCACAGACAGCAAAGCAAGCACCACAGGGGTGTTAACCCTTCCCTATGCTACCAAAAGACTCTCTCTCTCCCTCTCTCCCCCTCTCTCTCTATATATACATATCTAGCATTACACTTTAAAAATGTGCCTGTTCCGACTTACATACAAATTCAACTTAAGAACAAACCTACAGAACGTATCTTGTTCGTAACTTGGGGAAAACCTGTACTGGATATTATCAAGAACTGGGCGGGGAGGTTGTAATCTACACATTACGATTAATACTGACAAACACTAGTTACTGATAATGGCTAACATTGGGAGGCAGAGAAATTGCAGTTGAAGGTTATCAACAAAGTTTTTCTATAAAAGGGAAGTGCTTCAAAAATAATAAGATTGTAAGATACACGAGTTACTAAAATTCCCCTTTAAAAAGTGCTCTTGGTGCTGTATTTTAAGATGTTGCATAAATAAATTGTAGACAACTAGGGAAATTAATAGGATTCCACACAAAAAGATGAAGGAGGAAGAAAATGTCAAAACAACTGATAAATCAACAGGAATTTTCTTTCAAAGTAGAACTTTTTATTTCATTATACAGCACAGGTAGCACTCCAACCTCTCTCTCCTGAAGTTATATTATACCTCAATATAATATTATAATGTTTGGGAAATAAAAGCTATTAATAGTAACATGCAGCACTGTATCTCAAAAGTTTACCAAAACCACCAGAAACTTTAAAAAATCTATTTAAACACAATGTTCAGAATTTTTAAAAGAGTTCTTAATCAACTGCAAGCAAATTGTTTCTGTTCTTAGAAAATATGTTTCCACACAACTTCTGTTACTTTTATGTCACCTCTGTATTGCTATCTGACCAAAATGCCAGCTTCCTTCTTTTCAGCGTTCCAGGACCTCTACATAAACTTGTTAACCTCCTTATGTTAATTTCAAAGTCAGGGTTTTTAAAGCAGATTTGTGAAAGATGATTAACACAATTTGGAGGGCAGCTGACTTTGGTGAATGTTACCAACATATTCAGATTACAATGGCTCAGACTATATCAAAACTCAGCCACAAAAGTGATCTTGGGTCTTTTGACAACACAAAGGGTTTTTTGATAACATAAAACATAACTTGATTTTCTTTCCTACACCTGGCCATTAGATGTTTGATAAAAACAGATTTATAAAGGGCAAGGAATGCAGAAAGAAAACACAGAAGGAAAGAGTTTCACGAAGATGACAGTGCCAGTAATGAAACTTTTTTAAGATACATATATAACTTACTGATATGCCGTACCCAACTGAACATAGTGGAAAGCATCAATCTTCATCAGAAGGCTCTGAAGGATAAATAGATCTGTACTGTGAAATGGTTTCATGGGTTAAATCCAAAATGATACATGCATTTATTTCTTCTAGCTGCTGAGATGTAGCAGAATGAGACTCCCAACACTTTCAGAACAGATTTTGAGGGCACACTGGGTGTGTGCCAGATGGTGCTTCAACTCCATCAGAAGAATCCTACCAATAGATTCCTGAGCAAATAAGAAGCAGCAAGAACTTCCTGCTTTACAAAATCCATCCATGGAGATGGACCAGATGCCCGTTTTTACACCATATCCAAGCCACTGATTTCATATACTTAACTTGCTAAAAGTAGCTAAGTAGTTTTTTATACATGCATATGTGAGCTCAGCATCTATTATTGTCGTGCATTTTTTCAGGCAGCGCCCACTTATCAAATACTGTTGAAGACCTTTGCTGTGCTGTAACATATACTTCAGCTGTGTTTAGAGACAGTAAGCCCAAACCTTGAGTACTCCAGACTTCTTCTTTCTTTCTTTCTTTCTTTCTTTCTTTCTTTCTTTCTTTCTTTCTTTCTTTTTTTTGGTAACAAAACAACATGTTTCTGTATTCTGCTCAATTAACTTTGCTTGGCTTCTCCTACAAGTGGAAGTGGCTAAAAAAATAAGTCTATGTTCATGTTTATCATGCGTGCCATGCAACTTCAGCCTAACAGGTCAGACCGTGAGCTGTGGATTTTTCTTGGTTTAGGACTTTGGCTGACTAGAACAGAAGCAAGTCAGAGCATCCAAACAATACACTAAATGAATCAGAGATATTCAGGTTGGTTTGTCTACTTGTTGTGTACCTTCAAGTGATTTCTGACTTATAGCAAGCCTAAGACAAACTTATCATGGGATTTTCAGGGCAAGATTAGACTTCCTTTGACACTGAAAAAGTGATCTGCCCAACTGGCACTCTTATATAGATATTTATAGAATATATATGAAAGTATCTATGTGATCTCAGGCTAGCGTATAATAAAATCTCTTTGGTAAATTTACAACTATTTAACTGAACTATTTAAATAGACTAAAAGCAATTTAATAAACGTTAAAAAAACAACACATGTTAAAATTAGTTAACAAACGAACTGCAAAGTTGAGTGGAATAAATTATGACCCAAATGTTCTAGGGGAAAAAACACATGTTTTTATTTGGTTTCAGAATGATACCAACTTGAATGTGAATTGGTTCTCCACAAAAGGATGCAATTCCTCTAAGCAGCACTGGCTGATCAAGCACGGCATGCCAGCAGGATGGATCAGGCATATTACCAACAAGCCAGAATTAACTGTAGCATTGGCCTATTGTTCCATCCAGCTTAGCCAAGTTTTCTTACCATGTTAGTTTCTGTCATATTGGGAGGGTTTACACACCCATGGCTAGCTTCTTAGGCAATATCACTTCCTTAAAGTGAGTTTTAATGTAACATATGAAATGACCCACAACCATATGCATCATAGTGATACCCTTAGAGCATACAGTAGGCATATATCTAGAATTTCATGAAGTTATCTATCTTTTCTAATATATATGATACTGCATACATTTGCACAGATCACTGGGAACACATCTGTATGTTCCAAAAAATAGTGACATATTCTTACTTCAGTCTGTGCCACATCTATTTTTCCAAGTTGCTTTGGGGGTTTTAAAATCAAGTTCCTCTTTTTTCCCCTCTCCTTTCAAAGTCAGTACACAGAAAATTTGCTTCTTGCGTCAGAAACTACTAATCCACAAACAGGCAGCCGATGTCTTTATTTCAATCCTTCACAGTTAAGTATTACTTTCTTTCTAATTGTAAATCAATTGAACTTGCAAGACAAGACACTCCAGTTACTAAAAATTTGCTATGCAAACATTTTGTTTTCTCTTCTAGGAGTCACACGCTCAAAGACCTATCAAATTACACCTATCAGAGGTACTTTATTTTCTGAGAAAATATCCATGTATTTTCAGTAGGTAAACAAAACTCACAGGTTATGTTAGATCCATCAATACAGTGAAAGGGTATAAGAATGCATGAATAATTTGTATAAACTTACTTTGTGCACATCATAGTGAAGTCCTCTTATAGCAAATCCTGGAATGTATTCATACTTCATTAATCCCTCTGGATACTGCAAAACATTCAATTAGAAAGCAAATTTCTTGTCATTTCTTCAAAGAACAGAACAGTCCTAGAAGACAAGACTAGCAATAGATATAGTAGGTAGTATGTTTGTTTGGGACACTGGTCAGTGATGAAATTCCCTGCACGACCTCTGGCTCTCTATTTTACATGGCTATTGCAAAGCAGGAACCTTTTAACGCATACTGCACTTTCACATTTATCTCCATGTCCACAAGAACAAGAAGTCTTGCGTTAGAGAAAGAATCTGAAGTTCTTTCTTTAAAAAATACACCAAACTAAATCAAAACATTCCCAACACAAAATGTAATAAGCAAGGACTAAACTATCCAACTGGATAAACATAAAGCTTGACTTCTTAGGCACAGCTATAAATCCACATAAATTAAATTTATACCCCAAAATCAAACAAAAATAGAAGCAACTGAAATATCAAAATAGATTACAATACAATAAAAAGAAACAATTATAACTCATAATAAAACGTTTAGATGTCAAAGGTTTGGCTGAAGAAAAAGTCAGAGAAATATTAATCCGGCTCTAAAAATATTTTGCCTTATAGAGGCTATACTAAAATGATAAGAAAAGATTTATTTGTTTATTCTCAGCCAAGAGATCATAAAGTGAAACTTGTTTTGTATGCCTTCTGTTAACAGGACAAACTTCAAATAAATGAAAGAATATTACTTAGATTAAAACTAAAGACAGACTAATATTAATAATTGTGTTTGCCTTCAGTGCTAAACCACAGTTTGATGTGCAAGTCAGACTTACACAAACACTCCTTTCCAACTCCAGCAATTAGTAGATTTGAATTTTCCCTTTTACATCTACTGCAATTTTGCTTGTTTGTATTAACTAAAATTATCCATGTACAGAAAATAAAAACTGCAAAATATAAAATGAAAATGTCTGGCCATACAAAACCCAAATAGACTGGTGTCTGAGGCTAGTTTAGATACATTGACCCAATGGCTATGTTGGTACATAATGATGAACTAATTGTAGCACAGGATTTGGACCTCCACATATTGCATTTCAGTTCCTATGCCTCCAAGGCAGCATGATCAGTGATACATTATGATGGAAGCTATAGTTGATCAACTACAGGAGGGGTGGGTATTTCACATGCTTTGATATAGTATTATGTCCACGAGCCGCTATTCCCACACTAAGGTTCCAAAGACATCCAAAACATTTGCTTTTTATGGCAAAATCTGGAAAACAATCCTAAGTGTTAGCTATAGTTGACTGAAACAAGTCAATTTCAAATCATGCTCAATTATTACCTTGTTTACATACACTATAAGCAACATTAATAGTAATTTGTCCCAGATCAGTCTAACAGCAAATCACAATTAACTGAAAAGACCCTAAGCAAATATTTCTAATCTCAAGGATGGCCATCTTACCTTTCTGCACATGTAAGATAAATAAAAAACATACACACTGTTTTCTCATAATATGGCCTCAACATTATATTTCAGTGGTATATTATGAATTAAGTAGCATGCAAAGACAAATGCATCCGATCATAACTAGGAAACTAAAAACAATACAATGTTACCTTATAATGTTCAATCAGGATGTCTCTGGCAGTGTTGAATATCATAGAGTGCAACAAATTTGAATATTGTGCTAGTGTGTAATCATAATCAAAACCATAGATCTCGACATCTCCTAGGCTGATCTCATTATTTGCATAGATAGCTGCTGGATTGAGAAGACTACAGACTCCTGGTGGAAGGAGATCTGGAAAAAGCAAACAGAGAAACAACTGTTTGGGTTTTGATCAGATGCCAGCCACGTGGAGTTGAGACTCTGTTAAATTGCAAGAAAAAAGGAAGAAATGTCCACTTTCCTCTTTAACCAGAACCCAAGGAACACAGTTAAATTACACCATACTTTTGAAATTAATGTGGCCTTCAGTTAAACCAGATTCATCTTTGATATAATATGGATACTTCTATTTGCACTGCAAGAAAGAACAATTGAATTTCTATTCTGTGACCCCCAAATACATAGGTGGCAATCCTGAGGTGTGTTCCTATTGCCAGGGGAAAAGGATTCAATTTATGGGTTGTAGGTAATGTGCCTCAAGCATTCCCACTTCATCCTGCAGTCCTTCCCTTATTTCTACCACAAGGATCCTTTACTTGATCTTAGTCTTGTTCATGAGAAAAGTGTCTTCAGAAAAGCCTGGTTAGAATCCAGACTTTAACCAATTCTATTCATATTTAATGCAAGTCTGAATTATGAGGTTGTTTCAAGTCTCTTGTTCAGAGATGCTTCAACATTCTTATATCCAGACTTTTAAGTTCTGCCAAGCTATTTTTAAAACAATGAATTTAGGTAACTAGATTCATTGTTAAAAACTGAATGCCTTGAAATTGAAGAACATTTCATAAACTTATTTTAGAAACTGCTTCCCAGCATTCTCACATGACAGCCACCAACTGTCCTTGATTTAGATCAATTAGTTCAGTTCTTTCCCACCCATGAACTATGATGGGAAGTTTATGCAAGTAGGATCAGCATGGAGAGAACATAGCCAATTACAGTTAACATTGAAGAACATCTTAATGCAGAATGTCCCAAAATGCGCCTAGGGAGATAGCTATATGAGGAACGAAATAGCTGACAAAGTCCCTCCACAAACTGTTTTGCTAATTGCTTCCCAAAATCAGTGAGCCGAACATTCCAAGCAACACAGCTAAGAAATGAATTCATGTGAATCGCTACTCAAAAGTGACAGATATAAAGGATATGATGGCTCAAATGCTACTTCCTCAGTATGAGTGCTTTGGTCCAAGGACAATAAAGTGCTCCATAGTTAAACAATTTTACATATCTAACTAAACCTGAGTTAAAAACATTTATAACAAAAGAGTTGAAAGCATGGCTTTCAATTGGAAGATTTCAAAACATACGCATTTGGTAGTGCCTTTCAATACAAAGCACTGGTTGGAGTTACATGAAACTAGGTATTAGGTAACAGGCTGAGATTTGATCTCTTAACACCAAGTCTGAGCTTTAGAAAAATGTGAATAAATCTATTAGGCTATTGCTACAAAATCATATGTTGTTCTCGTGTGCCTTCAAGTCATTCCCAACTTATAATGGCCTGGCTGTAGCACAGGGTTTTCTTGGTTTGTTTAGTGTGAATTTCCCTTACCTTCTTTTGCATTTGGGAGAATGTGACTTGCCAAAGGTCTCCCTGTGGGTTTCCGTGGCTGAGCATGGATTTCAACCTTAATCTCTGAGCATTCTAGTTCAATACTCAAACCACTATACCATGCTGGCTCTCCACATTTTCAGTGGTTGCAAAAGTCAACTTAGCACCTCAACTCTGGAAAAACCTCTTAATACTGTATGATATGAATGAGGGCTCTGGGAAGACTCCTGACATGGATAAAAAAAATGGTTAGGTTTTCTTGAAGAAGCAATGAGATTGTTGACTTGCCTCATCTTGTTTTTGGAATGAATAGAGTAGCAATGAGACTTGAATGTATATTCATCACACAAAAGCCTGCAGGTGATTTTCAGATACAGGCAGTCCCCAAGATAGGTTCTGTAGATTTGTTCTTAAGTTGAATTTCTATGTAAGTTGGAACAGGTACATTTTTAAGTGTCACTCCAGCCAGATATATATTAGTTTTGGATAGCACAGGGAAGGGCTAACACCCTGTAATGTTTCTTTTGCTGTCCATGACCCTGTTCATAGGATTTCACCTCACTTTCTGTCCCTGTGATAATTGGATTTTGAAAAATTTGGTTTGTTATGGAAACAAAGATTAGTGACAAAGCTTCAGTGGAGACACCTTTTCTCGGCAACTCTTCTTGGAGTGAATTTCCCTTCCAAGAGGTAGATTTCTCTCACTTCATGTTGTTTCACCCGTTCTTAACTATGAGTCATTTGTAAGTCAGGTATTTTTAACTTGGGAATGGCTTGTACTTCAGTTTAAATCTTATTTGGAAAAACAAATACTGGTATAACACAAGCAATCTTCTTAGCCCTTTATTATCGCTTTATCATCTCCACTATCTCTACTATGTTGTGTGTGATCTTTTCTGTTCTTCTCTCTAAGATGCAGATGGGAGATCAAGTGTATAACCATTATAAAGATATGAGACCAGAATTGTGCAAGATGCTAAAAACTTCTAAAGCAAAGCAAGACTATACCCAGACAAATAAATATGTATTATCTGATGACAACTAGCTCTTCAAACTGCAGTAATATATGCAGGATCCGAATATGAAAGACCAAAAAGCAAGAAGCCTTAAGCAACACTGGCTAGCAGTCAGGGGCGGCTCAACCCATTACGCAAAGTAAGCATTTGCAGTATAGTTGATTTTGCCCAGGGGCGCTCTTAAGGCGCTCTTGGGGGAAAATAGACCTTGACATATGCGAGTTATAGTTTCTGGGATGCATAGTTCACCTACAATCAAAGAGCATTCTGAACTTTACCAATGATGGAATTGAACCAAATATGGCACACAGAACTCCCGCGACGAACAGAAAATATATATCAGTGATTGGTGGGGGGGGGGGGGGCAAAATACTGTTTGTTTACCATTGAAAATTACCTAGGGCCGCCTCTGCTAGCAGTCTAATTGACTTTCAACTTATTTTGAACTCTACCAGCTCTACACTAACTCTGGGCATCTAATTCAAGGAATCCACATCTTGTTCTGAGTTATGTGAAAAAGGAAAAGAAAATGTCATCAGCTCCACTGAACCTCTAAGGACTCTTAATAGCTAACAGTTGCTTCTCCACAGCACTAAGCAGCCTAGTTTCAGCAGTCTGGAGAGCAGTATGATTAGAGTACACGTTGCATAATATACATTTATTTATTGTGGCTGTTCACCTGAAAAGTGTACATTAAAATTTTGAAATGACCTACTTGAGTGGCATTTTATGTATTCATTACATTTTATTTTATAAAAGTTGCAATTTAAGAACAGACTTTTTTTTTGGAAAAATAAAATAATGGAGACTTTAGTATCACTAAATTTTAGATTCAAAGCATCTAGTCTGCAATGAATGTTATTTTAATCTTGCAAACAGTACTTCTTTCCAGTGCATGTATGGTACAATTGTCAAATAACCAGTACTGCTTCTTGCTCTGCAAAGTGGAGATTTCATCTCTAAAAACATCAATTCAGTTCAGAGAAACAGGGCCTCAAAGTATGTCAGCAGAAACATTATACTCTTAACAGAAGGATAATTTAATTTTAAGATCATAGTAGACTAAGATATGAAAATGACTGAGTGGATTCAGACTGTGATCCTATATAGTATACCATTCTGTGGGAGCAACTCTCATAATCAAAACAAAGTAAAAAAAATATGATTCACCCTTGGGGGAAAAAAAAACAGAATTCAAAATATTGGCCAGCCAAAGCATGATACCAATCTTGCTTGGGCAAGAACTTATCAGGGGCTGAAGGAATATGGAGAATAGTTAAATCTCTTTCATTCTTTACAATAACAAATTGGTCTTTACAATAATGAATATCTCACCAAATGTGTTAAACAAGTCAGAAATTGGTTTGCTGTAAGCTTTTCAGGCTGTATGGCCATGTTCCAGAAGCATTCTCTCCTGACGTTTCGCCTGCATCTATGGCAGGCATCCTCAGAGATTGTGACTTCACAACCTCTGAGGATGCCTGCAATAGACGCAGGCAAAACTTCAGGAGAGAATGCTTCTGGAACATAGCCATGCAGCCCGATAAACTTACAGCAACCCAGTGATTCTGGCCATGAAAGCCTTTGACAACACGAAGTCAGAAATTGTTTTGTCCACATTTTTCTTGTGAATTTCAGGCTGCAGATAAACACTTCATGTTCCTTTGTTACAATGTCCAATTGTTGGCAGTGATTATCTTAATTTGACACAGGTCCTCCTCCCTAGGATCATGGCTGTCATACACTGTCAATTAATGCAATTTGAAACCACTTTAACGGCCATGGCTCAGTCCTATGGAATAATGGGAGTTATAGTTTCACAAAGTTCCTAGCCTTTTCTGCCAAAGTGCTGGTGCCTCAGCAAACTATAACTTCCGGGAATCCATAGTACTGAGCCATGGCAATCAAAGTGGTGTTAAACTTCATTAATTCTACAGGCAGTCTCCCAGTGACAAACAACCGATTTACATCCAACTCCTAAGTAAGAATGGGAGTGAGAGAAATCTACCCTTAAAAAGGAAAATTCACTCCTGAAAGAGTTATCATCAAGAAAAGGTGTCTCCACTGAAGCTTGCTCTCCAATCCTTGTTTCTACAAAAGCTATTTTTTTTCCAAAATCCAATCATCACAGGGACAGAAAGTGAGGTGAAATCTCCTGAACAGGGCCACAGAAAGCAAAAGAAACATTACAGGGGTGTTAGCCATGCTATCCAAAGCTAAATACCAGTAGATATATATATCTGCCTGAAGTCACATTTAAAATATGTACCTTGTTCTGACTTACATACAAATCCAACTTATGAAGAAATCTACAGAACCTATCTTGTTCTACGTGTACTGTGTAAATTAAACCCATGATTTGAAACAGATTAGTAATTGAGTTGGTGGAGAAAGTATTTTCAGTTCAACTGTACTTGGTTAGTAACTCAAACAACAGATCCCAAAACATATACTCCAAAGGGCATTTTTTAAAATTAATTAAAATATTAATATCACAATCTACATCAAAAGATATCTGAAGTGTACAATATAATACAATCAAACAATAGAAAATCTGAACTATCTTTTATTGTTTTAAATTGTGCTGAATGGTTTAAAACGCATGAAACACCATAACCAACCATTTTAAACAAATTATTTTACAAAGTGAATAAAACCATCACACCCAAAAGGCTTTATATAAAAAGCAACAATTTATTCCTATCTTTAATTTAATTTTATTGTATACTGCAGATACTTTTCATGTAGACTGGGATGTAAGTATCGTAATTAATTAAAAAACACAAAACTGCTCACTGGGGGAAATTTTGGGGGGTCTGTTGCCTGAGCCATTTACCAAGTAACAATAACAACAGCAAGAGAAAACATATTTTATTTGTTACCAACCCCTTCTCAAGGCAGGGTACAACCTATAATAGTTGAAATACACAGATTAAAAATAAAAGACCAATAAAATGCATATATTAAAAGACACAGACATATGATTAAGTACATCTGGAATATGAGGAATAAACCAAATAAAACAATCAAACACCAAAGGCTTTATATAAAAACTTATGCTGCATTTAATTTGATTTTATTATAAACTGAAGATCTTTTGATGTAGAGTGGGATGTAATTATTTTAATTGATTTTAAAGAAATATACAATTTTTCCTTCGGTTATATTTTTAGGGTCTGTTGTTTCAGTCACTTACCAAGTACAGTTAGATAGCCACACACTAAACAAATCATCAAAGGCTTTAGACAGGGTGGGCCAAAAGTCACAAAGGAATTTCAATATTGAGCAAGCCCCTTGTTCTTAATTTACCACACCATGACATTATATTTGTTGTTGTTGTTGTTTATTAGTTTTGACATTATATACAGGACATATAGAAAGCCATATGGCACTCACAAACATAGCCTTTATTGTCATACAACAAAAGTGGCATACAACACTGGTATACACAAGAGGAAATCACAGATAAAAAGAAAACATACTTAAAAGTTATTAATCTCAATGATAAAATCTGTAACAGTCTCAGAAAAGTATGCATCAGAGATGTTTAGAAGATATAGAATTTGATAATACTCTTGCCATTGAGAACACTGTGAAAACATGGGATTACTGTATTTCATCTGTATGTTATCAAACAATCAAACAAAGAATTGTTTCCACAGAGACCAAGTCACAAGAAGAAACCCTTTTGAAATGTTCTATCTCCTATCCATTCAGGAGGCCCCGGTGGCACAGTGGGTTAAACCCCTGTGCCAGCAGGACTGAAGACTGACAGGTCGCAGGTTCGAATCTGGGGAGAGGCGGATAAGCTCCCTCTATCAGCTCCAGCTCCTCGTGCGGGGACATGAGAGAAGCCTCCCACAAGGATGATAAAAACATCAAATCATCCGGGCGTCCCCTGGGCAACGTCCTTGCAGACAGCCAATTCTCTCACACCAGAAGCGACTTGCAGTTTCTCAAGTTGCTCCTGACATGACAAAAAAAAAAAGAAGAGCTGATGGCAGCACATTACATCTTGCAGTCGCCAAATGCAAAGATAGGTTGCCATGACTATTTGCTCGCATTGAATCAATGATGTGGTAGGAGAACAAGTTGTCTTTGCTGTAGGAATCAGATTATGGAAGTCAAGATCCAAAAGTCTGCTCTTGACTGACTTGTAGGCTTCCAAATTTGTGAAAATTAAGAGTGCTTCCAATTCCTTCGATCTTTCTGAGAATCAAAGAACACCATTCTTCAATAAAATGATCTGATAACAGAGAGAAAATATAGATAGTGGGGGTCTGCTTGAAAATATAAATAGATATATAAAACTTTATTGGTACCTTGCCACCATCTTCCCGAAGGGATTCGCAGTGGCTAACAAAGCACTTAAGGTACCACACATACAGACTGCGCTCTGGCACCACGAGATGCAGAGCCAAACTTCAGAAATGGGGCTACAAAGTGGAATCCTTGACATGCGAGTGTGGAGAGGAGCAGACCACTGACCACCTGCTGCAATGCAACCTGAGCCCTGCCACATGCACAATGGAGGACCTTCTTGCAGCAACACCAGGAGCATTCCAAGTGGCCAGATACTGGTCAAAGGACATGTAATCAACTACCAAACCCACAAATTTTGTATTTTGTCTGTTTGTTTGCTTTGTTCTGTTAGAAATGTAATATAATTTGACTGGTCGTCCTGACAAGACAAATAAATAAACCACGCATAAAATGGAATTACATATCAACAAAACAATATGCAATGTATATGCAGCCAGAATTTTATATCTCTCATCCATGTCAAGGTTTCAATAGGGGTTTGACTTGTCTTGATGCACAGAACAGGATAAGGGACTAATTTAAGGGGCCCCATTGGTGGCATCATGTGTAAAAACCTCAAAAGAGTTGTTCAAACATCAGGCGCCTTTCTGACTTATTTAAAAGTCCTGCATGAAAAGCCCTGTTTCAAACTGGAATAAAGCCCCAACTGGAACGGACTCAAAGGGACTGACAGCACGATCAAGAGGCCACCACTGAAAAGGCCCTGAAACAGACGCTGAAACAAGGTCTTTTCTTGCTTTCTATTATTACTGACACTACTGTGAGTAATATGACGATTACCGTGAACCAGCTTCTTCATCTCGTGGTACCTGGCCCAGAGGTAGCCCTTGGGGTCGACGCCCTCGATGGGGCCCGGCTGGGGCTGGCTTCCCAAAGGCGGAGGAGAGGCTGGGGCTGCGCCTCGGCTGGCCCTGCCGCCGCTGACAGGGGGCGGCTGCTGCTGGTGGTGGTGGGCCTTGGCCTGAGCCCCGCCGCCTCTGCTGCCGGAGCCTCCTTGAGCCGAGCCGCCCGAGCAGCAAGAGGAGGCGGCGGTCACCAGCTGGAGGCTGCCCGCCCCGCCGCCCTTCTTCCACCACATGCCGCCCCTCGCAGCCTTGAGCCCGACGGCCGCCATGGCCTCCTCCTCCTCCTCCTCTTTAGATCCCTATCTGTCAGCCCATGCTCTCGGAGCCCCACTCAGCAGAACCACCTCACGCTCCCCTCAGCTGCCGAAGACGTGTCTAGCTAGCCGCCAGCGGAGCTCGTGCACGCTCGACCAATCACCGCGCGAGGCGAGCTCAGACAGCCAATCACCAAAAAAGGGGCGGGGAAAAGAAGGGGAGCATTCTCTCTTTAACCACATGCAGTCGCGAACAGTCCTGTTGCCTCTTGGGACTTGTAGTCTTGTTAACTTCTCTCACAAACAGGCTCTGCTTCTTCCCAGGAGCAAGAACTACCACTCCCGAAAACCCTTTCGAGTGCCTGGGCTTGTTATTGTTGTGAGCCGTCGAGACTTGAAGACGAAGCTGTCCCTGGGATTTTCTTGGCAGCCTTTGCTCAGAGGGAGGGTGGCCTTCGCTTTTCTTTCTATGCTTTTTCCCCAAGATCGCCCAGTGAGTGTCCATGGACTGTGATGGTTTCGGGGGGATGTCAACTGCAATAGCGATTTACAACGGGTTGGAATTAATTCCACTCAAATCGTCCACTGCGTGTTCTTTTTTAACAACAACAACAACAATACCCTCGTTTCCCAGGGCTCTTCCACACAGCCCTATATCCCAGAATGTCAAGGCAGAAAATGCCACAATATCTGCTTTGAACTGAGTTATCCGAGTCCACACTCAGACAATGTGGGATTTTCTGCCTTGATATTCTGGGATATAGGGCTGTGTCGAAGGGCCCCCGTCTCCTAGACCAGCACTCAAACCGCTACATCTCACAACGTTAAAACAGTGGATGTGGCTTTTAACGAAACATGCCCCATTTTCACAGGATGTCTACACCCCACACTACTAGAGAAATTATACCATTTAGCCCAGTGGTTCTCAGCCTGTGGGTCCCCAGACGTTTTGGCCTTCAACTCCCAGAAATTTATTTATTTTTATGGGGGACATGAGAGAAGCCTCCTCGCAGGATTGCAAGATATCCGGCGTCCCCTGGGCAACGTCTTCGCAGACGGCTGATTCTCTCAATCCAGAAGAAACCAGAGACGACTTGCAGCATGCAAGCAAGCAAGCAAAACAACCAACGGACCTTTTCAGGACCAACCATGACAATAATCTCTATCAACATCGAAGGCATGTCAGCCGCCAAAGAACAACTGCTCTATGAGCTGTGCCGAGATAAGAAATGTGACGTGCTGTGTGTCCAAGAAACACACAGGGATGAAAGACAGAAACGACCCAAAGTTCCAGGAATGGTCTTAGTAGCGGAAAGACCACATGCACAGTATGGAAGCGCCGTCTTTGTCAAACCAGGCCTCCAAGTCAGCAGTGCCCACAACACTGAAGAAAACAATATCGAGGTTCTAACAGTAGAACTCAATAACATCACCATCACCTCTGTGTACAAGCCCCCAAATGAAGAGTTCTGCTTCTCCTCCCCCGAGAACTTTGACAGGCACCAAAGGGCGGTAGTAATTGGTGACTTCAACAGCCATAGCCACGTATGGGGCTATGCCCAAGAGGACAGAAATGGAGAGGCTGTCCTCTCCTGGTCTGAACTGCACAAACTATCTCTCATCCATGATAGCAAGCTCCCACCATCCTACAACAGCGGGAGGTGGCACCAAGGTTATAACCCAGACCTCTTATTTGTGAGCGACAGCATCGTACAGCAATGCACCAAATCAGTGGGACCACCAATTCCAAACACACAGCACCGACCAATAATATGCCAACTGTTCCCAACAATAAGGCCTCAAGAAGTTCGATTTAAACGAAGATACAACTTCAGAAAGGCAGATTGGACTAAATTCTCAGACATGTTAGATGACATGATCTCATCAGTCACGCCAGTCCCTGAGGAATACGAGCATTTTATTGAAATAGTGAAAACCTGCTCACGGGCCTCCATACCGAGAGGCTGCAGAACCAACTACCTTCAGGGCATTACTCCTGAAACAGCTGTCTTGTTGGAAAACTATTACAGGCTCCACAACGAAGACCCATTTAGTGAGCAAACCCTTCAGGCAGCGCAGAGCATTGTGTCCTCCATCTCTGAAGCCAAGAAAGAACAGTGGATCAAACTGATCACAGAGGTCGACATGGGCAGGAGCAGCCAGAAGGCGTGGAGGCTACTGAGACGGTTGAGCAATGACCCCTCACAAACTAATACCCATGCCAACATAAAGGCAGATCAGATAGCACACCAACTCTTGAAGAATGGGAAACCCAACTTTGCCACCAAAGTAGGAAAGAAACCAATAGCCAGACAACAAGAGATTGAGAACAACAACCTTCATGAACCCTTTACATCCACTGAATTGGACATGGCACTCAACAAATGTAAGAATGGCAAAGCAGCTGGCCTGGATGACCTACGGATGGAACAAATCAAGAACTTTGGTCCCAAAGCAAGGCACTGGCTGCTGGAGCTGATGAACAACTGCACTGCATCCTGTCAGATCCCCAAAATCTGGAGGAAAGCAAGAGTCATAGCCATCTTGAAGCCAGGCAAAGACCGCAATGACCCAAAAAGCTACAGACCAATCTCCCTGTTGTGCCACCTCTACAAAGTTCTGGAGAGACTTATTTTGCATAGAATTATGGAAAAACTAGACCCATGTCTGATCCCACAGCAAGCTGGCTTCAGAAAAGGCAAAAGCTGCACATCGCAAGTGTTGAACCTCACTCAGCACATAGAAGATGGTTTTGAAAGGCAGCAGATCACAGGAGCTGTCTTCATAGACCTGTCAGCAGCCTATGATACTGTGAACCACCGCCTCCTCCTGAGGAAAATGTATAATATCACAAAGGACTACCACCTCACCCGCCTCATAGGAAACCTGCTACAAAACAGGAGCTTTTTTGTTGAGTTCCAGGGCCAGAGAAGCAGATGGCGGAAACAGAAGAACGGCCTGCCTCAGGGGAGCGTGCTTGCTCCATCCATGTTCAACACCTACACAAATGACCAGCCACTGCCAGAAGGGACAGAGAGTTTCATCTATGCTGATGATCGTGCCATTAACGCTCAAGCAGGGAGCTTTGAGATGGTTGAACAGAAGCTCTCCGAAGCTCTAGGTGCTCTTACTGCCTATTACAGGGAAAACCAGCTGATCCCTAACCCATCTAAAACACAGACATGTGCCTTTCATCTCAAGAACAGAGAAGCATCCTGAGCTCTGAAGATCACCTGGGAAGGAATCCCACTGGAGCATTGCAGCGCACCCAAATACCTGGGAGTCACTCTGGACCGTGCTCTTACCTACAAGAAACACTGCCTGAACATCAAGCAAAAAGTGGGTGCTAGAAACAATATCATACGAAAGCTGACTGGCACAACCTGGGGATCACAACCAGATACAGTGAAGACATCTGCCCTTGCGCTATGCTACTCTGCTGCTGAGTATGCATGCCCAGTGTGGAACACATCTCACCACGCTAAAGCAGTGGATGTGGCTCTTAATGAGACATGCCGCATTATCACAGGGTGTCTGCGCCCCACACCACTGGAGAAATTACACTGTCTAGCCGGTATTGCACCACCTGACATCCGCCGGGAAGTAGCAGCCAATAGTGAAAGGACCAAGGCAGAGACATCTCCAGCTCATCCCCTGTTTGGGTATCAGCCAGCACGTCAACGACTTAAATCTAGAAATAGTTTTCTAAGATCTACAGACACTCGCTGGAACACCTCAGCAAGCGAGAGTCCAAAAGTGGCAGGCTCAAACCCAGAACCTCAACCAATGGCTGATACCAAATGAGAGACTCCCCCCTGGGCACACAGAGGACTGGGCGACTTGGAAGGCACTGAACAGACTGCGCTCTGGCACCACGAGATGCAGAGCCAACCTTCAGAAATGGGGCTACAAAGTGGAATCCTCGACATGCGAGTGTGGAGAGGAGCAAACCACTGACCACCTGCTGCAATGCACCCTGAGCCCTGCCACATGCACAATGGAGGACCTTCTTGCAGCAACACCAGAAGCACTCCAAGTGGCCAGATACTGGTCAAAGGACATTTAATCAACTCTCATACTCACAAATTCTGTAATCTGCTTGTTTGCTTTGTTTCTGTTAGAAATGTAATATAATTTGACTGGTTGTTCTGACACGACAAATAAATAAATAAATTTATTTTTATGTATTTATAAATTTCTAACAGCAGGTAAACTGGCTGGAATTTCTGGGAGTTGTAGACCAAAACAGGTTGAGAACCCCTGGTTTAGCCGGTATTGCACCACCTGACATCTCTCAGGAAGTAGCAGCTCATAATGAAAGGACCAAGGCAGTGACATCTCCGGCCCATCCCGTTCGGAAATCAGCCAGCACACCAGAGCCTTAAATCAAGAAATAGCTTTCTAAGATCTACAGACATACTCACAGGAGCACCTCAGCAAGCAAGAGTTCAAAAGTGGCAGGCTAAAACCTGGAATCTCAATCCATGGCTGAAAACGAATGAGAGAGTTCCCCCGGGCATACAGAAGGCTGGGCAACTTGGAAGGCACTGACCAGACTGTGCTCTAGCATCACAAAATGCAGAGCTAATCTTAAGAAATGGGGCTACAAAGTGGAGTCCATGGCAGGCAAGTGTGGAGAAGAGCAAACCACAGACCACCTATTACAATGAAGTCTAAGCCTTGCCACATGCACAATGGAGAACCTTTTCACAGCAACAGTAATAATAATAAATAATAAAACTTTATTTGTACCCCACCACCATCTCCCCAAGGGACTCGTTGCGGCTTACATGAGGCCAAGCCCACAACACATCAATAAACAGAGGCAATAACAATAAATCAATACAAAACAGTTGAAATAAACTCAAAAACAAAAAAATAAGCCAAAAACAATAACAATATCAAAAACATACAGCATTTAAAAACCAATGGCCGGACCAAATTCAAATTTTAATTTTAAAATTCAAATTTAAAATTTAAAAAGTGCTGGGCATGAACAAGGTAAGGCAAATTAGGATAGGTTTTACCGAGAAAGATGAGGGTGTGCAAACAATCCTAAGTCAGTATTAAAGTACATTATGAGTAGAGGCACTCCAAGTGGCCAGCTTCTGATCAAAGGACATTTAGCATAATGCCAAGTTTTTAACTTTGTTGGTGTTTTAAATACATTTTAACTATACCCTCAATTTGCTTCTGACACGATAAATAAATAAATAAACCTTGCTGCCTCTATCTCTCTGTGCAAATTTTTTAATATTTACTGCTTTGATGTTTCCTGCTCCAAGACTGTGATGGTTTCGTGGGGATGTCAACTGCAATCAGGATTTACAATGAGTTGGAATTAATTCCACTCAAATTGTCCACTGCGTGTTCTCTTTTAATAATAATAATAATAATAATAATAATAATAATAATAATAATAATGCCCTATTTGTAACCTATCCTATCTCCCCAGGAGACTCAGGGTGGTTTCCAACAAGTAACAAAAATTACAAACATTCAATGCCACAAACAGACAAACAACAAATCAAATAAAAAACAATAAATAAGACAATCTCGATATAAACCTATGAACTAAACCAAATAATAAACATTATCTAACACATCACACACATTTATCATGATAAAATCCCACAAGTTGCAAATCAGATTAAGATTTTAGAGCTCGTTGTTTTTATCTGCCTCAAGAATTAGGTTTCAGTGGGAGAAGACCGTCTATTCACTTGCACTCCTGCTTGTCATTTTCACTGAGAAAGGCAGGGGAAAAAGAGTCACATTGGTTTAGCATATTTATGCTAAAGAGCACCTGCGGTCATCCTAGAGACGCATCCCTGGGAGAGTAAATTATCATAATAATCTCCATCGCATCCATTTATCTAACACCATCCCTGTACATCTGTGCATGGCGCCCTACACGTAAAAGAATAAAACACTTGTTCCCATTGGTCAGGTTTTTTCTCTTGGGTTTATTTATTTAGGAGTGTGGTGCCACATAAGATCATTAATAAAAAATCATTTACCTCCTCTTCAATACTGAATGCCAAATGAAGCTACTAACAAAACATGTGACCCCCCCACCCCACCGCCTTGTACAAGGCAAAGCAGTTACATATTTTGTGAACTTTAATCCATACTGTTGAAAAGTGAATATGGATGAGAACCCAAAAGCACAATGGGACAAATGAACGAGAGGAGCTAATGGTCAAAAAGATCAGGGATATTGCTGCCCAATGGAGGGGGAAACTTAGGCTGCATCTAAGTGGTGCTGTCTGACATCATTTTAACCTCCTTGGTTCAATGCAATAAAATAAAGGGATTTTTAGCATGGTGAGGCACCTGCACAGAAGGCTAAAGGTTATTGGTTTTTGATGTGTATTGTTTGAGTGAGTTTAAATGCTACTGTTTTATACCCTTATTTTATTTGATTGTTATGCTTTGTTGTTTTGTGTGTTTTTTTTTGTCTTAATGAATTATTTTGTTTTGATGTTCTGTGGACATTTTGCCCCATGTGTAAGCCGCCCCAAGTCCCTTCAGGGAGATAGAGACAGGAGTATAAAAATTAAGTTAGCCGGTAGCCGGGAGAGCTTTTACACAATTAAAACTTGTGCGCCAGCTGCGCCCGTTCCTTGAGAAGTCTGACTAGGCCACGGTGGTCCATGCTCTTGTTACATCCCAAATAGACTACTGCAATGCACTCTATGTGGGGCTGCCTTTGAAGACTGCCTGGAAGCTTCAACTAGTCCAATGGTCGGCAGCCAGGTTGCTCACCAGAGTGACGTACAGGGAACATACAACTCCTTTGTTACACTAACTCCACTGGCTACCGATCAACTTCTGAGCACAATTCAAAGTGCTGGTTTTAACCTTTAAAGCCCTAAACGGTTCTGGCCCAGACTACCTGTCCGAATTTATCTCCTGCCACGAACCATCATGAAGTTTAAGATCTTCAGGAGAGGCCTTGCTCTTGATCCCACCACTATCACAAACACGCTTGATGGGGACGAGAGGCAGGGTCTTCTCAGCAGTGGCCCCCCGCCTATGGAACGCCCTCCCTAGAGATATCAGATTGGCCACCTCCCTCTTGTCTTTTAGAGGGAAAATCAAGACCTGGTTATGGGACCAAGCGTTTGATCAGTGAGCAAGTGGAAGTAGATCACACAACTTATGGCAATGAATTGACCCAGACTGGTTTTTTGGATTCCGATTTTAATGGATGTGTATTTAATTTCAAATATTTTGATTGTACTGTGGTTGTTTTTATGATGCCAGCATCGTATGATGCTTTTGTTAGGCCACTCTGAGTCCCCCTTTGGGGGGAGAAGGGCGGGGTATAAATATAGGAAACAAACAAACAAATAAATAATAAAACTACAATTCCCACAATTCCATAGCATTGAGCCAGATCACCTAAAGTGATGCCAAGCTGCATTTACTCTACAGTATAGGTGTACTCCAAGAAGGGAACATTCATCCAGGCAAGTAGGCATTCAGGGCTGCTGGTATTGGAGATTATTGCCTCCTGGATCTGGTCAGCCGCTGCGCTATTCCCACCAGATAGGAAAAGAAGCTTGGAGGCAGACCTTCCAGGTGTTGAGATATGAGTGAGAGGGACAAACTCCAAGACCCAAATAAAAACCAACCAGAAAGCACTAGGAGTAGACTTTTAACTAAAAGTGTGGTGAGGCCTGTTTCCTGCCAGCTTCCTCGACCTTGATAGTCCCATAAACTTCACTGATCAGTAGAGAGCCTCTGCCTCACTGCTCTGGGGCTGCCTGATTTTCTCAATATTCTTCAGGATCATGTCATGGAGAAGCACGTATTGGTTTCTCAGTTCCAAAATTAAGAGCCTCAGACAGAAATATCCTTTTTCATCCATCTCGGTTACTGTGCGGCGATAATCCTCCACATGAGGGTATTTAGCTACTTTGGAAACCAGCTTTGCCCGTGCAGCGTAGTATCTCGTGATCTCATCCAGGTGCAGCGCCGCCTCGCTCTCCACAGTTTGGAGCTCGGCCACGGTGTCCTCCTGAACAGAAACTCCAAAACTGTTGCCGCCTTCTATCTTGGGAATGGAGAGCTGCACCCACAGTTTGACCACGTTGCACTTCTCCATCAGCAGCCGGATTTCGGGTTTCACCTTCTCCAGGATGTCCACCAGCTTCTGGTTGCTCTTCAGCACCCCGTGAGGCACCACAAAGACTCTGGTGCCTTGCAAGTTGCCTTCCAGTTTCCTCTTCTCCAGGCTGGGCCCTGCAGGGCTGTTTGGGCCCAGCAAGGTGGGGACAGGGAGGCTCCCATCCGAGTGGATTTGGGTGAGATCGTGAAGGTTCAGAACAGGATCCTGAAGGAAAGCATCCAGTTCTAAAAACTTCTTCGGGAAGAAATCCGAGACCAGCTCTTCGGCCTCGCCCGTGATTCGCTCCCTGAAAGAGTCCACCGCCACCTTAAGCTCTGGGTTCACTTTGAGGAGGGAAGCCATGGCGGAGGGGCCTTAGCCAGGGCTGCCCATTTTTCCTCCTCCGTGAGGGTTTCCCAGGAAACCACAGGCTTTGCTACTGACGGATGTGACGACATAACGCCTCACCCCGCCGGTGATTTTCAACCCTTGGCCCTCCAGCTGTTCTCGACTTCAACTCCCCAAATTCCTTTCCCTTTTCCAGGCTGCCCAGAGCTTCTGGGAGTTGGAGTCCGAAAAACTTGGAGGTTCAAAGGTTGGGAATCAGTGGTCTCAACCAATCACAGTATCTCTGTACATCTCTCTACATCAATAATCTCCCTCACTGAAAAGCACTCTTCACCTCATTTCACGAATGACTTCCCCTCTATTTTCATTTCCGCCCCAAGCCTTGCTTAAGCCACGCCTCCAAGGCAGCAGCCAATCAGGAGAGGCCGTTGCCTTGGCTAGAGGCGGAGCAAGACGAGGGCCTCTTCCGTTGCGCCTCCCCAAGCTCCGCCTAGGCCACGCCTCCAAGACAGCAGCCAATCATAGGAGACCGTTGCCTTGACTAAGGACGGGGCAAGATGAGGGTCTCTTCTGTTGCGCCTCCCCAAGGGCCGCTTAGGCCACGCCTCCAAGACAGCATCCAATCAGGTGAGGCTAGGGGCGGGCCAAGACAAAGGGCTCTTCCGTTGCGCCTGGCTCAATCCTTCTGTATCGGCTTCTTTTCTCCTTTGGCCTCCAAGGTGAGTGTGGGGGCTCGCGCCTTCTTCCGCGACCCCTGGTTGGCTGAGTTCAGGAGGGGAGGAGTTGGGTTGTGAGCGGGCGTTGGGCGCGCGAAGTCTGTTTCAGGTGTTTCTAGACTTCAGCCCCCAGAGGCTCGTGCCGCCCTTGTCAGCGGTAGAGGACTGTGGGAGTTGCAGGCCAAAGCGAGTGGAGGGCCAGAGCCTGCCCACTGTTCCCATTATTGTCTAGATCAGGCCTGGGCCAACTTGGGCCCACTCTCCAGGTGTTTTGGACTTCAACTCCCACCATTCCTAACAGCCTCGGGGCCTTTCCTTTTCAGGCTGGCAGAAATGAATAAGCGGCTGAGGGGGAAAAGGAAGGGGCCTGAGGCTGTTAGAAATGGTGGGAGCTGAAGTCCAAAACACCTGGAGAGTGGGCCCAAGTTGGCCCAGGCCTGATATATTCTAGTAATGCAGAGTGATCCCTCTCTCCTTGTAAAACAAACTCAACTAAAACATGCAAACATAAATTTAACTAGCTTTCCAGTATACAAGGCATTGTAGAAATGATGATGATTGAACTGCAAAGACTCTGGCACAAGCCAGTCAATGTGGTCCCTGTGGTAATCAGCACATTGGGTGCAGTGCCTAAAGACCTTGGCCTGCACTTATTTATTTATTTCAAACATTTTTACCCTGCCCTTCTCAACCCCTGGGGGGACTCAGGGCGGCTTACAATTGGCAATAATTCAATTCCGCATCATAAAATACAGAATAACAAATATAACAATTAAACATGAACATTAATAAAGATTAAAACAGTATACTTACACTCTGATTAGCTATTGCCCGTCTGGTGGCTGTTTAGCTAGCCATCTACTAATAATTACTCCGCTTAACTTATCCAAATCCTCTTCCATGCCATAGTCAAACATTATCAATTGTCCTTTAACCTGATTGCCCAAAGGCCTGGTCCCACAGCCACGTTTTAACCTTTTTTCTAAAGGTGAGGAGAGATGACGATGACCTAATTTCCCCAGGGAGCAAATTCCACAGGTGGGGCCCACCACCAAGAAGGCCCTGTCCCTCATCCCCGCCAAGCGTGTTTGAGACAAAGACGGGGCCGAGAGCAGGGCCACCTCAGAAGATCTTAAGCTCCGAGGTGGGACGCAGAAGGAGATACGTTCGGACAGGTACGCTGGACCGGAGCTGTATAACACTTAAACACAATCGGCACTGACAAAATTACCATCTGTCAGCTGCAGAAGGCCACCTTACTGGGATCTGCATGTATTATTCACCAATACATCACACAGTCCTAGACACTTGGGAAGTATCTGACATGTGATCCAATACAACAGCCAGCAGAGTGATCTTGTCTGTTGTGGACTCATCTTGTTGTGTTTCTAATAATAATAATAATAATAATAATAATAATAATAATAATAATAATTCCCTCTTCATGGCTCGAGGCAGGGCACAACATTACTAAACACATCATAAAAACATTCAGTAAAACACATAAATTAAAACATTTCTACGCATATTTAAAATACACAGGGCAAAGATTAAATACAGTAGACACAGGGCATAGCTTTAAAATTCATGATTGAAAGTTGACTGGGTAGGCTTGCCAAAAGAGATGGGTCTTTTTAAATTCCTCCCAGTGATTTAGCTATCAGAGCTCTTCCAGCAGGTCATTCCACAGTGGCTGATGAAATGGCCCTCAGTCGGGTTCTGGCTGACTGAAGTGAATGCCCCCCAAAGGGCCTCAATGTCCTAAAAGGCAGATTGTGCAGGAGAAGGCAATCTTGGAGGTAACCTGGACCCAAACCATGCAGGGCCTTAAAGCCAACACTTTGGCTTTGACCTTAAAGCCCTGCATGGTTTAACTTTGCCCAGAAACTGACAGCCAATAGAGTGACTTTAGGATAGGTGTAATATGCTCACTCCTAGATGTTCCTTTGATCAATCTGGCTGCTGTATTTTGAATCAGCTGCAGTTTCCGAACTTGGTAATAATAATTATAATATAATAAAACTTTATTTATAGACTGCCCCCTCTCCCCAAGGGCTTAGGGTGGTTTACAAACAAAAAGGCAAACATTGAATGCCCAAATGCAAAGGTAAAAAGGTAGCCCAATGTAAAGTGCATTGGGATACCAATCTTGAGGTTGCATCGCCATCCCTCCACATTGCTCTTTGTTGGCATTTAATGTTTTCCCATAGATGTTGGAAACCATCCTTCGGGGAGATAGGGCACTCTACAAATAAAGTTTTAAAAATATTATTATTATATTTGTGGTTTTGGCCTTTTTATGATTTGTTTATTCACATAAAAAAGTTCTCTCCAGGTCCTTCAATGCAATTCTATAAACTTTCAGCAAAAGTCAACCATAGAGTCACGATGGAAAATCCAGACATTCCTAAAGGTATTCTCTCGGGTAAAAAAATAGCAATGTCCTTATTCATGGGTGTTCACTATCACGGGGTCCCTATGCCCCTAACCCCTCTAAATGTGGAGAGCTGATTGTAAAAGAAGAAAGAGCTCCAGCTCCGTTTTATTTTGTCATCTTTCCTCCATGAAATATTAAGAGGGTCTAATAATCCACACATGTAGAATATGATGTGGTTGATGTATCTTCAAGTTGACCCCATCTTAGGTGAACCCTATCATAGGTTTTTGTGACAAATGTACTTACTATTACCTTCCTCTTAATGTTAGGAGTTAAGATTTGCACCCAATAGGTTTCCATGGCAGAGTTGGGATCAACCTTCAAAGTCCTATTCCAGCACTCAGGAATATGATATACAACCCATAATGTATGTAAGACTGGCTTGGAATGTACAAATCAGTGCACTTGTGTATTCTAAGATCGTTTATCTCCAATCAGCCATGGAATTGTGTAATACTGGGAAACTCTTAAAAGAGTACCAAGGAGGAACACAAGAAAATAAGGCACATTTCTTAACTGTCACTGAAACATTTGAAAAATGCGCCAGTATTACACCCCACTCTACCCCCTGCAGTGTTGACTAACTATTAATCATTTTTCCCTCCAGGATCAGCTTCCCTCTCTCACAAGAATTATATAGCCCTCTAAAATGCACATCAGCCATAGAATAAAGCGGTTATTGTATATGGTGCCTGGAAAGCAGCGCTTTGGCGTTTATAGATTTCTCCCTTTCTTCTTTCTTCTTGGAGGTGCTATGGAATGGTTTATGATCAATGTTCGTATTGGCAAAGAGACTTTTTGTAAGTATTATATTTCTCTCTCTCCAGGATTTGACAGTTGTTTAGAAGGGCTTCATGGTCTTGTTTTCAGCAATCACTTTAAGTACACGGTTCACTAAAGACTCCATGGTTAATGGTATCAAACATCTCTGAACCTTTTAGCAGAATCCATTAGTTTCAGTTGCCCTTCCTAATTTTTGCAGATTTAATTAATTTTCAGTGAAAACTTCATTGAAGTTTCAGGACTTTGATCAACAGGTAAGATAGAAGTTGATGGCACATAGCAACAGACATTTTTGGGCACTTAAATGTATCAAGTTGGCCTCATAATTCCAGAACCTATATCCAAAGTTTCACTTATCTGTGCCCAAAGGAAAATAGTTTCTCTAGTAATTTGCTAGGACCTCTAGGTGATTCTGTGGTATGATCCCTTAGAAGTTAGACTTACCCTGGAATTCCCAGGAGAAATTCCTAAATACTTTATCTCACTAGGAATTTCTAGATCTTTCAGGGCCATTTGATGGTATGCTGGAAGTGAAGGTCAGGTAATTTCAGGGCGTTTGGTCATACCTTTGGTTTAAGTGAATGCATCTACCGTGCTCCAATATGGGGCTTGCTGTATCTCTCTCACACCTTGCAGCAGTCACCCAGAGAATAATACATTCAAGTTTTTTAAACAGAGATTTTTGTCCTGTTCTCTATGAACAAACTGTCTCTTCTGAACTGGATTTCACCAGTTTTGTTGAAGTACACCTTCTCATTAAGCCAAATATGCCCTTCATTTGAGGGAGAGACTGAAATCAGTACTGGTGATCTCCATCTCAGGTGGGAGGTCTCACACTAAGGAAAATCAAATTATTATGTGAAATGGATGTCAAAACTTATCAAGGTTAGTAAAATATGTTTCATTCTTTCAACAGAAAGAAACTGGCATGAGTATTGTCTATTCACTACCCCAGTATTCAAAATATAGTCTTTTGGATGAACTCAGTTGATGATCTTAAATGTCAACTTTGTACAAATGTAAGCTAGCTGTCTAAAGAACAAACTTGACATTTAGTTAAAGAAAACTTCTTCACAGCATCTTCAGAAATAATCACAAATTGTTTTACAGATGATGTTTACCGCAGAAAGCAGTCTGAGAGACAACATGAGAACTTGGAAGAAAGATGAATTTCATGCTGCACTGCGATGTGATGTGAATTTTCAAGTGCCAAATCCTACTAGACTTCCATTGTTGAATTCAATTTATTATATTTCAGGCTGGCTATCTCATCCTGTGGAATATATTTTTGCAACTAGGCCTGATGACAGAAAGTGCTGCTGCTATGTCTGGTTTAACTAGAGCTGCTTATGGGATAAAGAAGACAACTGGCTACCTATGTTGTGCTTCAGAAGCAGTGGCTGTTAACTAAGGCATTTATTTAGGTATTCATAACTTCTTCAAAATAAGATATCTTCTTCAATTACAAAGTACTACATTATTTCTATTATTAAAGAGAATGCTTTGGTCATGAAATTGGGTGGTCTGGACATTGGGACATCAAGCTTTGCTGCAGCTAATTCTTCAAATGCTAAGGCAGTGTCTCTGGAAAAAATATCACAACCCAAGGGAGGAGTGCTACTCAAGAATATAGGATAGTATGTTCCATAGAAGACACAAATAAGCTATGTAACAAAACCAAAATCATGATCTAGATTTCATGGTTTTCAAGAGAATGATTTAGAAATACTGAACACCTGGGTATGGTTTAAAATACTCTTTAGAGTAAATGTGTAGCTTAAGGAATTACTTTCAATCTTTCCTCACTCCTAAAGAGAAAAATGCACAGGAGTCTGACACTGTCTTTCCATCAGAGGTGAGATGTTTGTTGTGATTTCTTTGCGGATGTCAAGACTTAGAGGGGGAAAGACATCTCAGTGGATCAAACCTAGTTAATCCAAATTGAAAACTATTTTTATTCAAATTAAAAATCCTCCAAAAGACAAAGTGATAGTACATGCACAATGACCACTATTTACTTTACGCATTGAAGTGTACAGCCAGGAGCAAAAACGAGACATGGATTAACCAGGTCCAAAGGCTTGTATGCTGACAACATAAAACACTAACTTGAATATTACACACACTTGTTCTTTAAGGAAAGATGGGAAAATACGGAATAGCTTATGAATGGTTAATCCCTTCCAAAGTAGTTTAGAATTGATGTATTTTCCCACTTACCTGAGGCAACCATTTCGCATACGTTTAATTTAATACAGTGTGACACTATAGAAAACAGTGGGATCAAATTGGCAAAAGACATGGTTTGTTTTTCCGTTACAAACTATTTTGAGTTAAAAAGCACTTCAATCAATTGGTTGTGCAATCCAGGATTGTAGCTATCAAATCTCAAACTACCATAAATGTTACTGAAATGCCCCCTGCACACAGAGACATGATTTTGGAATAAATAACATCTGAGATAATTAGGGTCTGCCTAATGGTCTAGGAGGAGTGCTCTGCACTGCCACAAAAGAGGCCTCTTTTTCAGTTCTCATTGTTTACTCCTGGGCTTTTAGAAGATGTAATGCTACCTTCAACTTAAGTAGCCAGGGAGGACAAAGCTGCAATCCAGTCCATCCTGATCCTTCTAAACTACACAAAATCAAATGGGGGTGTCTCATCCTGTTCTTAAGAAATATTTTAATAAATAAATAAAAATAAATACATGCTAGGTTCTTTGGTGTAATTTTTGAAGTACCTTAAACAATGTGATTGTATTAGTAAAAGTCTATGATGGTTCAAAGTGCTAAAAAGAAAAAAAAAACCTGCCTCCAAGACTAGCTGCCAACTACTTTTGAGTAGTTGCAATGTGTGAGGAAATTTAAATACACTGGCCATAATTCAGAATAGCACCTTCACACCCACCTCAACAGCTCCCAGTATTGAGCCAGTTTTGTATTGAATGTTGCTGCACAGCCAGCTAAGCCAACTCCCTGGGGACAAACAAAGAACTGGTGGTAGCAGTTTCTATGAGGTTTCCAGATATAGCAAAATAAACGTGTGTAACAGCAACTGCAGAATGCGAAGGATGCAGAACGCTTCCCTGTAATAATAATTTGAGTTACTACCCCATCAGAACAACTGAATCTCTAATAGTTTTGCTTGTCCTTTTTCAGGCTATGTTTTGTCACCACCATTACAATGTATGATTTGAACAGATCCAGAGGCATCAAACACATTTCCATTTTCTGGATTTGCATTAAAATACATACTGTGATATAACTATGAACAGATAAACTAAAGAAATCCAGAATAAACCTGTTTTCCTGGTGAGCTGTTCATTCCCTGAAGCAAACAAAACAACAGTTCTTCATCTAGTTACCTTGTAATTAAACAAGGTATCTAAAACATGATTTTTCATTCATTCATGTATGTTTTACCTGGTTGATTGGTACATTCCTCTCTAAATCCATGTTTGTTTCTTAAAAATATATTGCACCACTAAGCTTTTTCTGAAGCTGTACTTTTACAAATGAAGACTTTGTAAGCCACCAATCACCTCCTAAACAGAGGAAGGATCTGAAACTGGAAAATTATACTATGTATGAAAGCAAAAAACCAGAGAATTATACAAATTCAGGAGCCTGTTTAAATGAATGTAAACATTGTAGTAGACTTAACTATGGGCCTTTTACGTGCTTTAAGAAATTAACCTAGATTGTAACTGTAGCTATTATAGATACCTTAAGACTGTGATCCCAAATGATTAGGAGGCACGTTATTTCAAAACTTCAGTGACTGTTTGAATAAAGAAATGCACAATTAGGGTTTAACTTCCTTTCTGCCAATAACTGTGCTGAGATGATAATTGCAATCCATCCAGAGTATGTTGGTTAACATTCTCAACTGATGAAGTACAATATTTTCCATGCAAGAATAGTTTTTGAAAAAGCCAAATCACTAATCAGTGTAACATATTTTTCAAGATGGAAAATATGCTAGTGGCCCTTCTATAGGCCCTACTTATTGTCAAAGATCACAATTAAAATGAGTAAATTTGCAATAGTAACTTAAAGCTGAAGAGAACCACGTCAAATTTTAGTTCCAGTGATAGAAATACAAAAGAATCTTAACTTCTGCAACATTTAAAAAGCCTGTCTCCCCCCCCCCCCCAAAGTATGTTGTTACTAATGACTTGCAGTATTAATATACTCTGTCAAAAAGTGAACCATGCAAGATAACGAAATAGAAAATATTTGAATATTTTATCATTATGCTTCCTCAAGAACCTTCCTTGGATAATCTGTTGTGATAAGCTCAGGTCTCATTCTGGACAAATAAAATAAGATACTGCATTCTCACATGTCTAGGCCTACTAGCAACACACAGAAGCTTTCATGTTGGTAGAGCTCTTCATATCACCAGTTTCATCAACACAAACCAGCCTGAAATTTGGAACATCTTAAAGAAGATGCCCAGGAACTGCCTTGCTTATTTATTCTGCAGCTTTCTGAATGAATACTTAAGATTTTCATTTACCAAGTTGATTCTATCCACTCCCCGCCCCAGTAGCTTTATTATTTTAGCCTCACTTGATATATTTATTGGAAGTCACTACCATAAAAGCACATGGGTATTCATGTTGCTAAGATGTAGATTCACATTTCCCAGCTAAACTGTTAATATTCTTGCTACTTAAAGAACTTGGATGGCATGAGATCCTCCGTGTGAAGAAAAAGGATGCAACCCTTTTTTCATTTATAACCAAATATAAGATCATCTTCCAGGTTGAAGAACCATATGCACTAATCGGTGTATTTAAGAAAAGTCAACATAATATAACAAAAAAGTGAAATATGCTTATTAAAAGTGTCCATATATTTTAAAAAAACAATCCCACAATGTACAGTAAGATGCAATAAAAACAGTTTGTTTTCCCCCACCAATAACTAAAACAGCTACTGTTCCACAATTTTTTATATGTTGGCATTGAAAGAAGATCAAACATTTTCTATGTTGTATGCCTGACGAATATTAAGCGTATCTCTCAACATCAAGTCTCGAAGGCGCCACAGTGCGTCTGCCATTGTGGTATGGGCCCCTTTGCTTTTCAACCAGTGTGTAGGTAGGCGGCTCTCTTGTTCTTTTGAGAGGTGGACATCACGTCTTCGTGCTGAAAGAATAAAAGGAGGTACACTCATAGGACCCTTTGCTTAAATTACTTATCTCTATGCAATCACAGGGAATATAAATGCAGCACTTTTAAAAAGCTGACACAAGACTGATTTTGAACAAATAAAAGTTTGGATTTAAGAAAGAATTGAGAACTGTCTATGGTATTGGGGAGCCTAAAGAATAAAAAGGTAAAGGTTTCCCCTGACATTAAGTCTAGTTGTGTCCGACTCGGGTGGTAGTGCTCATCTCCATTTCTAAGCCGAAGAACCGGTGTTGTCCGTAGACACCTCCAAGGTCATGTGGCCAGCATGACTGCGTGGAGTGCTGTTAGTTTTACACTGAAGTGGTACTTACTCATCTACTCAAATTTGCATGTTTTCAAACTGCTATGTTGGCAGATGAGGGGCTTACAGCGGGGGCTCACCCCACTCCCTGGATTTGAACCACCAACCTTTCAATTAACAAGTTCAGCAGCTTGGCGGTTTAACCCGCTGGGTCACCAGGGGGCCTAAGGAATAGATTATTAGCATTCAATGTATTTTTCTTTTGGGTTCAATAAACTTGCAATTGAATTTAGGCCAAATTCTAATCTACATCTAATATGGGATTCACTGTTGTTTTCAGTTTACATTTATTATATAAAAGATAAAAGCTATAATGAATAACATATTTTAAACCCAAACAAGGACATTTATTCACCATTACCAAACACCCTATATCCAATTGTACCAGAAATTGTAATTTATTCATGCTATATTTCCAAATCATTTCCCTGCCTGGGTCTATGAGGAGATGGTTACATCATTATGAAACAGCAACTGAGCATCTTTTTTTTGTAGAGCACAGCCATAATGGAATTAAAGAGATAGTCTCCAATTTTTTTAGAGTTTGTGTATAATCCAAGTGTTCTCACCTGAAAGGGTCTGGTCCCACTTACTAATGCTACTTGAATCAGCACTAAGACCCTCAATGTATTTCAAATAAGCCTCTGAGTGAAGAAGCCTCTGGGTCTTTGGTGGAGGGGATACAAACATGGGAGTTGTAGGCTGTTGCATGACCTGTTGGTTTCCTGGATTCTGACCAGGATAGGGGGGTGGTGCCTGCTGTCCAGGTGGACCAAGGATACCCATCTGGAAAGATAAAAGGCAACACAAATGACACACCTGACAATCTAGGTCAAAATAGTTCGAAGATTTAAGATTCAGCAATGGGCAGCTGAAACAATCAATGCCCCCCAAGTATTTCAAATTCTATACCAAAATAACCTAGTGTTTGTAACAAAATAAGTTACTGTCAGATTTATTCAGAAAAGCCCGTATGTCTTATGTGCCATCTAATTAAACTAAAAAAGGGAAAGAAAGGGAGATGAAAAAATTGTCTATAGCAGCACCTTTAATATTGGTTTCTATTTTAGTACTAGTTTTAATAGATATAGATGAACAGAAATAAATAGCAAGTTTCACGAGAGACAACTATAGTAGCAGAAAAGCCCTGCCTAAAATATAAATCAGATGTAAAGGTGCTGTTAGATTATTTTTTCCTGAACCATTCTTACTTTTTCCTTTTTATGTTGCAACAGACTATCACAAGTATTTCTTGGAAAACTTTAACAGAACGGTTTGTTTATATGGGGAGTGAGGTTCATTTTTTTTTTTTTACAGAATATCGAGTTTTGTTATAATTAATCTTCCATAGGGTCCAAGGATTTTTCTGGATACAGGAAAGCAGAGACCAATGCTTGAAATGTACAATGAGAAAGTAGTTTTTTAGAATATTGCTAATCCTTCCCTCTTCCCTAGCCTCCTTATTACATTGCTAACCTCTTCTGGCATCTAGGCATCCATTTGATATTGGCTGCCAGGGAGCCATTTAGGAAAAAAATCATAGGGCCTTAAAGGTGGAAGAAACCCTAGGACCATCAATTTCATCCCCTTTCATTGCAGGAATACACAAGTAAAGTATTGTGGAAAGATGGTCATGCAACTTTTGTTGATGCAGTTTATATACCTAAACTGCATCTGTTCAATCCCAGGCTAGATAATCAGGGAAATAAAATGCACCCACCAAGTCACTGAAATACACTTTTCCAAGAATAAAAACTTTAAAAAATAATTCATAATATTTTCCTCATTCACTTACTTGCTGTCCAAATGGACTTCCTGATGCTGATGCTCCGACCATCGAGGAAACATTCTGACCCATAACACCTGTGTTTCAAAAGGTAAACAAAACTGAAGTGTTATTCCAAGCTAATGACAAAAAGCCATTTTGCGTTTGAAAGCCTAAAATCACATAGTGCTGTTTCTGTGCCATCTGAAAGTCCTATGATTTGTTGGATGTTTCTCTTAGTAGCAGAAATAAAGGTAGTAAGGGTGCTTCTACATATGACTTTATAATTGTGTTTGACTTGTGTTATACTGAACTGTACTTGAATGCAGGATTGAGTTATTTTTGGCATCCAGTTTAAATAAATAATATGACTTTCTACATTTTCAGAAAGACTGGATAGTATATGTCTTCAATATTCCACATCATTTGAAAAATTAAGTCCATTTTAATGAAAAAAATGTTTTAAAACCATTATCTTGTTTTATTGTTCAACTAGTTTGCTTCTGGACTGAGCACACGAGATTGCTTTGCCAACATATTTAATATGCCAGTGTGTTTGGTAAAAATACTCAATATGTTTCTCAGTGCATTTTGTGCATTAAGATAGTGATCCATCCCCGAGACATTCAGGATGAATCAAGAAACTAAGCTACAAATGCACAAATATTGTTTCCCACAGTATTTGGATAAATGGAGAAAGAGAGCAGAAAAATAAGATAATGAATGAATGAGGAGGTCCTTCTTACCCGGTGGCGGGATGCCTGACATGCCTGGTGGAAGCTGATGGGGTGGAGGCACCCCGGGGTGAAGTGGTGGCATGCTACCCATGCTAATAATGCCATCAAGTGGGCCCTGTAAAGGTGGCAGCACTGGTGGATACCCACCCATCATGCCTTGAGGAACACAACAAATTTCAAACATGCATCAATGACATGCAAAATGATCCAAATAGTAACAACATGCACTACTCAAAAATAAGCATCTTCAAATACTGCCATACACATTAGTATGTTGTAAAAAATGAACAATGTTATAATGCCAAATAATGCATTTGGATCAAATTAATATTTAGCCTATTGGCATTTTTTAGGATGAAACAGAGTATTTGGCATCATTCAATCGTGATTACTGCAAGCAAATGCAAAATGTTATGTCAGTCGTATGAACTGATATGACATTGTTAACATGCACACTGAAAATTGTGGAACGGTACTGTAGCCCAACACAAAATATTAATTTTAAAACACAACATTCAATTTGTTCAATCATTTCTTCTAAATCTAATCAAGGGAACTTAATTCAACTTTTATTCCGCCTCACTTCTCGTCAATGACAGATCATTAAAACTTGTAACATTTAATTTTTTGGTGGGTGGCACTAGTATGTTCAAGAAAAAAAATGAGGTGCGCAATTATAATTTCTTATATAGCTTTTCAGAATTATAAATATGTCATTATGCTCTTAAATAAACAATGCCACAGAGCTGTATTTTTCACAGATTACTTCTCTGTCTTCAATGGGTGCTTACTTTAACATATTATAGAAATTAATGTATCACACATTATTTTGAAAATATAAAGTGAATATAGTTCTTGAACGGCAGAATAAAGGAATGTTGTTTGTGTCTGAGGAGAGTTGATCAGGGGGAATCTTGAGCAGGGCTATGGAGTTAGAGTCATGGATTTGGATTTGAACAATTTTGGGTGCAATCAGAGTTGGTAGAAATATACTATACTACAGTGTTCCCTCGCCACTTCATGGTTTGCTAACCGCGGACTCGGTTTCGCGGCTTTAAAATAAATTAATTTAAAAGACAAGTAGCATATAAGTAGAGGAAGCGAGAGAGAGAGGAGGGGGAGAGAGGAGTGGGTAGAGCTATACTGTACATATACAGTATAGCGTCCCTACATCGCGGTTTTTCACTTATCATGGGGGTTCCTAAAATGGAACCCCTGCAATAGGTGAGGGAACACTGTAATTCTGACTCGGGAATTTTAAAAAAACCCAAATTGTAAAGATCACATTTATACCTAGTTTGAGAGGCAGTTGTAATTGACAATTTGAAGCTAGTTTGTGCCCTAAATCATAATTTATGTCACCTCCAGTTTCACAATTCCCATATTGTGAGGAATTATATTTAAATGAAAATGAAACGTCCTAAACTTTTCCTTCATAATATGCTGGAAACAAAAGGATAAGACCCAATCTTGGACTTAAACATGTCTGAATGAAATTGTTCCTTTTGAAATGTTAGTTGCAAAAATAGTCTACAACATGATGTTTAAGAGTGCTTTCAAAAACCAGTGCCCTTGAGACAGCAAGTGGCATATTTTAGTTCTTGGATCAATTCAACTAATAGCTAAAACCACTTTTCCTAATTATTTCACTCATAAAAGTACCTACAAATGAAGATGTTTATTACAATTTCTTACAGCATTAACATATCACAAATAATACAACAGCGTAATGCGAAACCCTGACAATTCTGTTGATGTGCCACATGAGAGAAATCAAACTCTTGTATAATCTGAAAGACTAAAAATGACATTGTGGTACAATTTTTGTGGACTAGAGCCAACTTCATCAAGTACACAGTCACTCTTTCCAAGGTTTATTGATTCTGCAGCATTCAAAGAAAACAGTAAACAGATAAAATTATATATAAATTGGCTAATAAGAAAGTTGCTATCAGCTTAGTTATGATAAGGTGACAATGCTTATGATTAAAGGATGTTTAACCTGGCTCTTTGAAAAGGCCTTCAACTAAGTACTATATTTTTGGAATGACCACCGGAATGGACTATGGCTACGAGACTGATTATGACCCAAACATGACGAGCGGATTTTTAGTTTAATTAGTTGTGTTAGTAAGATGTGTGTTATGGTCCTGATTTATTGTAACTGTTGTCTTTATGTTCTATGTTCTGTACACCGCCACGAGTCGCCTTCGGGCTGAGAGTGGCGGTTAACAAGTGCAAATAATAAATAAATAAATAAATAAATAAATGTTATCTCCAGTGGGGAGGACAAAATCTATGCTCAGAAATCAGTATTTTTGAAGTTAAATGTAAAGAAGTAAGATTCAATACAATCTCCCCTCAGTCGGATGACAACAAACTGACACAACTATACAATTACAGTATGATAGAAACTGGTAAAGTAGATGAAAAGGAAGAAATGCTATGAATCTCTGTTTGTTTTTACCTGCAACAGGTGTCATTTGTGAGTTGAGCATCCCCATAGGGGTTGGGGGTGGCACCACCCCCATTAGGGCCCCCACTGGAGTGCCGGCCCTTGGGGAGGAATTCTGCTGCTGCTGCTGCGCTGCCCGTTCTCTCTCCTGCTGCTCAGCCACCTTAGCTGCCCGCTCTGCAAAAAGGATTTTACATGTTCAGTTACTCTGTTATAACTTCTGCTTAAGGATCAGTACACATGTAGGCTTATGGGAGACACAGAATCTTTTCTGTAAGAAAAAAAGGAAGATTTCACACAAGTACAGTTTTGGTTTACCTTCATACTCCGCTTTCTTGGTGGCTTCCAGGTTTCTCCACTCTGTTCCAACAAGTCTGCTGAGCTCTCCAAAGGAATAATCTGGGTGTTGAGCTTTAATGACAGCTCTCATCTCACTACTAAATAGAATGTAACCACTCATATTGATCTTTCTTTTTGACCCTTCCTTCTTTATACTGCTTTTAGAAGACTTAGGAGTGGACTATGGGGAAAATAATATGACAATTTAGTAAATAGAGCAATAAAAATTATTTACATAAAATATCATCATAAATACATTAGAAATAAAAAAGAGAAGATGGCAAAATATTTCAGTCTTTAATATAACTTTAAACAGAAAAACAGCATATAGGCTAAGGTGGAAAGATCACAAGATTATTTAGTTACCTAACCTTGTAAAGATTTTGGAAAAAAACCTTTTTGCAATCTATTTGATGTATATGCACTTGCGGATAGGTGTTCATTTTCATAGCAGCAACCACCATTGAACTGCACATAGACATATACATATTGGGATGTTGTGTTTTGTAATTAAGCAAAAAAAATATATGCTGTGTTGTAAACAAAAATTCTTGGCTGCATACATTATTTTGCTTGATAGTTTGCTGTGCCTAAATGTTGAAAAGACTAATTTGGAACAACATTAACTAACACCAAATAGAGTTTGCCTTGTAAAGATTTTGTAAATTGGGTTCTCTCTCCTTTACATGAAAATAATGAAAAGCAGTTTTACTGTAAATAGTAAACATTTTCTGGTGCTATATTTGTCTGTGGAAAATTTCCAACATCATATGGTTTTGTGTGTGTGATGTTTATCCATAGCAATCAGCTCTCTATTACTTCAATAAAATACGGTACATGAGATGGTCTAAATATAAGATATGACATTCTATTTTTCTAAGCTTTAGAATCTGGAGACACATATTGACGAACTCTAGTGCTTAGAACACACTGAAAAACTTGTTTCCGTTTCATAAAAATCTCTTATTTCTTAGGAACAAGTACCCATTGCCAAGACAAAGGTGGTCAGTTTCGATATATATTAAATATTTTCTTTTAGATGGAGTTATTTTTTGCTAAACATAAAGCTATTCTCTTTGTCTTACTGTAAATATTCCAATAAAATCATTTCTACATGAAGCATATTTGACTATAACATTTTAATTATTTAGCACATCAAGAAAACATAATTACCAACCACACATGGACATATGTTTGTCTGCTGTAGCAAGCAGCATTCTTCATACACATAGAAAAGAAAGAAGAAGAGAAAGGAAAGGTTTCACCGATGTGAATATGTAAATAATGTTACCTGGGGTGGTGTGTAAGGCATTATATCTAATTCATTAGTGAGTGGAGTTGGAATCTGAGGCATTGCTGGTGCTTCTGTGACTTCGCTTTCCTCTTCTCCTATCTCTTCCATCTCTTCCTCACCTCCTTCCAATTCAGCAAATTTCGCTTCTAGCTGCTGAATCTTTTTTTCCAGCAGTGGAGAAGGCTCCTTCTGAGGGACTATGGGCTTTCTAACATAAGAATTTAAAAATAAAACTTCTTTCTTGAGAACTGGTTCCTAAATTCTTATTGTTCACAATATATATTGCACCATGTTGAAGTGTGAATACACTAGAAAGAAGTGAAATTTTCAGAGAAAGAAAAAACAATTTGCTATGTTCTAATTTAGCTCTGAAACTATATCAGAAAAAATGACAGAAAGATATTGGGATACTTATTATGAAGTGAGGTTTTAATCACATAACTGAGTCTGACTTTCCATTTTTCCTGCTTTCATTGTTACAATTCCTTATATATAACTCATAATGATTGGGTTTTTTCCCCAGTAATCAATACTACAATAAATAAAAAGTAATTTTACAGCACAACAGGATAGTCAAAGCTTTTGAGTCATAAAATAATTTTTCATACTGTTATTACAGACCATAAAGAAAAATGGCTTTATAGACCTTAGATGACTTTCATACAATGATTAGTACTTAAATTTATGTAATGCTAAGACACCTATAAATATTTTTACAAGTTGGATGCTGTTCTCACTAGTTCTTTGCTAAAACCGTGTCAGAGAAACATATTTTAACCAAGTATTAAGTCTTATATCCTCTCCTTCATTTATTTATGGTCAATAAAATGACAAATTCTATTAGAAATTAAAAATTAACTAGTGTCCACATAACATATTAAATAGTGGTCCAATAATAGATGGTTGTTGTTGAGTGTTTTTAAGCCACTTCTGACTTCTGGTAAACCTAACGTACATCTTGGCAAGATTGATTCAGCAGAGATTTGCCTTCATCTGAGACTGAGAGAGAGTGGGACTTGGCTCAGCAGTGATTCAAACAGTCTGCAAAGCACTATGGACACTGGCTCTCAAATAAGAACACATGCTCATTTTACACCCGAAACCTCAGATTCAATCCCTATCATTTTCACTTAACAGATTGCTAAGATGGAAAATATGAACTCCTGGAAATTCACTGCCATTCCAGAAAGATGATACACTGATGATACACCTAATTATTTAATAAAATAATATTGGCATCCATGTAATCACCCACATAAGTCTGCTATTTGCTATGGAAGGCATGATTTTAATAGTGATTATAATGTTTAAATGTTTTAATATGTATTCATTTTCACTGTTAATTTAAATGTTTATTTTAATAGTATGTTGTTTTAAGGCACTGAATACTTGCCTATATGTAAGCTGCCTTGAGTCCCTTTCAGGGTTGAGGAAGGCGGGTATAAATATGGTAAATAAATAAATAATAATAAATATTTCTCAAATTCAAGAGGATTATTTTAGGATACAGTTTCTTTTAATATCTTTACCCTTAGAAATCAGATTTCAATGGACAGGAGAATTTTGCAGAATACTATAAATTTAACAAAAGGGATTTTTATTATCAATTTAAATGGACAACTTTTCTGTGATCTTTAATTTTTTTAAAAATAAAACATACTTTACCTGAAGTAATAAATTTCATCATCTACCACTTTAGCAGAGAGAGAAAATCTTTTCAGCCCTTTGAATTTTTTCATCTGTCTGTCACTTTCATTATAGCGACTTTCACAAAGGAGAACATCATTTTCAGGAATCTCTGTTGGTCTACAGGACAGGAAGTCTTTGAAAGACAATACTGCACATTTTCCTGCAAGAGAGAAAAGCAGGTAATTGAATTTTCCTTACTTCAACAGGAAATTTTGCAACAGGCCTGCAGATTTACGTCTTTTAAATGTTCTCAGATATCATTCATAGACTATAATGATACCCATAAGCCCCATTCAAAAAATCCAGTATATTGCAAGGTTGCAGGTTCCTAAAGTATACATCACAGACATCTTTATCAAGTTCAGTAGATACTGAATAGAACACCGGCTCAATATGTGTAGTAAATCATATCTGCTACACATATTGACCCAACAACAAATAGGTTCACCTTCCACAACTGATTTAATTTGTAATGAGTTAAATCAATATGCCTTTGTAAACTAATTTACAATGACAAATAATTATCTCACAATGGAAAGCCTGGTTTACTAGTTATATACACCAACTGTTAAGATAAAACATAAAATCATTAGATAAAAAATGCAAAAAAAAGTGTATGACATTTTGATTTTAGAGCTCAAAATACAAAAAATAGCAAAAGGGATCAAAACTGTTGTTACCCAGAATGCATGTCATGGGACAGGCCTCTTCCAGATTACTCAAAAATACTTCCTTCTTGTAGAACATTTTAGTTGGCTCATGCTCAGTTTCCTCTGGGTGTATAAAGATTGGTCCAAAGAAATAGGCAGCTCCATCTCTTACCCACATTTTTTCTATTCTGAAAAACACAGACAAATCATGGTTTCGAAATATGTCAAGCGAAGATCTAAGTTCAAATATTAACAATTATCTTCAATTTCTTTATTTTATTAAGGCTTTATTCATCTTTTGTTTTTGCACTCATCAGTCCTGTGACACATAACTGAAGTTATAGTTGCACAACCCTGCAGTTCTCAAACGTTTTACACATTTTTACTTCTACATGTGGATGTCGCATCCGCCCAGACATAAAATAAAAATATTTTGTTCACACATTTTATATGTTTTCATTTCATAAGAAAAATAACACTGTTTAAATTTAAAGTTTTCTTTAAATAATGTAATGCTCAACCTTTAATGCCCTAGACCAGGGGTCCTCAAACTAAGGCCCGGGGGCCGGATATGGCCCTCCAAGGTCATTTATCCGGCCCTCGCTAAGGGTCAACCTAAGTCTGAAACGACTTGAAAGCACACAACAACAATCCTATTTCATCAACCAAAAGCAGATGCACACTTCCCATTGAAATACTAATAAGTTTATATTTGTTAAAATTGTTCTTTATTTTAATTATTGTATTGCATTAAAGTGTTTTTTGCACTACCATTAAGATATGTGCAGTGTGCATAGGAATTCATTCATATTTTTTTTCAAATTATAATCTGGCCCTCCAACAGTTTGAGGGACTGTGACCTGGCCCTCTGTTTAAAAAGTTTGAGGACCCCTGCCCTAGACGGTTTAGGTCCAGGCTATTTGGCCGACCACATCCCCTTGTACGAACCTGGCCAGATCCTGAGATCTTCAGAGAGGCCCTTCTTTCAGTTCCACCTCCATCTGAAGCTTGATTGGTGGGAATGAGAGAGTGGGCCTTCTTTTTTTTGGTGGTAGTCCCTCAACTCTGGAACTTCCTGCCCAGGGAACCCAGAATGGCCTCCTCCCTGCTGTCCTTCAGACAGCAGGTTTAAACCTTTTTATTCGGCCAGGCTTTTAAAGAAAAAGGTTTTTAAGATCACCAGGGACTGCTGTGATTTTATATGTTTCTCATTATGTTTAATGCTGTTTTAATACTTGTATAATTGTTTATTTTAAGTTGCATTGCAATGCTTTTAGTTGTGAGCTGCTTTGAGTCTCCGTATAGAGAAAAAGCAAGATAATAATAATAACAACACAACATGTTGTATTGCATCGTCTTGTCTCCTTGCACAAAAATTACTAATACAAGGAGTAATATTAGAAAAAGCAATTCTTAGTTGTTGGTGACAACAGCCCAAAGCAATATTTATTTTATTTATTTATTTCGAGGTTTTATATACCGACCCTCTCACCTTCAAAGAGGAATTCGGACCGGTTCACAACATGTGTTAACATACAAAAAATATACAATAACAACACAATGCCACTTCATTACAGTACTACACTTGGATCATCTCACTGAATTCAATGGTGTTTACTCCTAGAATAGAACATAGAACTGTATGGTACAAGGGGATCAAGTTTTCCAATACCTTCATACCACTACACATATGCTTTCTTCCTGACCCCTATTGTCACCTTCCCCATTAAATGCTTGAGATGCATGATGAGATTTATAGGTATATCTACTGGGGGATAAGCACCTTACTTCCAATGCCATTTTTAAGTGAATGCATTCGATCACACTGCAAGTTTTGCAAAGTGAATGTGTATATTTACCAATCTGGTAAGCCTCATAAAGTAAACACTCACTCTACAAGCCTCAACACACATGTTTAAGAGGTTGGTTGAGACCATGAATTTGTTTACCTTTCCCAACCTGCCCATCCCAATGTTAGCTGCCCCACATAGGAGCCACAACTTCCACCCCTATCCTGGCACTCATTTCCCTCTCTTCCTCACTCCCTGGTTCTATTTGCACACTGAAGACAGTTACTGTTACTGCAATGCACAAGCCCCACCCCATGATGCCCTGAGACTCACTTTCTTCTTACTCTCTCATACTCTGCTCCATATTAAGGTGATGCTAAGAACGTTTCTGGCTCCATATCAATCCCAAGCATTTGGTCCGTCCAAATCCCCTTCTGTCTTTAGACGGTGAGCTAATGACCACCCAAAGCCTTGGCCCCTCTGCGTGAGATCCAATGAGGCATTTGGTAGATGGGTTACACGTAACCTGAATTCCTTGGATTGAGTGTAACTTAATTACAACCTGTGTGTATGTGCCTTCAAGCCGTTGGCACCCCCCTTGAGAAACTGTCAACACACTCCAGGGGTCACACCTCACCTTTTGTGAACCAAAGGCATAACCTGTGACTGCACAACTGTATTTATAAATTTTCCTGCATGCCTGTGTGTGTTTGTGTGTGGGAGACTCATTCACACAGCATACCTGCCAACTCGTGGTCGGACTAGACCGTGTGATTTTATGAAGACACAGTCCCCAACCTTCAGCCACATGTCATTGTAACAAAGTTGTTCATAATAGTGACAGCCTGGTTCTCCATTTGGCATTTCTACTGGAACATCTTCTTTATCCTGAAAACAAATATAGATTTCAGAATAAGTGAAATGTATGCATCTAATATAAAAAAAACCTATGCATTACAATTAAAAAAACTATTCCCTTGTAAAAAAGCTATGCTTGGGGTTACTCTTCAAGAAGATACTATGATATGATGGAATTCTGGAGTACACACAGAGTCTCAGATTTCGGTATTCGATTTCCAACTCATGCAGAATTATCACCTTTTGAAATCAGTGCATATGGGAGATCAGTGTAGAAATCAGATCCTCTTATCTTTGACATAGATTCAGTAACTATCAATTTCTAAACCAATAAAATACCTATTTTAAAATGAAAGCAAGTGAAAGGGTTAACACTTTTATACTAATAGCTGTAACCTCACATACCTTTTCAAGGCTAAGGATGCTGTTGCCCACTTTGCTTTCCTCAGATGTTTCAATGTGCTTTTCTTCATCAATTTTGTCTGTATTAGCAAACACTGACGCAACACGGACCACAGGCAAAGGCACATCTCGTGGGACAAATCGTACAGAACTAATCGGCATGGTCCACAATTTAATCTTCTTAAATGACTTTGTTTTTGCAGAATAACGTGATTCACAAACATAGACATCTTCATCTCTAAAGTTTTCTGGACATAGCTTGAAGTACTCCTTTTTCAATGGAAAAAAATTATCACTGATTAGTCAATAGAACAGCACAAACTCAAAAATCATTGTTTGGCATTTGCTGCAATAAAATCTACTTAGGAACCATTATATTTCTTTTAGCTGTTCTGAGCATTTCAAAAGTTGTGGTCTGAATGTCACCAAGATTCCAAGAACATTCTTCTGGCAGCAGACCTCTCCCAGTCAATTTAAATGCTTCAATTCCAATAGTGATCACATAAATTCACTATTTTAAGAAATGTTGGGAGGGATATAATAAAATATTGAACTGGAAATCTTTTCATGCTTAGCATTGCTGTCTCATCAAGATACATTTATAAATACTGGATACAGGATAAAATCAATTTTAGCAGAATTAGCCTCTTCTCACCTTAACAAACATGACTACACATTTCCCTAGAATTTTGTTCACAGGAACTTTGTTGTAGTAATCACTTTTAAAAACTTCTTTCTCCAAAAACTTTCTGGTAGCCAGATGGAATGTTTCATTTGGTCTATAAAACCAGCAACCATACAGCCATTTTTCTCCTATAAAGAAAATAGTTTATGTTCAATGATTTATAACTGTGTAACAGAAAACATTTATAACTGGCTTTAAACTGACTTTAAGGATTTTAATGGAATATTAATTAAATAAAAACATCAAAGTGTTGATGCCTCTTGCATTACATTGGGGAAGGAGCGCATGAGAGTCAGTGTGGTGTAATAGTTTGGGGATTGGATTATGACTCTGGAGACCAAGGTTCAAAATCCTTGCTTGGCCATAGAAACTCACAGTGTTGTTTTGGGCAAGTCACATTTTCTCAGCCCCAGAGGAAGGCAAGTCTGCTCTGAACAAATCTTGCAAAATAAGCCCCATTGTAGGTTCTCCTTAATGTTGTCTTCAGTCAGAAATGACTTCAAGGCATTGCAACCATAGGTTATATACCCACTGAGGTAAAACACTTTTGTTTTTTTTAAGTCAAGGACACAAACAGCCATCAGGAGAAATCAGAAAAATGCAAATTTCTGTAAGAATTAAATGGATACTTGGATATGGGACTGGCATACTACCAAAGAAATATCTTAAGGACACAGTAGACATGCAGGTAGGGAGATGTTAAATATAATCATTGATATTACACAGGACAGACAACAGTAGCCTCTCCCATTTAAACAACCACATATCACCACAAAAGTGACAAGCAGTGGAATGGAGCAGGATTGTCACTTATTTTCCGAGTACAGTGATGTCAAACTTTCCACCTACTGATCGAGCCAGCCTGTTCAATGCTCAGGAATTCTAGGGGCTAAATTCCAAAATATGTGGAAGGCCAAAGGCTAAGAACCATGGCTTTTGAGAAATACTGTATCATGGTTTACATACAAGTGAAAATAAGTCTCAGAACAGATGGCAAGATATGAGCCTGTGAGTTCCTCAACAAGACCATCACTTGTGCCCCACAACTCTCAGTTGAGTAGCCTCCTTGAACAGGATGCACTGACAGTGAAGTGGCCAAACAGATCACAGAAAAGAGGTCTCCTTTTTTATTTACTCCAAGAAAACAGAAGTGGGTCCTATGAGGTTAGTTCCTTTGCACAGTATGATTTCAGGATTGTATCAGTATAAAAGGGAAACTTCATGGTCACATTTTCATTACATCATCACCTGTATTATATTAACACTAAGATAGGCCAGGTGACAATTAACCACACACTAATAATTGTTAGGAATTACTGCAAGGATCTATGGCCCTATAGGTCTTCTGGCATAACATCTGGATTCCATTCTGAAACCACAAACGCAAACACACTCTTGTCTACAACAACCAAAATTTAGAAGATTTTCTTTCTTACCAGCTGAATCTTCCCACAGGCGTTCAATACAGACTATATGTGGTTGCAGATTGGCTTCTGCAGGTTCAACATAAACATAATCTCCAACATGGTACATGCTGTTTTTAAAGCTGCAATCTTGACTGTATGTCCTATGTAAACTAGATAGTCCTGATCCAACAGAAGTATCCTCACTCTTTTCAGCTTCTTATTCAACATAAAAGAAAACAAAGGAAAAAGTTCACAGTCAATTAAAAAACGTATGTTTCTATGGTGGATAAGATTTTGCACACTTGCAACCAATGTAGGCAGAGTATGTATTTTCATTTGGAGCTTTACCAACACCAACCATTTCAATCTATGTCTATATGATATAATGAATGGTGATGGTCTTATTATATCAGGGAATAAAATGATTGTAAGTAGCAGATACTATGTAGAGAAAATGCACACCCTCCTAGAAAGGGGAAGAGAGAAAGAGCAGAATGAAAATATTTTGCAACTGCCACTTCATCAACAAAAAAAGGGACCTGCCATGAATAGCATTACACTATCTGTGTAAAATCACCATAGCCACACTGTATGTGCAACTTGTAACTTGCTAGCAAACTCATCTCAGTATCAGCAGTCAGGACTTCACAAGTTGCATCCTAGGAAAAGCATCTGAGAAGTGAAGACTGTGCAAAATTCTTTGGAAAACTACAGTACCAGAAGAGGGTAAAGTACTAAACTTGATGAATTTGATGGTATATATTTCCATTGGGAAGAATATTACTCCAATTACATTCCCATTTTAATAAATGTTGTTAATCCCATATACAATATGTTTAGGAACAGAAGTGTTTTGGCTTTACCTCCTACTCTAAATCAGTAAACAATGAAAGATAGAGATAACAAATACAATTACCTCTCTTCTCTTCTTCTCTTTTGAGCTTGTCTTCCTCCATTTCCTTTGGCAGTTTTTCCTTCTTCTCTTTTTCAACATCATTATGGAGGTGCTTGGTAGTATAGCTGAGGGCTGGTGATAAGAGGATCTCGCCATTCTTGCAAAGTTCATCGCGAATTTTGATAAAAAATTGTTGAAGCTCTACTGCATCTTCATAAATCTCTGAATCCGTCCTTTAAGGAAAAGAGCAGTTGTATATAATGACAACATATACTAGGCAATAATACCCTAGGTGCCATGAAATATTTGAGCTGTAATTATCTGTAACTGGTATTTCCTTCTGATACCAAAGCAGGTGCCATGGGAGACTGCAATATAACAAGCCAGGAAAGAAATGCTGAATAGAAATGTGAGTAGGAAAGAAAGGGAGCTGCAAGGAGAAAGCCTACAAGTATGCTATTTAATCTTGAGCTGACTGCCACCTCAATATCATGATGACTGAATTAGGACAAAATTTCAGTATCTTAAGTGAAATGTTGCTGTTTGCATGCAATGCAGAAGAATACCTGTCAGTTTCTACATTTCTCTGAAATTAATTTTTAGAGTGGCATTTTTAGAAGATAGGATTTAACTGAATGAAACATGTCTACATACTGCAAAAATGGATGACACCGTGTTTCAGAATATTGAAGAGATGTTATACTTTAGTACTCCTTTTATTTTCCCTTCAAATACAAAAGCTACAACTCATTCCAAAGAGAAAAAGCATCACAGATAGATCAGTTGTTTGGGAATATTAAATATTATCTAAAAACAAACAGCCCAAACTTGCAAATAAACGCATTACTTGTGTGCATCTGTGCACATACATTTTCAAACAAAACCACATTTTCCACTCATGTCTATTTCTATACAGAATAATTTCCTGAAACTTTTTTGAATATACACGGTACAGAGAAAGTTGCTAATTTATTTTGTTATTCTTCCTGACCAAGTTTCCCAAATATCAGGAAACCAACATTTAAGCTATCTATCTGTCTGTCTGTCTGTCTGTCTTTAACTACTGCTCCAAGTGCCTAGAATTCTTACAGCTAAGAGGAAAGACACTGAATTTAACTCTGACTTTTCAATATATTTTGGCACAAGATGGAAGCAGATCACTACACTTACAGGAAGAAAATCATTTCTTTTTTACTTATTTAGCTGAAAATAGTTGGTCTGTATTTTTTCAGCCTCCATTCCAGCAAGATACAGTTAACAGGAGTGGAGCTTTTTCAAAAAGAATCATAAAGTTATAGACCAATGAGGGTGCAACTTACCGATTCATCCTTCTTGCCCGCTCTAACACTTCAAACATGTGCTCTTGAAACAAATCCAATCTCCTGTAGCGGTTACTTTCTACATTTCTCCGTATGATATCAAAAGTCAGAGAGGGTTTGTTTGGGAAGCTGGGATCTACACCAGGAATTTCAGCTAAGGAGTCACTATAGCACCTTCCCTCATCATCTTGATGGCTCATGACAGAGACAAAAAGATTATGGGTAAGTTCCTGGATCAGCAGTGTTACATTTGGAACATGAGAGTCTTCATCCCCTTCTATGTCCCTTCTAGTTTCAAGCAAAACTTTATGGAGTACCAGTGCATCTTTGTAAATCAAGGATTCTGGTTCATTATAAGTGCAGGCATTATTGAACATCATAACAAAATCTTCCACCATGGCATCAATGTCCTGGTATTTATTGGCCATCATGTGACTTCTGATCTTTTCCATATCAACAGGCCTTTTAATAGTCAGGTAGTAATCAGGTAGCTCTGACCGAGATGGAAGCCGCAGGAAGATAGCACTCAGCCGTCTTCCTCGCTTATCTGTGTAGTTCTTCACTGCTTCATATACCTCATTCAGTTTCTGCTGCATTGGAGTCATGTATTTTGATTTTTTAGGGGAGATACCAGTTTTCCGACCTAGTTGGAGGAACAAATGAAAGCCAGATTCAGAAAGCAAATACCATGATTTGTTGCTTCAGTTATCAAAATGCTATTTTGAGAACATGATGCTATGTTCAAGATATACAATTTGAGAAGTACTTTTTTGTCATGATATTTGTGCAAAGCCCAGATGTTCTTTACCAATGTGACAGATGAATATCTAAAAAAAAGAGTCAACATTTTGACACCGGCTTTTGCTTGAGGGTCAAAAGTATTTCCCATCTATCAAATACAAAAGTAATAATTTCATCTAAGAAAGGGGGAGGAAACAGAATCAAGTTAATACCATATGCTCCATCCTCCCTGTTATTCTCTTGACCTAAAAGTACTTCAGGGACTACGCACCCCAAAGTCTAGCACTCTTGTTTAACACTTGTTCCTTGATCAGATTAGAATAGTTTATTATGAAAGTTTTCTTTTACTATTTTAATACAATATGGGTTGTCTTTCAGATTTCATTAAAATAGTGCAAAAAATTGACTACCACATATAAACAGATTTTATTCGACAAGACCATTTTAACAGGCACAGAACTTCTCAAGAACACCTTACTTAATTTCAGTTTAGGGGAAGCAACCTCCTCATCTTCATGTACTGGTCCCAGCTCTTTCCTCTTTTCTTTAAGAATCTTCTCCAAGATATGAGCATCATTGTATACCTATTCATTGCCAAAATATTTTTAAAACAAAAAACTTTACTCATATTCTAATTAGGATCAGAAAAACATCTTCAACCTTAATTAATGTTCCAAACAAAAATTAAGAGTTTACAGCTAGAATTTCCATATTTGTAACAACAGCAGAAAAATCTTCATTCATACCCCCAAAATTTATCTTTTCATCTATGCAGTAATGAACTCTGTTAGACTTCTGGAACAGATACATGAATCTTTTTATTAGTCTGAAACAACTGACAACATCCCAGTTCAATCTATTTCTCCTAAATGGACAACATTCCTTTATTCCTTTGGATGGGAGGGCATCTCCCTGGAATCTTCACAGAACTACAAGCAGGGCAAGAAGTGACAATTTCTGGCACATTTAAATGCAAAATGCTTCCTCTTAAGTGAGGTTCAGAGTCTCTAGCAGGACTACCCACTGAAAACAAGAAGCACTATATTTTTAACTCCTGCTGTTCCATGTTCCCAGCATCATCTGATTGGCATCCTGGAGAAGCTATCCAGAAAATATGCACAACATGTAAATTTGGAAACAGCTAATTTTTAGTTTGCAAATTATGTAAACATAATACAATCTATCTGTTTCCTCGAAAGTTAGAGTAAGAAGTTGTTGAAAACATAGGTTGCCCCATTCAAAGTCTTCACATACATATGAACTTCTATATTATCAAATGTAGCAATACACTCATGTCATGTGTGTTGCTCTCTGTCCTGTGTGATTGTCTTCTACAGAAATACTTTGATATGTATCTTTTATGGAACTGAATTTTAATGTGTGTTCGTAGAATTTTTATAATATTTGTCTGTTTTTAACTGTGGTGTGACCTGCCTTGAGCTGTGGGAGAGGCAGGTAAGAAATAATGTTTTAAAAAGTTATTAATTATTATTACATACAATATAAAGTGCAGACATGTAAAAGACAGGCAAACTGATATGAAGAAATGGTAAAGCTCATAGTTTTAGGGCGAAATACTGTAGTATGATTTATTTAATGGAATGACAACAATAAGCAGAGCAAATTGGCAGATACACAGATCTAGCCCAATCACTCCTAAAGACATACCTGTGAGCCTTCTTCATTATAATGCCTTGCATTTCGAAACATTAATCTCATATCTTCTATCATAGCTTCTTCCCCAGTGTACTTCTCACTACGGATATTATGCTCTATGATTTTCAAATCCATTGGCTCCAAGATGATTTTGTAATAATCTGGGTAATCTTTTTTGGAAGGTTTCACCATAAATAGCTCACAGAGTCTTCGGTTAGTTCCAGGTTCTCTTGCCTCAAGAACGACATTGTATAAAATTTTCATTCGCTGTTTCTTTACATTCTTTTTGCTGTCAGATTGGAAGAGAGTGAGAACAACGAGTTCAACTTGGTTACATGCATCCAAATGAACATTTTACTTTGTTTTTAAAATGTCTGACAACAGCAACAGCGACAACAAGTACCCCACCACCATCTCCCCAAAGGGACTCAGGGTGGCTCACAGAAACACTCCCAAGTGCCATATGCAAACAACAATACATAAGTATAAATACAATGACATAAGTATAATTAACAGCGCATAAAAATATCATGGATAAAATTATAAAAAATTGAAAATTATAAAATTCCTAACGCAGTGGAACCTGTGGGCCAGCTATCTGCAATAACAATCAATGTCTTCATTATTATGGAAACAGAGACATGCTGGTCATAGGCATGTTCAATTAGAATTTCACAGATCATTTCATGCTTTTAAAATAAATTATCACTATAACACCTGCAAGTTCCCTGTGTGGAACCAATACTATTATCCCTCCCATTTAGGAGTTCAGTGGCTATTACCAGTCAAGCACCAGTTTATTTAGTGTCAGCTGGTCACTAAGAAGACATGATGGGGATCATCTATCTACCCCATGTTTTACCAACGTATTTGTAAAAAAAAGATTTCAAATGATACTTTAAATTTCAATCAGATTTCAAACAATACTTTAAAACAATCATGAATGAAGGGGAAGGTGAGGATAATCTAGCAAGAAGTATGAAATGGCAAACCCATCACAATATATTATTAGGAATCAGGGCATGTTTTAAATACTAAGAGAACTCTTAACACTTTTGTAGAAAACTGCATGCAAAAAAGCCTCAGAACACATGTAATGAATTAAAACAACTTTTTCTATATTCAATATATGTAAATAAACATATGTTACCGTATACCAGAGAATTCAAATAACACTAACTCAGGGGACATTGCAAGGTAAAAGCAAAATTAAAGAGTCTACACTGTAGATAGAGCACCTACATAAAAGACCCAACTTTTATAATTCTATATGCAAAAATGAGGAAAAAAAACACATTGTGCTATAGCGCTGTGTTTCCTTTCCTGTATCCTCATTCTATTCCCTGCTTTACTTGGTGCTACTGCTGAATACAAGGGAAAGAGAAACTGTCATCTCTTTAACAGGTGCAATGATAAACAAATACGAACAACATGCTTCAAATAGCCATAAAAATGGCTGATTAAAACTGTAGAACTAAAATACACTTAACACATACATGTAATGAAATTTACATAATCAATGACAAGAGAACTATCTTTTAATAAATATTTTTAAACCCTTGTGTAAAGAAATGATCACCAATGACTATATAACTCCTTTTAACATGTCAAAAAAAAGATTTTTAAAATACAGCTATTTTTCAAATCTGGGTTTTTTTCAAACACATAAAAATAATAATACTCTGGAATCTTCACAATTTTACAAGAAATTTAAATCCCTTAAAATTTTTGAAAACAAATATTTAAAAATCTTAGATGTAAAAAGCAAGCATTGGTAGGGATAAGGTCAATGAAGTTTGCTTCCAGGTTTATCAGTGCAGGTTTTTTTATTCATCTATACAAAATAGCACTGTCTGAGCTAAATATGATGGAACATAGAAAAATAAATAGGTTATCTAATATTACATTACAATGCCATAGCATAGAACCCTGATATTTCTGCCAGTGGTAAATCTACATATTAATAAATCATGTCAATAAAGCCAGAGATGATATCTAATAAAGAATCACTAAACATCAAATCGAATTATTACTGATCATTAGCAGCAGAAAAAACAGACACCGCAGTATGCAAGAGAATACCTTTTTCTTTTGGAACTTCCAGCATCAGATGTGGCAGAAGAGATCATACTGTCTCCATCCTCAATTTCATCTCTTCTGGCTAGCTCCTTTTTCTTTGCCTGAAACAGAGCAAATTCCCTAGAGTCAGATTCCATCTGCTGAACGTCTCAAGAACGCATGAATAATGAAGAGCTGCAAAGAACAGGTTCACTCTGAAAGCTAAAAATACAGCAATAGTATATGTCTTGAATCGATGGTAAGCTATGAATGAAACATATTTAACCACTCAAGTTACTTGTATAAAAAGTAATAATAAATATTAGACATGAAGCATCTAAATTAATATAAATAAATCTGCATTCTAAAGATTTATTTGAGACCTTGCACCTAAGCTCTCACTGGAAAATGAGCTTTCAGTTAGTAATATATTAGTTTAAATTAATGTGTGGATCTAGAGTCTTTATACAATATTCTTTTCAGAAGTCTTTTTCCAATTAAAAATACATAAAACAAAATTAGTTTAGCTACTGACTTCATTCTGAACCCAGAATATAAATTTGTGGGTTCCTAACATAGCATTGGCCAAATAACTCCTGTCTGGAAAGCATCAGGGACACTGTTCAGAATGGAAACACAGCACTTGAATTAATATCACAAGACAGTGTGCCAATGCAGATAGAAATGCACCAAATACTAGCTCACAAAAACAAACCCAGAAACACAGCTAGAGGAAGTCAAATTTTACCTGCATAACCTGCTGCATTTTCATTACTCTCTTATAAATGGCCGAATTCGGAACATTGTAACGTTTGGCATTTTCAAACATCAAATTTAAATCACATTCCAAATGGTCAAGTGTTTCATATTCATTATTCTTTAGTTTTGCTCTGTAGAGGAGATAATCTTGTGTCATTATCGTAGAAATAAAAGGCACTGCTTGTAAACCAAAATGTTAGTCAGCCCTCCACATTTGGGGATTTCATTTTCATGGATTTGATGATCTGTGAGGTTGTAGCTCATCTTTAACTAGCTCTAATTGTCTGACTGTATGTCTATGATGCCTGATGGTTTGATTTATATTACTAGCCGATGTCTTTTTATTTGTTTTAATTTATATGTATAATTATCTTCACGTTGTTGATGGCATTGAACGTTTGCCAGTTTTATGTTTGGATGCTGCCCTGAGTTCCTTTGGAGAGAGAGGGCAGATTAAAAGTAAACTATTATTATCATTACTATTCATATTACTATACTTCTTCACCCCAATCTTTCTGCTGTCCCAGTTTTCCACCACTACCTTTCCAACAGTGCTATTCCCTCACTCCCATTCCCTCCTCACTCCCTTTCCCTCCCATCTAAGCCCTATCAAAATTTTAAATTCCTCCCTCCATCACTACCCTCCTCACCTTCCCATCAAAGCAAACCAAGTTTGAAACACCTCCCTTCTTGTACCAACCTTCACACTGAAGCTTAATCCAGATATGCAACCCCTTTGTCTCTCCCTCCCTCCCTCCTTTGCACTCCAGTGCACATCACCCCACAAAAGTCTCTGCCTGCATTTAAATCCCTTCCCCGCTGATTCACTTATTCCCCTATCAATTCCCATGGCTCCCCACCACCACCTTAAATCCAGGCTGACACTTATGGTGGGATGGCAGACAATGGAGTGCAGGGGTGTTCTGCTGAGCAGGAGAGGAGATGATAAGAGATGGAGAGAAAAGAAGTAGTGATGGGGAAGAAGGGGAAAGGCGAAAATGGTTTTTAAAGCCAGTGTAATATAGCAGAAAAAGGGAGAGACCAACAATTTAAAAAGTGTCTTTGGGGTATTTTGGGGAGTGTGTGCAAGAGTTATTCTATTTTCACGGGAACCTGTGTCCCTAAACATAGTAACTATGGAGGGCTGACTGTACTTTAATGTTCTCCCAGAAGAAGATTCACCCCTCTCTCCTCCCCAACTATTACTTGAGAAATTGCGAACAAGAAAGGCACACAGGGGATGTAAGAATCTTTCCAACAATTCTTTCCTGATCTTTCAGGAAATCTTTCCTGATTGTTTTCCAAGCACAACACAAAATACTAGGTGTTTTGAAAATATGAACACAATTTGAAATGGCTATATCTATGCAACCATGAAATGGCCACGGATGAAACTCTTACCACTTGAAAGGGTGAGGCATAGAGTTTCAAATTATTATAGCTAGATGCCTCCCCAAGCAGACAAACAGCCCCTAGCGCCATTCATTTGAAAGGTGGGGTCTCCGTAACACAAGGCATTTTATATTCTGCAATTCAGCAAAACTCAATCTGTAATTGCGGTGCAGCATGCGTTTATTTATTTACAGTATTTCTATACTGCTTTTCTCACCCCTAGGTGGACTCTAAGCGGTTTTCAGTAGGCGTTTTGGCCAATGTCAAATAGCATTTGTTGCTGGTATCAACAATTCAGGGAAACACACTGTTCATCTGAGGAGAGGAGCTTTTATATATATAGCATTTTGAAATTGGATCCATCATTCTGAAATAGCCTATATTTTACATATAAACTAGCTCAGCTTAATTTTTTTGAAGTACAAAAGGTCTTAACCAAGAAGGCATATTTAATTGTTAAATATATAGATACCATTGCTTCAGGTAAAAATACTTGTCAGATCTTATTGATAATGCATTTGAAAAATAAATGTTTATTATAGTGGAAGCATTTCAATTATCAAATGTTTGGAATTCCGCAAGTTGATATTAACATGAATGAACCTTAAAATGAAATGAGACAAGAGTGATGTAGTCACTGAAGAAAAAAATTAGCTACTAGATAATGTTAAAGCAGGGGTAGACAAAGTACAGTCTATGGGCTCAAAGCAGCCCCTTTCCAGTGCAATTTTTCTGTGATTTTGAACAGATAATTGCACCATTTTGCCCCTTAAAATACAAAACATGCAACAACAACTCCCAAATATTTTCTTTTGGAACCAAGTTGCAGTTCAAATAACGTCTGGAAGCAATGTCACTTACGATTATCATTTTGGCTACAATACCGCCATTAAAATATACTTTTACATATAAATTTGACCGGGGGGATGGCCCACAGGGGTTGAGAGGAATTGGCTCCCATGCCCCAAATACCTGTCCATCCTGTGTTTTTATGGCAATAGTCCAACAGTATTGTAACATATTTCGGACACAGAACTGAATTAAAAACAAGGAATCTAAAATTTATCAAAAATAGAACAAAAACCTAAGTCTTTAGAAGAGAAAACAGAGCATTGAAACCATTCAAAATCTGAAAGAGTTCACCTGATTTGCTGTAATGAAATAGGCAACTTGATTTGCTGATAATAATCAGGGTACTTCTTCTTTGAGGGCAAATGGAAAAAGGGTTCTGATATAAGCTGGCCCTGATTGTTCCGGCAGCTCCTCACTGTGTCATAGAGCTGATAGAGAGGATTGGAAGCATCCATAAAGGAAGAAATGCTCTCAGCTTCAGACTCCCCCCCTTCTTCATAACGGGCAGCAGCTAGAAATAAGAAAGTAGCATTTTTACAATGTTAACATATTTGTTTATGTTTTAAATAGTAAAAGTGAAAACATTTGCAACATATGCTCACAAAGGGGGAGGCGAATGAAAGTAACTTTTTCAGGAATATGTTCCTAACTGTGAAAAGTTATCAAAAATGCAACAAAAACTCCTGTAATCTTACCCCAAGGATGAAAAATGGAAATTATTCTTTCTTTCAATTTTTTTTTACCTCTCTGTAGGGGTAGTCAAAGCTGGAGCATGGCCCTCTAGGAGAACAAGTGTGACTCGGGTAGTTGGCCACCCCAGAGGTAAAGGGTATATCATAACCAATCTAATAACTAGTTACTTCTTCTTCTTTTTTATCGTGTCAGAAGCGACTTGAGAAACTGCAAGTTGCTTCTGGTGTGAGACAATTGGCTGTCTGCAGGGGCATTGCCCAGGGGATGCCTGGATGTTTTACCATCCTGTAGGAGGTTTCTCTCATGTTCCCACATGGGAAGCTGGAGCTGAAAGATGGGAGCTCACCCCATCTCACAGATTCAAACCGCCGACCTTCAGGTCAGCAGTTCAGCCAGCACAAGCACCATCACAGCTCCTGGTGTGTTGTCTTCTGTGATATTGATATATTTTGGCATGCTAATATCCTTATTTTTAACTCTTTTTAACATTCATTTCATGCTTCTAGTTACTGATATTTCAGCTTTTTTGAGCTATAAAATATATTACTCTCTGAGATAACAGCACCAACCAAAGGGGATAGGAAGGAGATTAAGACCAGACTTTCTAGCCAGTTTATCCTTTAAATTATTTTCCTGGCTCAGGGAAATCTTATATAAAAACCATTACATCTACAGTGAAATTCCCTCAGATTCCTAGCATAATCCCACTGTTCAAGGGAATCCTAGTTGAGAAATCCTTTCTAAATTGTTTAAAAGTCACAGCCTGTGAACTCCTGTGATTCTTATATGCCAGTGTATGATCACAAGGATTTCTTCCCAAAAGTGCAAAACTAATTTTAGCAAATAAATGTGGGATTCCTTAAGTTTGTTATATACACATTAAGAAATACTTTTGTCATTATTGGTACTCTATTCTAGGTGAGATAAATATGGAATTTTATGATTAACAATTGCTTTGCAAATCTTCACAATTCTATTTTAATTCCTACCAGCCAGAACAGCATCTTCGTCACTTTCAGATCCATACTGAAGGGCCATTGTTATTGCTGACAAACGATCCCCTTGGACAGCTCTTTTGTTACTGTAAATTTGGGGAGGGAGAACACTTATGAAAATGCTAATTCTAAAATGAATGGACTAAAAGACAACCAAAGATTAAGGACTCACCGGTAATATTTACTAGCAGGATTTCTCTCATCGACAACACTGCCTTTACCCTGTGAGGAAGGTCCTGGCAACTTGGAAGCAGCCAAATTTGCAGTCCTTCCGTAAAGTGCAAGCAAGCCACAGAAGGAGAAAAAAGAAATACACCAGACAACCAATACAATACACAATTAGAATGCAGTTCTTTTACAGAATATGTTTTGAAAGGCAAGTTAGAAATGGCTCTCTCACTGAATTGTGATGAGCAGCTGGATTTAAAATGATATTGATTTTTATACTGAACTCACAGAATCCCATTTCAGAATGAAAGAACCAGCTAAAATAGTTCCTTGTATGGGCTCAAGATTAAATCCAACTGATTCCACAATCATAGCAGGTATACCTACAACTGAAGACCATCTTCAAACTAACATAAAGTGGCAAAAAGATGTCTACATTTATGCTATTATTAAATTGAAAGGAATTGCATGCTAATTTTCAAGCAAATTGTGTAGCAGAGAAACAACAAAATCCAGTTGCTTTTTCAGTGAATACAGGATGTTCTCCCAAAATTATAACACATTAACAGCTAATAGTTATTGTGGTTATTATATGCTCTTAACCACGCTATAACCACTCTCTTGTTACATCCCATACAGACTACCGCAACGTGCTCTACATGGGGTTGCTTTTGAAAACTGTTTAGAAGCTTCAATTGGTCCAACGGGCAGCAGTCAGTTTGCTCACCTGAGCAGCATACAGAAAGAGGACATCCCTCCTGTAGTTGGCAGTCTGCTTCCAAGCACAATTCAAAGTGCTGGCTTTAGTCTATAAAGCCCTAAACGGTTCTGGCCCAGATTAGCTGTCAAAATCTCCCTCTATGAACCATCTCAGAGATTAAGATCATCTGGGGAGGCCCTACTCTCGATGTTACCTTCTTTGTAGGCGAGGTTGGTAGGGACAAGAGACAGGGCCTTCTCAGTGGTGGCCCCTCAGCTGTGGAACTCCCTCCCCAGTGACATTAGAATAGTCCCCTCCCTCCTAGCTTTCAGAAGGAAAGTGAAAATGTGGCTTTGGGATTCAGCCTTTGGTCAGTAAAGGGAGCAGTGCAATAAGATACAATGAATTAACATTGACAACTCGGACAGGCCGTGAATGATGACTTGGATTATGTGATTTTAAATTGTTGTTTAGTGTGATGTTTTTAATTGGTTGGTTTTTAATGTTTTAAAGTGTTGTTTATTTATCGATACTTGCACATGCGGCATCAAATTATTGCCACTGTAAGGCCACCCTGAGTTCTCTTTGGGATTGAGAAAGGTTTGATATAAGTGCGGTAAATTAATTAATTAATTAATTAATATATTTTCAATCATTTAATTTAAATAATAGTTTAATCATATACCAATTACATCTTAAATTAAAATTTTATATAAGGTGCTCAAATTGTCTTCCATGTGCAGCAATGCATTGCACACATTGTCAAATGACAGAGTTGCAAACCTCACTTAAAAGTTTATTTTGTAAAACTTCTCTGCTATTGGAATCTTTAATGTCATTATGGTACATACATTTTTGGAACTCCCTCGATATTTTTTAAAAATGAAATGTACATAACTTAAAAATTAATCACAAAATCAAGCAGTGAAATGAATTTAAATAGGGGAGATGGAGAAAGAAAAAGTTCCAAGATAAATGGGGAAATTTTCAAAAAAATTAAGCTGACTTCACATAAGAAAAAATGAAGCAATAGTGTAATATTAATTAGAAAGGGAGATGATAATAATAATAATAATAATAATAATAATAATAATAATAATACTTTATTTATAGGCCACCCGCTGTTCCCAAGGGGACTCAGGATGGTGAAACAGCCCAAACAATAACTTCTACTGATCACTAGAGATTATTTATTTAAAGAGCTACATATGTTTGAAGGCCTTTAAAATCTCACTTAAAGATGTGTCAGGATTTTAACTGTTTTCAGATTATAGGCTTACTGCCCAATAGCATGCACATGTTTTTTCAGTTACTTTGCCCTAACTTCAATTTCAGAGATTGTTTTAGGCCTCAAAAAGTCTTATTCTCCTCTAGAATAGCCCTGTGGGGGTGGAATTCTGTTTAAATGTTAAACTGCAAAACCAAAATGGTCACCATGTTCCACTTAGAGAGTTCTAGTGGATGCAATCTATGGGGTACAAAAAAGGGGGGAGGGGAATTTTGGTAGGGGAGGAGGAGCACAAGGTAGAAAAGAAATGTTCCCCAAAAATCCAAAGTTCCTTATTCTTGGTCTCTGGCATGGGATTTTGATACTGCTAATGAAGTTTTAACAGGAACTTACTGAACTAATTTAATGAGGCCAGTCAAGCTAAAATTGTCTTTAGCTGAGACACAAACTGCATTTCAACGACTCTTGAAAAAGTATGCCATGCTGCTCATTTCTGATTGGGAAAATCTAGTTATATGTATATATATAAAAGAGGAAATACAGATGCACACAACTGTCAGTGTTTCCCAATAACAATAGAAAGAACAATTTCTCCACTAGAACAAGACAGATTATTAAAAAAGCAAATGATGCCATGTCTACCTAACTTGATCCTGTCAGACCATTGTGAAAAAGACTATTCTATCATGATTGAAGATATAATTATATATCTTGGACATTTCTGGGAAGTACATAGGAAATATCAGTAATTTTATATACTTTCATTTTGCTTATAGTACCTGATTCGGAGACTTGATTTGGTCAGTTCTGAATGTTCGATTTCTGCCTTTTTCACATTAAATATTTTTTTAATTGCATTTGCATCCTGTTAAAGCAAACAGAGAAAACATGGTATTCAATTTAAAAACTCTAAATTGAAACAATCAGTATTCATTAAAAGGAAAAGGGTGAATATGTGAGTATTAGCCTTAGACGTATCTAAATGTAATTTACCTGTATTTTCGTTTCTGTATCTGTGTGTTGAATCTCCACACAAAAGCACTCTTTTGGATATGCAATTATTTGTATACCCCACTATATACCATAATTTTAATGGAATAAGAAAATACCCTACCTCTCATATCATTCAAGGATAGCTTTTTAAACTTATGACATGAGTGTTACTAGAGTAATTACTTTTAAACCGATTTATTTTAAAGTGCTTTAACTAACCTTGAATACTTGAGATCCAGGTTCGTTGTAGGTTTTGGCATTCTTTACTAATAGATCTATGTCCTTTGCCATTGCATGAATGCTCTTATAGCTTCCATTCTGTAAAAAAGTAAACAAAATTAAATAGCAAATCAACAATTTCAACAATTCCCAAAATTCACATACATAATAATATGCACTGTCTTAGGATTCACCTAAGCCGCTTCTTGACAGCGCTGATTTAATATTCATTACAAACATGCAATCTGCTTTTAAGGCAATGCCCCCACCTCAAATTATACTGTACCTGTATTCGCTGTGCAACTGTCTTCAGGTCTATAGGCTCTTTAATTATTGCATAATAGTCTGGATATTGCTGAAAAACAGAGATATTTCAAGCCCTTTTCATTCCATTTGAAGCAATTATAACATAATCTATCAACTATCCTACTGCAAGTTCAGAGATATAATGGAAAACTACAATTCTGGACACACTTGAAATTCTCCTGGCTATAAAGCATAAACTTTTGTGTAAAGTGCCGTAGAACACATTGCAAAATGCATGGGTCTAAACACAGAGCAGACACATACTGTGTGCTACATGAGATGAAAAACCTTCCTAAGGAACACATTACAGTATTTAGATTTAAAAAATTAACATCCTTTCTGCCCATCCCTCAGCACCTTTACTTGAAATCAAAGTAAATCTTCTTTACAAATTACTACATTTGAGATTCACAGTTTCTTATAATAATCACCACCTTCTATTGGCATTAGCAGTCACACATGTTACAATAGTTTTGTTTTCACAGGGTGCCTTAAAATAGCATACAATAATAATAGTAGTAGTACTAGTAGTAATAATAATAGCAACAACAACTTAATTTTATACCCCATCACCATCTTCCAAAGGGACTCAGGGCAGATTACATGGGGACAAAGCCTACAGAACAAACAAAATTTACCAGCTAAAACACGGTTAAAAACATAATAACATATAATATAACATAAGCAATCCAATTAAAACAATTAACAACGGCAAAGTATAAAAACATCGTAAAAGTGTTTCAAACCACCCTCAATAACCAGTAACCAGGAATAAGGTGGGCATGATCAGATTAGAGAAGGCAGGGCATGGGCTTGTGCAAAAGCAAACTATAAGGCCAGGGGCAAAGTGCTGAATAGAACCTTATCAGTAAATTAGGGCCGGGCATTCATGACCAGAGACAAATCATCATCCACTGAGACACATAGGTTTTCAAATCCCTGTGGAAGGCGGACAGAGTGGGGTTAGTCTAATCTCCCTGGGGAGGGAGTTCCAGAGCTGGGGGGCCACCACCAAGAAGGCCTCTCTCTCATCCCCACCATCTGTGCTTATGACATATAAATCTAAATGGTGATGCAATCTAGCAGCCTCTGTTGTGTCTGTCTAGTTTTTGTCAACTTCAATTGATATTTTATAGGAAAAAATGTTTATATTTACATTCAAACACCAACACTGTTACTTACCACTTTGGAGGGAAGCTTCTGAAAAAGTTCACTAATGAGGTGGCCCGATGGATTTGCTGCTACAACTACTGCCTCAAGAAGCTGTTCAAGGATTTCTTTTAAGTGACCTGGAGAAGACTGTAAAAGAAATTAATGATTTGAACAACTGAGTGCTCTTTCTGGTTTTTTTATTATTATTATTTTGACTATTAAATATTAGATGTCTTACAATAAGGATACACAGGAATATGTTAGGTAGATTCATGGGTGTATATGTTTTATGGCAAACCAAAGTATTATAATATCAAGAGTAAGACTGTATTACTAGTAACATGTATAAAGAAATCACTTCTGCTTTTAAAAAATTCTGTTGTGTGTATCTGAACACATAAGAACTATTTTAGCAGCATACTGTAGCCCCCAGTGATGCAATGGGTTAAACCCTTGTGCCAGCAGGACTGAAGACCAACAGGTCAGAGGTTCTTATCCGGGGAGAGCACGGATGAGCTCCCTCTGTCAGCTCCAGCTCCCCATGTGGAGACATGAGAGAAGCCTCCCACAAGGATGGCAAAACATCAAAACATCATTGCCCGGGTGTCCCCTGGGCAACCTCCTTGCAGACAGCCAACTCTCTCACACCAGAAGCGACTTGCAGTTTCTCAAGTTGCTCCTGACACAAAGAAAACTAGCAGCATACTTTAAAATAGGATACACACACACATACCTGGGGGGGGGGGGGAGAGCACGCACTTTAGGAATTTTTACTTGGCTTTTGAAGATCGGGGTGGGAAAATTTACACTCACTATTTCAGAAATTGTCCCTTGATTGTCATCATCATCATCATCTTCATAATCAGGATCTCCCTTCTGAACAAATTCATTTTTTGTGCGTAAATATAAATCCCACAGTTTGCAGGCAGCCTTATATTCAGGGGAGTCTGGCTGTGTAAAAGACCCAAGAAATCAGTTTGTTACTAAACAATTTTCCATTTAGAGCATCTTCTGTGTTAGAAATAAAACTAACAAAGCTATAATCCCCAGAAATAATGTGTACAAATAAAATAACCATTTAGTTTACTGCAATTATTCAACAAAAGTAAATAAAGGCAGAATAGAAAATGAATGCACCTTCACAATACATACCGCTTTAGAAAACTGAAATGCTAAGTACTGCAAATGAGAGAGATGACTGAAGTCCTCCCACTTAATGCTGACAGAACAAGCAAATGATGGTTTCTAAAATAAAATATTTGTCACCTTATAATAGGCTTTTGCATTATTAAATAGCAGCTGGAAGTCAGTAGTTAACACGTTCACATCATCATATTCTTCCATTTTTAGCTTCTGTTGGATTTTCATTAAATCAATAGGCTGAGAAACTACTTCATAGTAATCTGGCTGATTTCTGTTGTGATAATAAATTATTAAAAATGTAGTTAATGCAAGCAAAAGTTGCAGTACTGACAATAAATAAGATGGTATATTCTATAATTCAATAAATGAGAATTTTACACCACATAAAAATATTGTCAAAAGAAATGCATTCATTTAATCTAAAGAGCTCTTCAGGGTAAAAAAAAATTGCAATGCTATTTTTGGTGTCTACCAAAATGCTATTTTTGGTGTCTACTTGTAAAAATAAATCAAATGTGGCAATGTCAAAATACTGCAATGTGAGAAAAAAAGAAAATGTAAATTATTTTTTAATGCAAGGTTTGAAAGAGACAGCAAACGTTGTAAGCATGTCTCTGTAATTTGTGCTAATAAGTAACACAAATAAGAGCACGCAGCCTCTCCATCACTGGAGTTGCCTCTGAGGGAGTTGACATCATGAGATCAGACTGCAAAGCTTCAATGCAAGTAACATTTAGCCAGGCTATGATTGATGCTATAAATGTGCACACAGCAAGATCCTTCCAGCTTCTGAATGTAAAATGTGAGACTGCACTATCATCCAAGAGAAATCCCTATTAGACCAATTGAACTGTTTTGTACAAACAGAGCACAAGAAAGGATAGCCAGATGAAATACAAAAGAAATGACACACATCCTGTTAAGTTGGAGGTCTTCTTCTCCCTCTGCATCCTCATAGCAAGTCTGCTCCAGAAATCCCCAGTCCCCCAGAACAGATTTTAAGGACATGCATGGAGATACAGAAGAGCAAAGTTTCTTAGCAAATTGACATCCTTTCTCTCCATTCTGCTGACAAGAGCACTTTTCACCAGCAGAAAAAAAAATCCTTGGATTTTGCACTTTGTAAAAAGTGACTATTTGAGAACACATTTGTTGAACATAATGCAGCATGAATGCAAGAGCCATTGCAGAGGGAGAACTCCTCACTCCTTGTCTCCATGGCTTGTGCACACAACACACTGTAGAATACTCTGCCACCTGAAGTGCGTGCCTTGCGGGACTTATCAGCTTTCCGCAGGGCATGTAAGACATATCTGTTTCGATGGACCTTTGATCTCTGATATTGCTGTTTTTAAATTGTTTTTAAATTGTGTTCGATTTTAGCCTGTTCTTGTAAGCCGCTCCGAGCCCCAGGGGAGTGGCGGCATATAAGTTCGAATAATAAATAAATATATAAATAAATCATTTTCTGAGGGTTATACAAGCCCTCAGAAATGACTGGTTATGAAGCAAAAGAGCTGAAAGAGGGCGAATCTTGCATTTGTAGGCATTTGTAGGCATTAAAACTCGTAAATTTCAGCAAAGGTGACCCTAGCAGAGATTTCTTATCAATGGCAGCTCCTTACCTTCTCTTGGGGGCCCGAATAAAGAGCTCACACAGAAGCCTCCCTTGTTCATCTTTGTAATCTCTGATTGTATTGTACAATTCATGACATACTGCAATCTAAAATACAAAGCCATTAAACACAATTGTATAAACTTAAACATAAGCAGTTCCCTAAGATATTATCTGTATCTTTACAAGACTTATGTTTGGACAGTTAACATTAAACTTTCCATTTTATAGAGGGGAAACAAGACAACATTAAGACTAGCGAATACAAAACTGAACTGAGTTTGAATTGGTAGCTCCTAGCTTCTAGCCCAGACCCTTATCTACTTCATAATTTAGCTTTTGGCTGTGGTACTGCTGTGAATAAACAATGAAAATCTAGCTAAACTAGAAAGGAGAAGTGAGTAGAACTAAACCGTAACTACTTCCTCACAGATTATCAACCACACATCCTGAGCATCACTTTCTGTAGTAATGAAACAACTTGATGAAGTCATGTCTCTATTAAATGAATGATAGCCAGAAAAAACAATGTCCTTGTTATCCCTAGATGTGTTAACTCTGAAATCTAATTAGTCAACCTTATAGCTAAACACAATTTCATTTATAAACACCCACAGAAATACCAGTAAGAAGCACCAGCACTGCCTTCCAACTAACTATTGTATGTAACATATTTTAATGTGAAAATTCTGGAAGAAAGCTTAAATAGTTCACACACTTATGCTCAGGATACTAAGCTATAGTCTCACCTTTTCCCTGTAAAAATTATATGGTAGTCTAGAGGAAATTCAAACAGTAAAACACACTTACAGGATCAACAGTTGGGAGGTTAGAGAGTCGCCTTCTCTTCCTGCTTGGACCTGGTGTGTTTGAAGAATGGTGACTATCATCGAAATCGCCTCCACTGGCACTGCTGGAAGGAGAAGTAGCCCTTCGCCGCTTTGAGCCCATAGAATCCAACTTCTTCTATAATAAAGAAAAATGTTCTTAAACTTGAGACTTTCCATGTAATATCTCAAAGTATCACAGATCATTAAACTTGCAGTTCACAGAAACGGCTTACTAGTACATAGTTAAAATCTTGCCCAAACTTCTGTACATTTGACATTAAAATAATCCATAGTAGCATGTTATTACATGGATGACAAAAACACAATAGTGAAATGAACATTACAATCAGGACTAAAGTTGAAATGAAAAAAAAATCCTGGTTTCCCTCTAATACTCATATCTATGCAAGAAATTTTCTTTTGCACAGAGGACTAATATCCCATATGTTTAACCAGGAACATAGGTAAGTATTCATCCATTTTGTGTGTATGGACCTTCAAGTTGTCTCTCTACTTATGGCTACCCCCCATGAATTTCACAGGGTTTTAAAGCAAGGAATATTCAGAAGTGGTTTTTCAAGTTCCTTCCTCTGAAATATAGCCCATAGCTCCTAGTATTACTTAACGGTCTCTCATCTAAGTATTACCCAGATCTGGCCATGCTTAGCTTCCATGATCAGTCGTGGAATTTGGACTTTCATTTAACCTTACAGTTCAAACAAAACTAAGTTCAATTGCAGTTTGTCACAATTAGGCATTTTGTGTGACAATCACAGTCCAAAGGCCTCACTTTATGTATCTGAATATTTCTTTAGTCTCTTTCAGCTGCAGACTGCCTTCAAAATAAAATACAACTTTAAAATTGAGGCAGGCACAAAACTGCCCTCTGCGATTCAATAAAATGAAAAAAAGAACCTGGCCATCTACACATCCTCAATTATCAGAGAAAAAGAAAATATTTGTGAGGAACGTTTACACAAAGTATGATCAACATATAACCACAACAATTCAGTTCAAGACATTTTAAAAAGTATCTGATTATGGTAAATGTAGCTATGATGTCGGCATGAACAATTTGTGGTATGACAATTTGTGGTTATGATAGTTATTTGGGGCTGTCAGGTGTCTGAAGGCCCACCTATTTTTTGCAAGCTCAGGAAAGAGGGAAACATGTGTTTCCCAAAGGACATAACAGACTGCACAGATGGGCAAACCGAACTATGACGAGAAAAGAATTTATGTGGCTATGAAGAGTCAAAAGATCGGGAAAATTTAATCCAAGAATATTGTTTTTGTCATCTAAACTCAGTACCACCCAAATAATCATTACTTCGACTAACAGAACCACAACAGAACCATACAAAGTCTACTCCCTTCAGATTAGGGCAGGGGTGTGCATATGCAGGAAGAAGGGGAGACTCCTACTGTAAAATTTCACTCATGCATTCTTTATTACAATCAGCCCTCCAAATTCTTTGGGTTGAGGGGCACAGGACTGCCACAAAAGTAAAAAAAAGAAAAGAAAAATGCAAATAAAGAAATTGTGACTTTTTAATCTGAGAAAACCCTTCTCTGGGAATTTGTAGGTCTTCCAGCACAACACAATGGCCAACTTCTGATGGAAGATGAACACAAATTCACACTGCAGGAGATAAAAGATTCCTAGGACACATTCTCTCTATGAATGTTTAAGTTCCCCAGCCCAATAGGAGGAAGTTGATCGTAGAATCACATCGAAAGAACTATAGATTACTAGGCAAAACATTTAAAATAAAATTCCCAAATAATCAAACCACAAATGTGGAGAGATGACTGCACTTCTAAAAATGTATTGCAAGACTATAGAAAAGATTAACAAGTTTTTAATTCCTCTAACTAATGGGATTACACCAAAAACTAGTCAGAGAAATGTGTCCAAACATAGTTTCACCATGTCTTCTCCATATCATCTATCTAACCAATGAAACAGAGAACATGAGAATGCTGTTTCACATAGTAAAGTACTCTTAAATGTTTCACACCCATGTAAACTGCAATAACATAGAACTGCCATCTAAACATTAGACACATTAGTTTTAATACAGAGATGTTCAGTTGCACGTAGGCTCCTCTTAATCACTTTGCATTAGAATTTAACTCTCTGTTGATTGAGACAGTTATGTCACAAAATATGCAATTGTCAATATATGGACATGACTTTCTGAAGAGTCCCTTTGTGGCCCAGTAGTCTTAAAATGTAAAATTTAAAATAAAAGTACTATGGCTTTATGCTGAAAAGAAATATTTGAAAAGCTCTTCAGTGTAAACCAACTTTGGGTTCCTCCCACCCCAGACCTAAAAGCAAATTTAAAACTGGATACAAAAAATGAAGAAATGAGTGCTGAAACTGAAGGAACATTCTACAATTTGAATAGAATATAACCCGCATTTAATTATTTTAAATTTCATCTGACAACACCAAGAACTCAATGCAGATGTAACTAATTGACCTAAGCTGTTCACTATGGCTGAGGAACACAACACACAGAATTGTCTCAACACAAGTACAGACTAAAAGAAACTTACACAGTGAACTTAAACCAACATTTTTTCTGCAACATGATAATCAATTTTGTCCTCAATATCATTTCAAACCCTGCCTTAAATAAATCATCCAAAAACATTCTAGAATCATAATTATCTACCAATATATAAGAATGGCACCAGTCTCGAGTTAAATACTATGCCTTACTAAATAAGACATAGAGACAGCGTTACTGTACATACTCATGTATAAATCGACCCTGTTTATACATCACGGGCAGATTTGGGATACAAAATTATGGATTTTGGCATAGCCCATGCAGAAGTTGAAGGTCAATCCAAGGTCGGGGGAATGCATCGCTGGTCACATTTTCATTTCCCCACTCAGACATTAAAAAGGCCAGAAGTTGTGCTATGGCAAAGTAGAGGAAATGAGTGCTTCTTTTGGGTCCTCCTAGAACAGACTAAGGTCTTGTCTTTCACCACTCTGTTCAGAGTAGGAAGTGGTTCCTTTTTGATGAGAGTTAAGGTACAGTATTCACAGTGACCTGGGAATAAGTCAATTCAATTTGTTTGGATTGATTTTTTACTAAAATTTGTAGACTTATACATGAGAATATAGGGTAATTAAATGTTGCTGATTTCCAATGTAGTAACTGACTGCCAAATTGTACACATAGACCTACAACTCTTTGTATCTTGTATACAAATACTTTTAAAAATATTAGTTTAGCAGAATTGGGTGACATGTCTGCATTTCATATTCAGAGAACTAGTTTAATTACAAACTCATGAATGTGATAAATGAACAAGCATGAGCTGTTAAGCCAGATATAAAACAAAAATGGCTGAGATGTGAGGAAGAGGGACAAAACAGCACACACACATTATCTGTAAATTACCAGATTTACCAGAGTACAACCAGCACCACGAAAAGCCAGTCTCCTCATTATGTCAGATAGGCAAGTAAAGAAACTGAGAAAAGGCAAATCCTTAAAGCACCAAGTCAGGAGTAGTATTAGTACAGCCAAAACTGAAAGAGAAGACAACAAAAGGAAAGAAAAGCACAGGGAACAAAGGGGAGAACAGGTAAATCAAGGAATTTGGAAGGAACAATATACTGCAGAAGAGTAAAAAAAAAAAAAAGCAGGAACACAGGTACTAGGTTAAATGGCATTCCAAAAAAAATCTTTGAAATAGCAGGCTAAGCCCAATATTAGTCCTATCTAGAACAGACCCACCGAAATGAATGAGACTGGTTAGTCTTCTATGATTGCAATGGGACTATGCTGGGTAGGATTAATGTTGGTTTAAAGAGAATTCTAAGAATTAGTAAGCAAAGGGTACAATCCCACTTAGTCAACAGCAAAAATCTTGATTTTCATTGGCCAGGGAAGCGTTCATAACACTTACATAATTATAACAAAGTATTTATAACATCTAGTACCGTATATTCCGGCATATAAGACGACTGGGTGTATAAGACGACCCCCAACTTTTCCAGTTAAAATATAGAGTTAAGACGACTCCCATGCATAAGACTACACCTGCGTATAAGACGGCCCCTGACTTTTGAGAAGATTTTCTTGGGTTAAAAAGTAGTCTTATACGCCAGAATATACTGTATATAGACTTCACAACTTTAATTAGTTAAAATACATGTTAATATTAAACATAATACCAATCTGTAATCAAAGTGTACTGACAAAGAATAGTTCAGAATTTTCAAAAACACAAAGCCCCAAGGAGTTACAAGGAACTTACTGCTAGATTTGTTAGTATAGAACTCGAGTAGGGGTGGACAACCATGGAAGGCCAGGTGGCCATATTATCTACCAGAACACCTTAGAGGGCTTTACCTCCAACTCAACTGCTCCTGAAAAGTATTTTTTCCTGACTAAATTATTGGGTCTTTTTAAAAAAAGAGAACATGAGCACAAATCACTTCTTGTTTCAAAGCAGGACTCTAGATTTGTCCCCTGGGAGTGGGGGACTACAATGAAAATGCAATTCATGACCCCATGGGACATTCTGTAGCAAAACATATTATTGAAATTTTTGTATTTTTAAGCACTAAGGGCCTTTAAATGTGGGGGAAATTCCCTCTAGTTTATTTTGGAACATTTCAGAACAACATTTGTGAACTCTTGGTGGCCCTGAAGACTACATACTGTTTGCAGGCCACACTTTGCCCACCGTTAGACTGGAGTCCAATTTTCCAGTAAAGGGAGTTTGTTCCTCTAGTGAAAGATTGAGGAATTATAAGGCTCTTCTGATCTGTTGGACTGCAAATCCCAGCAGTGCTTGCCAAAAGGATGCTAGGAGTTGCAGTCCAATATCATCTGCATCATACTCAGCCCCGCTCTATAGCAATAGCCTATAGCCTTAATTCTGTGAGCCAACAAATTATGGAAATATATTTTTACTGTTATTCATATATAAATAATCTAAAGTCTTCCAATACTGTCTAGGTGACAACTCAATGTCCCATCAGCTGATGCATTCAGAGTGTAGCAGATGCAAGGACAATTTTCTGCAAGTGGAGGGAGATGCTTCAACAATTGTTTTGCATGGGTGCAAGTAGAAAAACATGGGGAATTTGAAAATAAAAACTGGACCATGCATTAAAAATGCTTGCCCAAAAGATCTAATAGCAACCTATATAGGATGGCATTTAATCTCTAGAACATGTTGCCTCAACATCTCCAGGACAAAATTTTGCAGAAATCTACAGACCCCTTTTAAAAAGCAAACCCTATTTACTTCGAAGAGCAATCACTGCATATACAATCAATGGTTATGACTTTAAAAATTGATTGGTGTGCTGATTTAAATATGTTAGATATTGCTTTTTTGCTTTAAATAATAAAGCAGCCAATATATTTCCAAGTAATAAATAAAACAGCTTTGAATACCTTTTTATTTACAACTCCCATAATCCACATTGGTAGCAAAACTATATCTTGAGTATAATTTTATTTCAGAGCTCAGAAATGTTATTTTTTTAAAATCATAATTCCCAATTTTTCCAACTTTCAAAAGAAAAACTGCAAAATTAAATGTTATTAATAGAACAAAATCCACATATATTTCTTATTACAAAACCTGAAACCACCTCGTCACATAAACAACCAAAACAAATGTCATTTCTTTTAAATCTACAAAAACTCTGGCAACCTTGTAGGAGAGGAAATGTGGAGTTTATCAGAAACATGACAAAAGCATTTGCAGTTTTCCCTAATATACTTGCTGGTATATTGCGTAAATTAAACTGAAAATGCTTTGTAATACAGTCAAATCTCCATATTCATTGGAGTTAGGGGCACAAAACTAAAAGAAAGTAAAAAAAAAACTGCAACCCCCTCCCCCAGAAATTGCTATTTAAAAAAAAAACTTGAGAGGACCTCTCTAGGAATTTCTAGGTCTTCCAGCACAACTCCAATTTGCAAATGCCTACAGAGGTATTCTCCTTAAAAATATCTAGGTCCTCCAGCAATCCTCACAGACATTGACCATAGGATCCCACTGGAAGACCTAGAGATTCCAAGAGAACACAATTAATAAAATTCATAAATAATCCAAGCAAAGCAGCAAATGACTATATACAAATAGTCAATGGACTATTTATATGTTCAGCTCTTGAAAAGCAGGATGGAAGAGGAATAGGAAGAACCGGAAAAGGCAGAAGCCTGTCATAAAAGAAGTGGGGAAAAGAAACTGCACGAGAGGTACAGAAACGAGTGTGAAATCGTATAGGTTGAGCTTTTCTTATTCGGAAATCCAAAATACTCCACATACATGTCTGAGAGACATTTTGGTCTCCTGATGCTTCTATGTGCCCAAAGTTTGCTTCATACACACAATTATTAAAAGATTGTGTATAAAATTACCTCCAGGTTTTGTGTAGAAGATATATATGAACATAAATAAATTCTGTGTTTAGACTTGAGTCCAATTCCTAAGAAATACATATATGGGTTTTCATCTGAGGTTTTTATATCTACTTTAATGTGTTTTAATAGTCTTATGATTTATCTACGTATTTTGGCAATCTTGAGAAGAGGTGTCTAAGAAATAAAATGTTATTATTTCATTATGAATATGCACAAATTCCAGAAAAAAATCCAGAATCCTAAATGTCCAATGTTTGAATGACAGATATTCAGCCTTTAATGGTTTTATGGTTTACTGATGTATTCTAACTATGTTGTATTTGGCTCTGAGAAGTAGTGAGTAAGAAATAAAATATATTCTTCTCCTTATTATTATTATTATTATTATTATATTATTATCTTGTTATAAATATGTAAATATTCTGGAAAAATATCTGAAACACCAAACACTTCTGATGCCCAAGATTTTGGTACTGGATGCACAGCCTTTAATGCTCTTATGTTCTACAATGTATTTTAATTATGTTTTACCTTGCCTAGAGGAGTAAGAAACATATGATGGTGATGGTGAAGATGATGATGATATGAATGTGCATTTAATGGTCTTGTGTTTTATCCATGTATTTTAATTATGTTTTACCTGGCCTTTGGGAGGAGTAAGAAATAAAATATATTATTATTATCTCATTATAAATATGCAAATACTCCAACAGCTTGGGGGGGGGGGGTGGAATCCCAAACAATTCCAGTCCCCAGCATTTTGGAGGAGGGATATTCAGTCTTCAATGGTCTTATGTTTTATCTATGTCAATCATAATATTGTTATGAATATGCAGCGTTTTGGGTGAGAGACGCTCCACCTTTAATATTTTTAACCTGGCATAGGGAAGAGGTAGGTAAAAGATAAAATATATTACAATAATAAATTATGTGCTATGTTTTATCTTGCCTTGAGAAGTAAGAAACATAATAATAATTATTTGATACACAAGATTAGTGTACAACAAACATGTAAACATTTCCAGTTGATTCTCGTCAATTCTGTTGTCACCTGGGATTGCAACATCAACGATCCATACTTTGTTTTTTTTCACGATCATGTCAGGAGTATTGTGCTCCAAAACTCTGTCAATCTGAATTTAGAAGTCCCAGAGTAGTTTGACGTGGTCATTTTGTGTAACTTTTTTAGGCTTGTGATTCCACCAGTTCTGTCACAGACAGATGATATTTGTGGCACAAGTTCCAATGGATCATCTGAGCAATGGTGTTATGTCTCTGCTTGTAGTCTGTCTGTGTGATCTTCCTGCAGCAGCTGATGATGTGATCTATTGTTTCATCTCCTTCCTTGCAGAGTCTACACTTAAGAACAGTTGTCAACTTTTCAATTTTGGCTTTGATGGCATTGGTTCTAATGGCTTGTTCTTGGGCTGCAAGAATCAGGCCCTCTATCTCCCTTTTCAAAGTTCCATTTGTGAGCCACATCCATGTTTGTTCCTTGTCAATTTTGTTCTCAGTTTTTCCCAGGAACTGTCCATGGAGAGCCTTCTTTTGCCAGTTTTCTCTTCTGCTCTGCATTGTATTTTTACAATATTCACTCTTTGTCTTTTGCAGTTTAAGGAGGTTTCTACTATTGACTTCCATCCATGTTGGTTCTTGACTGCCTTTCACATAATCTGCCAGTACACGTTTCTCTTTATCTACCATTTGTTTCACCTGCAGAAGCCCTCTTCCTCCTGATTTTCTGAGTGGGTAAAGGCTGTTGACATCACTATGTGGGTGTAATGAATAGTGGATTGTCATCGGGGGGGGGGGGGGGGGGGGGGGGTGTGTGTTTGTTTTTCTGTCCAGATCATCCAGTTCTGCTTGTGTCCAGTTCACAATTCTAGCAGTGTATCTGATGATGGGGATGGCCCAGGTGTTGATAGCCCTGATCATATTTCCACCATTTAATTTGCTCTTCAAGATTTTTCTGATCCTTTGGACATATTCTTTCCTGACAACATTTTTCACATGTCCATACTTGATATTGTCCAGCTGTAGTATTTATAGGCTTCAGGGTGATTGCACTTTAAGGTTTGTTCATTTGACATCGCTATGCCCTTGCTGTGAGTAATTTTCCCTTTCTTTAATACCAGTGTGGTGCATTTGTCTAGGCTGAACTCCATACTGATGTCAGTGCTGAAGATTCTGACTGTTTATGATGTTGATGATTATTTTGTTATAAATGTGCAACGTTTCTAGTGAGAGACACTCAGTCTTTAATGATCTCATGTTTTATGTACAGTATGAATTTTTACTATGGGTAAGAAACATAATAACAATTATTATTATTATTATTATTATTATTATTATTATTATTTTGTTATGATTGTGCAACGTTTCTAGTGAGAGATACCCAGTCTTAAATAATCTCAAGTTTCATGTATGTATTTTAACTATGGTTTATCTCACCTTGAGTAGTGGGTAAGAAACATAATAATTATAATTAATAATAATTTGTTCTGAATATTCAGCTTTTCTAGTGAAAGGCACTGTCTTATTTTGATGTCATGTTTCATGTATCTATTTTAACTATGGTTTACCTCACCTGAAATGGGTAAGAAACATAATAATAAGGATGCCTGCCATAGATGTGGGCGAAACATCAGGAAAGAATGTCTCTGGAACATGGCCATACAGTTCAGAAAACTTACAGCAACCCATTATTATTATTATTGTTTTGTTATGAGCATGCAATTTTATTTTATTTATTTATTTACAGTTTTTATATTCCACCCTTCTCACCCCGCAGGGGACTCAGGGTGGATTACAGTGTACACATATATGGCAAACATTCAATGCCAGTTTGACAGACAACGAATACAGACAATACACAGAGGCTATTTAACTTTTTTCTGGCCGCCAAGGGAGCTGCTGCTTTCATCGTCCATCAGCGACACCGATGAAGTTCTTCTGCATTCCACATCCCTGAGTTTTCTTTATGGCCTCATAAATTAGTTAATTTAGCCTCCCACACAAGGTGGTAGCTTATTTTCCTACTTGACAGATGCAACTGTCTTTCGGGTTGCAAAGGTCAACAACAGGCTACACAATGGCTGGACACCCACTCCAGCCTGGGGTTGGCTTCGAACTCATGACCTTTTGGTCAGAGTGATCTTAATGCAGCTGACACTCAGCCAGCTGCGCCACAATCCCGGTGCAATGTTTCTAGTGAGAGATATTCAACCTTTAATTATCTCATGTTTCATGTATGTATTTTAATTATGGCGTACCTCGCCTTGATAAGTTGGTAAGAAACATAATAATTGCTAATAATATTAATAATATTTTGTTATGGATGTTCAGCTTTTTTTAGTGAAGTATACTCAGTCCTATTTTGATCTCATGTCTTATGTATGTATTTTAACTATGGCTTACCTCGCCTTGAGAAGTGGGTAAGGAACATAATAATTAATAATAATATTAATTAATAATATTTTGTTATGAATGTTCAGCTTTTCTAGTGAAGGATAATCAGTCTTATTTTGATCCCATGTCTTATGTATGTATTTTAACTATGATTTACCTCACCTTGAGAAGTGCGTAAGAAATAATAATAATTATTAATAATATTAATAATATTTTGTTATGATGTTAAGCTTTTCTAGTAAAGCATACTCAGTCTTATTTTGCTCTCATGTCTTATTTATGTATTTTAACTGTGGTTTACCTCACCTTGAGAAGTGGGTAAGAAACATAATAATTATTAATAATGTTAATAATATTTAGTTATGGATGTTCAGCTTTTCTAGTGAATGATACTCAGTCTTATTTTGATCCCATGTCCTATGTATGTATTTTAACTATGATTTACCTCACCTTGAGAAGTGTGTAAGAAATAATAATAATTAATAATAATTAATAATATTAATAATATTTTGTTATGGATGTTAAGCTTTTTTAGTGAAGGATACTCAGTCTTATTTTGATCCCATGTCTTATGTATGTATTTTAACTATGGTTTGCCTCAACTTCAGAAGTGGGTAAGGAATATAATAATTATTAATAATATTAATAATATTTTGTTATGTTCAGCTTTTCTAGTGAAGAATACTCAGTCTTATTTTGATCTCATGTCTTACGTATTGTGCAGAAGTCATTGATACTATGTATGTGTTTAACTGTTAGAGTATATATTTGTGTTTGCAACAGTAGCTAAAACTAGAGTTATCTGGTTTGAATCCACAGTGAGCGTTGCCAAGGAGACCAGGCAGGCTAGCTCAGGAGAGTGAGAAGTGGGCGGAGCCAAGCAGAAAAAGTTATGTGCGTCTTTGGAAAAAGGGGCAGTGTGTGAGTGAGTGTGGAGGCTTGAAAAGCCTGGGAGAGAGGTGTGTGTGAGCAGCTGGAGGTTTTTCCAGTCTAGAAGGGCTGAAGAGAGAAACCTGGCCAGTTTCTTTAGTCAAGGAAGACTAAAGGAAGCTTGTTAAGATCCCTAGTCAAGGAAGGACTAGAGATCAGAGATTTGATCAAGGAAAGATCAAATTGGAAGGCTATTCATAGTAGGAAACATTGTTCACTAAAGAGCTTCACCTCAGTAAAAGTTAGCCACGAGCTGTGTTATTTGGAAGAGTGGACTGTATTACAAACCAAGTGATATTCAAAGTTCTATAAGTTATTTAACAGCCTGCAACCATACGCTTTGTACACAATAAACTTTGTTGAAGACCGTCTCATCTCAATTAATCTGCGTCTGTAAAGCCAGATCTCATCGGTGGTACCTCAAATACCTCACGTTGGTGGCAGTTACCTTAATTTACAAGTAATAATTGGCCTCCTCTATAATATATTCTTATACACAACTGAGGCCTGAGATTAATTCCCTCCATAATCATTCACACCTGTACAATTGGTTCGCGCATAACTGTACAGTATATATTTTAACTATGGTTTACCTAGCCTTGAGAAGGGGGTCAGAAACATAATAACTTATGATTATTATTTTGTTATGAACGTGCAACATTTCTAGTGAATGATCTCAGGTTTTATGTATGTACTGTCACTATGTTCTACTTAGCCTTATGGAGAGGGAGGTAAGAAACCACATTTGTTATTGGTATGATGACGTTATGATTCGCAAATATTCTGGGAAAATGTCAGAAACTCCCAAGCCCATCTGACGCCCTTCGTTTTGGGAGAGAGAGGGAGGGAGGGAGGGAGAGGAGGGCTCTTCTCACACAAAGGGCGCCTGCCGCGGCCTCCTCCCTTCCTGCCTGCCTGAGCCAAGCCAAGCCCGGCCCCTCGCCCTCGGCGCTTACCCAGCCCGCGGCCACTCCGGTCCCTCCTCCGGCGGCGGGGGCGGCGCTGCTGGCGTTGCCGCTGAGCCTGGGCCTCCTGCAGCCGCGGCCGCGCTCGGCCCCCCCGGCCCCCCGGGCCCTCGGCGTCGCCACTGTTGCTGCTCTCCGCCCGCTCCCAGGCGAGCCTGCCGCTGTCGTGAAAGAGACGCTCGGCCGCCAAGCGAGGCTGGGCGTGCGACAACCAGGAACAAAAGGGGGGAGGGGGAAAGAAGGAGGAGCGGAGCGTGCTTTACGGTAGCCGTAACTGCGCAGGCGCGAAGGTCTTCCCTTTTTTTGTCGCACGTGGAGAGGAAGGCAGGCGGAAGGAGACGCAGCAGCCATCATGAGGCGGCCCAGTAAGGAATTATTTAGCCAGGGCTTTTGTCAGGAGCGCTTTGGGGAGGGTTCTTTCTTTTCTCTCTCTCTCTAAGCCTCTCCTTCACAGCGGCACCGAGGAAGGAGATGAGAGAAGGATCTGAATCAGGCCTGGGCCAACTTGGGCCCTCCAGGTGTTTTGGACTTCAACTCCCACAATTCCTAACAGCCGGCAGGCTGTTAAGAATTGTGGGAGTTGAAGTCCAAAACACCTGGAGGGACGAAGTTGGCCCAGGCCTGATCCAGATGCACCCTTTGACTTGTGGGAGCCTTCTCATGTCCCCACAAGGGGAGCTGGAGCTGACAGAGGGAACTCATCCACGCTCTCCCCAGATTCAAACCTCCAACTTATTGGTCTTGAGTTCTGTGGGCACAAAGATTGAACCCATTGCGGCATCGGGGGCTCCTTGAATGCCTCCATTAGTTAAATGGATATACAGTAAGAAAGAAACTTTGTGATGCAAGTTTGAGCAGATTAATTCCTCTTTCATTAACAGACTCTTCTATCTGGAAGCTTCTCATGATAAAAATAATCTAGTCAAAAGTTGGGCCGGGCTTTAGCATAGCAGGTTAATCACCAAGCTTCAAAAAATCCTGCCAACAGTTCGAAACCCGGGTCAGGATGGGTGCCTGACCTTTAGCCCAGCTGATGCCTACCTAGTAATTTGAAAACAAATTTAAGTAGATAAATAGGAACAGCATTAAAGTGGGAAGGTATTTTAGACATAACAAAAAGGAGGAAGTTTATGCTCTTCAGCAAGGAGATGGAGCCGAGCACAGCCTCCAAAGATGCTGAAAGATGGGAAAGCTTATATATACCTCTATCTGTTGTCTGTGTTGTCACTGTATAATCGGCATTGAATGTTTGCTGTATATGTATTCTGTGATCTACCTCGAGTTCCCTTCAGGGTGAAAAAGACGGAATATAAATACTGTAAATAAAAATAAATAAATGTAGTGTATTAACATTAACATTAATAGCAATCAGTTTCTGTGAGTGATTTGGAAAGCACCTGATCTAGGACAATACCTAGGCCTGAAATTCTTGATCCAGTGTTAAAGCTGCAGTTGGATGTGTTAAGATTGAAAGCTGAAAATCTACTGCCTCTAGATGTCATTTTATTTAAAACATCTGCACACCACTTTTACCTGGGGTGGGTAAGAAATAATAGTTCTTACTGATAAAATAACTGGATAGAATCATAGAGTTGGAAGAGACCTCGTGGGCCATTCGGTCCAACCCCCTGCCAAGAAACAGGAAAATCGCATTCAAAGCACACCTGACAGATGGCCATCCAGCCTCTGTTTAAAAGCCTTCAAAGAAGGAGCCTCCATCACAGTCTGGGGCAGAGAGTTCCACTGCTGAACAGCTCTCACAGTTAGGAAGTTCTTCCTCATGTTCAGGTGGAATCACCTTTCTTGTAGTTTGAAGCCATTGTTCCGTGTCCTAGTCTCCAGAGCAGCAGAAAACAAGCTTGCTCACTCCTCCCTATGACTTTTAATACATTTATGTTTTGTTTTTCAGAACTGAAGAAAGCCAGTAAGCGCATGACCTGCCACAAACGTTTTAAAATACAGAAAAAGGTAGGTATGAACTATTGCTACAGTCAGAATACCAGACCAACCAAAGCTTCAATAGTAGCTTTTAGGCCAGAAACTTTGAAATAATTTTATGCTATCTGCTCGACTAGGAAGCATTGTCCTCACATGAGGTCATGCAATGTCGGTTAAAAGTTCTCTTTAGCTGCTGGATGAAGTCTCTTTAAGAATGTTTTTAATTTCTTTATGAAGAGATTTCTTTATAATTTCTTTATAAAGACAATTGTCTTTTCAGTGCTGGTTAGGGAGTCACTTCCATTAGCCATGGGTCAATGGACCAATTAGCAGCACCTTTGTTAAGGGAGAACAGAGTTAGATTCTACTTCATCACCATCATCTCTTGTCTCCATTGTAGTATAAATAGTCTTTGTGGTACTTGCTCTGTCTAATGTGGTGAGAGCTATGAATTCTTGATTCAGCCAGTGCCAACAGGGAGAGGTAATGATAACAAACCACCTTCTAGTAGAATAACAGTAGTAGTGTTTGCTGAATCCGCAAGAACAATGGGTAAATGTTGCTTCAGCTTCCAGAATCTTAAAAAGCAAAGCAGATCAGTTTGATTTTCTCACCCCTCTTCTTTTTTTCTTCAGTGTTGATTAATAGAATTGCTGGTTAAGTTCAAAACTCCCCCTAAGATAAGAGTGACTACGCAGTAACTTATCAGTCTGTTGTCAGTATTCTAATTTTGCTGCTCAGAAGATAAGACAGTGAAAGAGACGTGGCTCCCGATCTTCCCGACCTGCAAGATCACTATTGCATTAATTAGTGTTTCTCCAGGAAAAACTGGGGGGGGGGGGGGGGGCCGCCATAGAAACCGGCTGGATGGCTCTGGACAAGTCACACTCTCTCAGTCTCAGGAAGGCAAGGGCAGACCTCCGCTGAAGCAACATATCAAGAAAACCCTATGATAACTTTGCTTGAGGATCTCCATAAGTCAGAAATGACTTGAAGGAACACACAGCAACTACAATAACATTTGTATAATGCATGCCCAAGATAATGCCCACATTCTTAGTATTTAAAATATTGCCATAAATTAGTTTAGTCATTCTGAGCCATAAAAGTTGTTATTTCCCAGAGATTCCACATTTTCTACTGGAAAAATTGGAATATCTTAAGAAAGAAATTGTGACATTTTGTTTTGTGGATTGTCAGTAAAGCTTTTTTTAAAAAAATAGAAGTATTTTGTTGTTATTGTTAATAGGTACGAGAACACAAGAGGAAACTCAAGAAGGAAGCCAAGAAGCGTGGCCATAGAAAACCAAAGAAAGACCTGGGAATTCCCAATTCTGCACCTTTTAAGGAAGAAGTTCTTCGAGAAGCTGAACAAAGGAAACAAAGGGTAAAACAGCTGAGGCTGTACCAGTAATGGATCTCCTGTTCTATTAGGGGTTGTGTTAGGAATAGAGTTGGGAAGACCTGGAAAAAAACCCCAGAAAAATTGGGTTTTTTCCAGGCCTTCCCATCTTTATTCAGAACAAACCTCTTTCTTATCAGAAGTTGTGTTAGGAACCATTTTGAACAGAGCTTTCCAAACATTTCATGTTGGTGACACCTTTTTTATACGTGCATCATTTTGCAACACATTAATGCAGTTTTAGTAGTAAACCAGAGGTTAAACCAACCCCTTATTAGAGATATGGTCACATACATAAGTTATAATAATGAAATATAAGAGGATGCGACATACCTTATGAAAACCTTTCATTTAGATTTTTGTAAATATAGGATTTTTAAGATAATAACATACATTTACAAGATTTTTGTCATTTATGAGTAGCAATACATAAATATGTGGAAGAATTTTTAAAATTCTACATTCACATGACACACCTACACACTGCAGCCGACACACTAAGATGTGACAACACACAGTTTGCAGACCTCTGATCTAGGAAGTATTGGCAACTTTCACCTCTTAAATATTTTTATTATGTCGAATGAGTATTGGGTTTTAACAGCAAAATCTGATTTATTTAGATTGAGTGTTGCATTTTTGTTGTAGTATCAGTTCTACTGTAATTGTAAATGTATACATTTTGCTCTCATATAATTTCAAGCACAGTCCAGGAAAAGCTAGAAATAGGTTGATATTGACAATTCTTGTGCATCATGTTTTCCTACCTTTAATGCCATTAGTTATTTTTCTACTTCTCCCAAAGTTTCCAGTTTTTCCTCTGACTGGCTAAAAAAATATTTTCCTTACGATGCCAGCAATATTACATAGCAATAAATTCTAAGTACTCTGTTATTGCTAATGCCTTGCTGAGTGTGGAAGGAAAGCCTTTCTGAATATAATTGTGTGTGTGTTTGTGTGTGTTTTGTGAACAGCGCGAAGAACTGAAACAGAAGCAAAAACTTGATCGGCAGAAAGAGCTAGAAAAGAAACGTACACAGCAAAAAAATAAAAAGGATGGTGAAGTAATGCGAGATGAAAAGGTATGTATTTCTGTATCAGTACTTGAATCAAACTGGGATGATAGCATAGGAGAGGTAATTCGTTATGTTAAAAGTTTGCTTTGACGACATGTGTTGCTACAGATAGAAATTCAAAGAAGAGTTGTCACTGAATATGTTTTCCTTACTTGAATATAATGGTGTTGGATGTCAGTTTTAAAATCTTTTTTTCATTGTAAAAGTTGGGTTTTTATTGGACTAAAAAGTATCTACAAATTGTTACATGGATAAGTTTCTGTTACTTGCATCATTTTGGTTATAAGTTCTGGAATTTAAAATTTTCTTATATTCCCATGTATCTTAGAAATCAAAGAAGAAACAAAAATTGAAATCAAACCAGCAGATTGCTAAAAATTCAAAGAAACACTTTTGCCAGGAACTGAGAAAGGTAAGATTATATAACTTTTTTTTCCTGAGGTTTGATACATGTTCCAGAGATTTGTTTCACTTCAGTAGAAAAAGGGAGATAAAAAGTGATTTTTTAGTTCAAACATTTGGAATTTGCAGCTCTTTTGAATTCACAAGACTTGTTATTATGTAATAATTGTTTATTATATTATAAAATGGCTTTCATGTGGTGTAGCCATGTAGTGTCCCATCTGGGGAAACTGCCCATACCTCATTTCAGATATGCAGTATAACCATTAAGTGTGTTTCAGTCTTCTCTATTTTGTTGAAAATTGTGGTATCTGTTTCCCAATGTTCACCACAGCATATAATGGTGTTGTCAGTCTTATATAGTGCTAAAAAAGGTAAATGTCATGCTTCATGTATGATAGTAGATTCACATGTATTTGAAAGATGCTCTTTTAGTGAATGAACATGACATCAAAATAGCAGTGTAGATGTTATGATTGTAGAAGCACATTTGTATCAGTTTTAAGTCTGTGGTCTGAAATGTGTGTCCTTCCTGTTATTTTTTTCAGGTGATTGAGGCTTCTGATATAGTGCTGGAAGTCTTAGATGCGAGAGACCCTTTAGGCTGTCGATGTCCCCAAGTAGAAAAACTTGTTAACCAGTCGAATGGAAAGAAAAAATTAATGTTGATTTTAAATAAAATTGGTAAGTGAAATAATTGTTTGCTCTATAGATGCTTTTCTAATTATAGACAGGTGAAGCTGATTTGAATGGGGCTGTGTGTGTGTGTATGTGTGTGTGTGTGTTTACGTGCATGGAAGTCATGCTATTTTCAATAATTTTTAAGTAAGTGTTCTAATACATCCAAATCTTCTGTGGAAGTCCTTGCTTAGAAATAAGTTCATTATAAAATAGTGAGCTTCAAGTCAGTGTTGTTGGGATTGAGATTGAGATGCTTGGATCAGATTTCACTAAAACTGGCTTGTCTTACGTTTAAGCACAAAACTCTTAACTAGATTGTTGATTAGATTACCTGTAATGCTGATAATTTTTCATTGAAAGTGAGCTATGAGGAAAACACAAAAACATACTGACATTCCCCTGAAGACTGTCAGATCCAACTCTGAGCTCACAGTTCCAAAGCAGGAACATGCCTGGATTCTAATATTTGCCTTTTATGGCACTTTGATTGCAGGAGTAATGTTTTCTTTTCTGTTTTGGAAAGCTTTACCTGTGGATTTTTTGCATGACAAATTGATGTTAAAGAGAGAGAAGTGGGCTAAGCCAATGCTTTCAGAATAATTTGACAGTCCTCTGTTATGAGAAAACTGTATTTGCTCATATTTATCACTTCTATTTTGAGAAAATCTCCACTTGATTATCAGAAGGTTTTTAATGGAACTTAGCCACTCTCACATTCTTCAGAATCTGCTGGTGTTGATGCTCTTTTTTATAAAGACAGCCTTGTAATTTTATGCTGCAGATAAATGTTATGCCTCATAATACTTCCCAAACGAATTCCAAGAGTGGCAGTTAGAAGCTTGGTGCTGCAAATCAGCTGTGACAGGCTTCACATAGGTCTTCCTTCTTGCAGTTTTCTGTGAAATCATGTGTGATCAGCACAATGTGATCAGTGGATTTCTGTTTTTTTACCTCCAGATCTTGTACCGAAAGAGAACTTGGAGAAATGGCTGACTTCTTTAAATAAAGAACTTCCAACTGTTGCTTTTAAATCTGCAACGCAACTAAAAGACAGAACTGTGGTAAAGGCATTCTACCATCTCTTCCCCAACATTGAAATATATAGGGGGGTTGTATCAGATATTAAGAAAAGCAGAACAGTATATATGCCTACTTTAGGACCATCACCAGTCAGTGTTCTCAAATGAGTGAAGTAGCCCTGTGTTTTGACAGGTAGATTAATGTAGAACTCTATGCTAATACCCATCACTGGCATAGTTTTATGACTAATCATATAGCAAGTATAAGCAAACATGGAATGGAGTTGTGTTTCCTTTGAAAACAATATCTGTTCTGAACTCATCCAGCACTTCCACTCGTCCCATAGATACAATGCCTTTGGTCCCTGGACTCACATTTTTCTTCTGTTAAGAAAAGACTGGTGTGAAAGTCCTTGTTCATTTGCCACATGTTACTTGAATTCCTGTTAAACTTCATTTGCTTGTGGAATTCATATTTGTTGATACAGCTTTGAAAATCTTAATTTAAATTTGCAGCAACAGAAAAAGCATACTAAAAGACACAGTGTCTACACTGAGTTAACAAGATCAAACATGTGCTATGGGAGTGAATGCCTTCTCAAACTCCTTCAAGAGCATAGTACGGGTAAAGAAAAAGCTATACAAGTTGGCCTGGTAGGTAAGTACATACTGTTTTCTATGCCACATCCACTGAATTTTGATAGGTACGTGAGGGCTGTAACAGTGTTTCAGCAGCAGCGTGGTACTGCATGATGTTAACCGACCCCCTTTAAGCAAAAAGGCCTTCATATCAATTTAAGATTTCGTAGGACTTCTGGGGAATAGATTGATTGAAAAGCTCCTGGATCCTATCAGTGCAAGTGATATACTTTATTTCTTTTATTCTAATGCCCCTTCCACACAGCTGAATAAAATCCCACATTATCTGCTTTGAACTGTCATAGATGGCAGTATGGACTTAGATAACTCAGTTCAATACAGATATTGTGAAATTTTCTGCCTTGATATTCTGGATTATATGGCTGTGTGGAAGGCCCCCGAAGACTCACTTCCCCATATAAACATCTCTATAAATGGGGTGTTTCTTAGAATTGTGGGAGCATTTTATATATTTCAATAAAGGTTCTTTTTCTATTGGTGGTATTTAAATTAGAGTGTGGTGTCCAGTCGATGGCATCTTGGAATCGAACAAATAAAGTATATCTTGTTGTGTTCCTGGAGTGAGAAATGAGGATACATATTGTTTGTCTTACTGTTATTGTGAAGACTTCAGATCCAACTCTGATCTCACTTTCTGGAAAGTTTTAAAAAATAGATCCAATATACAAAAGACACGCAGATTAAAATATTTTTTATATAACAGGTTGCTGACATAATTTTTAAAGATATATTTTATTGGTGTTGATTGTTTTCCATCCTCATGGTAATATTGCAAGGGACAGGGAAAGGAAAAGAAAAGCAGACTGAACTCATAGTGCAACCTTCAACTTCTGTGGTCTTTTTGGATATCTTGAAGGTGCCATTCTGATCCCAGATGAGATTTGGAATCTAGGAGATAAACTTTCTTAAATATTTTCCGGTTCAGAATATTACTCTTCAGATATTTACATATATTACTAATACAGCTATATTACTTTGCATTTGTGCCACAGGTTTCCCCAATGTGGGGAAAAGCAGTATCATCAACAGCCTGAAAGAAGTGCGTGCCTGCAACGTGGGACCAGAGAGAGGCCTTACTAAGTTAGTTCAGTTTTATGAAACACTGTTTAAAATCATGCCCTTTCCCTTCCCTTTTGCCTCTCCTCTTAAACTGAACAGTCACCTAATTGCTGATGTGTTTAGTCTTTATATTTAGATGCCAATTGATGGATTTTAATAGCAAAAAGAATTATCCTTTTAGGGGAAAGTACAGTGAAGTTGTTTTTATACCAATTGTAATATTCAAGATGGATCTTTCCTGTTGCATATACAGTTTGTATTGCTCATGAATACAGCCCACATAACCCAATATAATACGCAATAGGGTTATAGATTTGTGCTGTTGACATCTTCGGGTTTCTGCATTGTCAACCTGGATATCCCATTTCTTTATGGTATGCTTGTTGATTAAGTAAGCATTTTGTGGTGATTGGTTTCATGATACTTGTGTTTTCTTTTGAAGGTCTATGCAAATAGTTCACATTGACAAAACTATCAAGATGTTAGATAGTCCGTGTATTATTGCATCACCTTCCAACTCCGCTCTTGTTCTGGCATTGAGAAGTACTACAGATTTTGATGGTGAAAATTCAGTTAATTCCATAGATGCCATTCTGAAGCATTGCAGCAAACAGCAGGTACTTTGTAGTTGCCTGATTTTTTTTTTATTTTTTATTTTTTGCAGCCTCTAGTGTTAAATTTTGCTTTGTATGTTGGCCTGGGGCCAAAAAAAATACTATGACCATGCCCAATTGTGGGATCTAGTCCATGGAATGGAAATCTGTCTTTAAACCATCCAAGTAAAAATACAGCATTTTAAATCTGTTTTATATGATTATGTGGAATAGATGTGTGCAAAGTGAGAAATGAGGATACTTGTCATGTCTTACTGTTACAGTGAAGACATCAGATCCAACTCTGATCTTGCTTAATGAAGCTTCCAAAGGATGTCTCAACTAGTTCTAATTTCTGTTGTGGCAGAACAACAATGACCCCAGATCTGTAGACTGGAGCAAAATCATGCATTTCTTTCTGAAGACTCCTCTGGATGGGGGAAGAACTGGCTCATTTATGTGGACATCTGAGAATCTGATACACTTTTTTGACAACTTGCTCTTTTCTCCCTTCAGATAATGCTACACTACAACATGCCAGATTACAGAAATACTTTGGAGTTTTTAACTCTACTTGCTCGGAAGAGGGGAATGCTCAAAAAGGGGAGTCTGGTTGACACAGAAGGTGCCGCTGCATTATTTATCTCTGATTGGACAGGGTAAATATTCATTTAACTGTATTAATTAATGTATTGTTTGCTTGTATTGAATGAAGAACTATGTTGAAGGAGCCAAATCAACAGTATTAAGGGTTTTGGGGGGGGGGGGGTTGTAAAGAAATATACAAGACGAAACCACAAATGTCCCACTTTATGAGTTGACATAGGAGAAGAGGAGATCTCTGGTCTGAATCTTCCCTCTTCTGGGGTTGTACTTCTAAACATAGCAGTACAGTTTAAACCAGGGGTCCTCAAACTAAGGCCCGGGGGCCGGATATGGCCCTCCAAGGTCATTTACTCGGCCCTCACTCAGGATCAACCTAAGACTGAAACAACTTGAAAGCAAACAACAACTACAACAACATCCTATCTCATCAGCTAAAAGCAGGTCCACAGTTCCTGTTGAAATACTAATAAGTTTATATTTGTTAAAATTGTTATTCGTTTTAATTATTGTATTGTTTTAAAGTGTTTTTTTCTTTTGCACTACAAATAAGATATGTGCAGTGTGCATAGGAATTCATTCATATATTTTTTCAAATTATAATCCGGCCCTCCCAACAGTTTGAGGGACTGTGACCTGGCCCTCTGTTTAAAAAGTTTGAGGACCCCTGGGTTAAACAAAGGGTCTTTTGAAGATACATAAAGTGTTTTACATTTTAAAACCCTTTTAGAAATCATGTAAGGTCACTTAATGTTAGTCAGTTTTAAATGATTGCTCAAAGATATCACTGATATCTGTTGTTGTTCATTCGTTCAGTCGTCTCCGACTCTTCGTGACCTCATGGACCAGCCCACGCCAGAGCTCCCTGTCGGCCGTTACCACCCCCAGCTCCCTCAAGGTCAGTCCAGTCACTTCAAGGATGCCATCCATCCATCTTGCCCTTGGTCGGCCCCTCTTTCTTTTGCCTTCCACTTTCCCCAGCATAATTGTCTTCTCTAGGCTTTCCTGTCTCCTCATGATGTGGCCAAAGTACTTCAACTTTGTCTCTAGTATCTTTCCCTCAGTGAGCAGTCGGGCTTTATTTCCTGGAGGATGGACTGGTTGGATCTTCTCGCAGTCCAAGGCACTCTCAGAACTTTCCTCCAACACCACAGTTCAAAAGCATCGATCTTCCTTCACTCAGCCTTCCCTAAGGTCCAGCTCTCACATCCGTAGGTTACTACAGGGAATACCATGGCTTTGACTAGGCGGATCTTTGTTGCCAGTCTGATGTCTCTACTCTTTACTATTTTATCGAGACTGGACATTGCTCTCCTCCCAAGAAGTAAGCGTCTTCTGATTTCCTGGCCACAGTCTGCATCTGCAGTAATCTTTGCACCTAGAAATACAAGTCTGTCACGGCCTCCACGTTTTCTCCCTCTATTTCCCAGTTGTCAATCATTCTTGTTGCCATAATCTTGGTTTTTTTGACGTTTAGCTGCAACCCGGCTTTTGCGCTTTCTTCTTCACCTTGATTAGAAGGCTCCTCAGCTCCTCCTCGCTTTCGGCCATCAGGGTGGTGTCATCTGCATATCTGAGGTTGTTAATGTTTCTTCCAGCAATTTTCACCCCAGCCTTGCATTCGTCAAGCCCCGCACATCGCATGATGTGTTCTGCATACAAGTTGAATAGGTTGGGTGAGAGTATACAACCCTGCCGTATGCCTTTCCCAATCTTGAACCAGTCTGTTGTTCCATGGTTAGTTCTGACTGTTGCTCCTTGGTCCTTATACAGATTCCTCAGGAGAGAGACAAGGTGATTTGGTATGCCCATACCACCAAGAACTTGCCACAATTTATTATGATCCACACAGTCAAAGGCTTTAGAATAGTCAATAAAACAGAAATAGATGTTTTTCTGAAGCTCCCTGCCTTTCTCCATTATCCAGCATCTGGATATTGGCAATTTGGTCTCTCGTTCCTCTGCCTTTTCTAAACCCAGCTTGAACATCTGGCAACTCTCGCTCCATGTATTGCTGGAGTCTTCCTTGCAGGATCTTGAGCATTACCTTACTGGCATGAGAAATAAGGGCCACTGTACGGAGGTTTGAGCAGTCTTTCGCATTTCCCTTTTTTGGTATGGGGATATAAGTTGATTTTTTCCAGTCTGATGGCCATTCTTGTGTTTTCCATATTTGCTGGCATATGGCATGCATCACCTTGACAGCATCATCTTTTAAGATTTTAAACAGTTCAGCTGGGATCCCGTCATCTCCTGCTGCCTTGTTGTTAGCAATGCTTCTTAAGGCCCATTCAACCTCACTCCTCAGGATGTCTGGTTCTAATTCATTCACTGATATCTACTATACATTAATGAATTATATCCACACATATCCCTGTTTGGTCTGATCCGCTGCAAGATGTGTGCCACACACCCTCTAGTCTCCTCTTCTCGTGCTTCATCGCTACCAGCTCCTCGATGAACCAAGGAGCTGAGTTAGCTCTGTGATGAGAGAAGGGACGTTCTGGAACAATCGTGTCTATTGCACTAGCCATCTTACCATTCCAGTGAGTCACCAGAGCATCGGCAGGAGCACCTACGAGGGTGGCGGGAAATTCCCCAAGAGCCATCAGGAAATTCTCTGTATAGTTCCAACTATTAACTTTTTACTTTAGAATTTTTGAGAATTCCCTCACGCTTTCCCGCAGAAATATGGCAGTTGTAAACAAAACAAATACACAATAACAATATGACTGTTGAGATTCAAAGCAGATCAGCTTTCCCCAAATAATTTCAAGGCATATCACTAAGGAATCCACTCCCATGCACTCATGAAGGGGGTGGGATGGCTTTTGCCATTTAACTCTGTTTCTAAAAGAGGGGGAGAAATTGTGTGCTATACAATGTTATTCATAAACTAGGCTTCCACAAGCTGTTGGGTTCTGCCCAGGATATATGGTACATTTTAAGATAACTGTTCTATCAAAAGCTCGTGCTACCTAAGCTGAGGGTTTAAATTACACTTTTCACCTCATAAATGCCATTCTCAGTTGCAATTTGATAAAAATTTAGACTTCCATACATGGTTCAATATTATAAGCAGTGTTCATTCCTTTTCAGAGCCAGAGTGAGCTACCATTCACGACCGCCTGTGACATGGAACCTGCCTTCTCACCTCTCTGAGCAAGATGCTGTAGCAGCACTGCAGCAGTTTAATGCTCAGGATTTGGAAGAAGGTAACAGAAGCACCATAAAAGGTAAAGTTCATATACATAACAATTTTTCAGTGTAAGGTGGGCCTTCCAGGGGTGTAGGGCTACAATACCCATTGATTCTGGCTGGACCTTTTTCTTCAATATGAGTTTAGGAAGGAAGATTCAGCACTGTTATTCCTACACAGTGAT